TCAATGAGTTTGGTAGCGATGATGAATCATCCGTGGGCGCCGCTACGCCAGGTCGAAGAAGCATCCGGTCCGTTGCTAGCCAGAACCGCCCAGTTACGCCGCCCCCCAGAGTCCCACGCCTGCCAAGGGCTGTGATGGTTGATAGCGGAATGGTGACCGACCCAGTTGATTTTAGATCTTTGGTCAACACCCCCGGTACACCTTCATCGACGGTGTCCGCCCAAGAAGGTAATGGAACTGCCACCAATATCAAGCGACCTATTTCCATGGAATCGGTCGTTGGACCTAACGGGTCACCTGCTTCCACTCGAATGCTCGGGGGCGAGCAGGGACGGGCCGATTTCGCACAGCCTGTACCGGCCGTATCCTATAGCGATGCCGGCGTGCAACACGACATTCAAACCACTGCTGTGCAGTCGCTGAGCATTTCTGTTGTTCAATCCGAGGACATTGAGCCAACGCCTGTAGTACTGAATGTGACCTCGATCGTTTCGACAAACATCGAGCCTGTCTTGGACCCTGTTCCTGAACCGGCACCGCTTACGATGTCAACTCTCGTTTCAGAGGATGTTGAACCTGTACAGGAGCCAGAGCCTGAACCAGTTCCCCTTGGTCTTTCAGGCCTCGTTACCGAGGATATTGTACCTGTTTCGGAACCCGAACCTGAGCCAGTACCCCTGGCCTTGTCCAAGCTCGTTTGTGAGCACGTCGAACCAGTCTTGGAACCTGTGCCAGAACCAGCACCGCTCACCTTCTCGCAATGTGTTTCTGAATACATTGAACCTGTTCTGGAACCTGTTCCCGAACCAGCGCCTCTGACTGTCGCGTCTTCCATTTCAGAGCACGTTGAGCCGGTCCTCGAGCCAGAGCCACCGGCACCTGAACCGATTCCCCTCAGCGTATCGGGCCTTGTTTCCGAGCAAGTTGAGCCTCGCGCTGATCCAGAGCCTGAGGTCCGCCCGCCGCCAACACTCAGCATACCAACCATCCTTGCCCAGGACATTAAGCCGGATGCTAATGTGTCAGCAACTGTTGACCTTGTCTTTTCGCATGTTCTATCGGAACAAGTTGAACCGGTTGAAATACCATTGGAAGCACCTACTGTGGTCACAGTGGTGGAGGCACCGAAGGAAATCAAGGAGAAGGCTCCGCCTGCCGCCCTCGGCTTCTCGTCGATTATATCAGAGGATATGGAACCACGAGTCGAACCTACGCCCTTGCCGGCGCCGTTGTCACTCTCGCCTATCAAGGCGGAAGTTTTGGAGCCCCGTCAGGAACCAGAAGAACCGTCACCGGCTCTTGCTGTTTCATCTATCCGGTCACACGACTTCGAGCCCGTTGAGCTCCCGCCTGTTCCCTTGCCAGCATTGTCGGTATCTTCAGTTCAGGGAAGCGCCATCGAGCCCGTTGAGGAAGCACCCGCTCCTTTGCCGACGTTGTCGATCTCCTCGCTCCAAACGAACGATATTGAGCCTATCGTGGAACCGATCGCTCCCTTGCCAAAACTGTCGGTCTCCTCAGTCCGAGCGAGTGACATTGAGCCTGTCGAAGAACCGCCTGCTCCTCTGCCTCCCTTGTCGGTCTCCTCGGTCCAAGCGAGTGACATTGAGCCTGTCGAAGAACGGCCTGCTCCTCTGCCAACACTGTCGGTCTCCTCAGTCCAAGCGAGTGACATTGAGCCTGTCGAAGAACTGCCGGCTCCTCTGCCGCCACTGTCTATCTCATCAGTTCAGGCGAATGACATCCAACCTGTCGAGCTGCCAGCTACTCCCTTGCCACCGCTCTCCATCTCTTCAATCAAGGCGAGCGATATCGAGCCAGCGGAACAACCCATCGCCCCTCTACCGGCGCTCTCACTCTCGTCGATACAGGCGAATAACATTGAGCCTGAGGAAAGACCATTGACACCACCCCCTGCTATGTCTGTTTCACAAATCCAGCTATTGGATGTCGAACCAGAGAATGTTCCCGCTACTCTGCCGCCGACTCTTTCTGTTTCAGAAATGCTGGCGCAAGAGATCGAGCCTCTCGCCCTGGAGCCTGCTCTCAGCCTTCCTCCATCACTGGCTTTTGCTGACTGGCAGTCACTGGGTATCGAGCCTCCCTTGAACCGCAGTCCGAAGAGAAATGTTTTCATTATACCCAATGACTCACAAACCGACGCACCTGCTGAGGGAGGGCTCCCACGGTCTACTCCCGAGCAAAAGGCCGACTCACAGCAGAAGATACTATTGGCTACTGTGGACCAGGAAGTGCAAACAGCATTGACCTCGGAGGCTATCGACATGCTTTTGATGTCAGGAACTCACCAGTCCCACACTCGTGAATTGGAGAGGACAGACTCGTCTTTGAGTACCGGCAGTCTCTCTACTATCAGGAGGCACCGGAGTTTCCAGGAGATCCCTGAAAGCATCGTTTCTTCAAAGGGCAAGATGGCGGATCACAGTACTAGTGTTAGCGAAGGAACAACAACCGTGAGGAGACCAAATAGCTCTGCTAGTAGCAGGGCTTTCATAACCGATGTTCCACCCCTACCTTCTAACCACAAGGAGGCTATTGAAGCTGCCAGAACTGGCTCCTCAAGTGGCAACCAACCAATGACTGGTCTCATGGGGCCGCCATTATTCTCAGCCTCTGCGCTCAGGAATCAAAGTCAGGGATTGCGACCGCGAACTCCCAATGGCGATACACGCCCCATGTCTCCCATGTCTTACGTGTCTGGCCATGGCACGCCCACACCCCGTGTCATGGACAGAGCTGGTTCCGCACATGGAACTATGGCTTCCGGTGTTCATTCACCGTCTCGCTTGACGCAGCATAGCCGCAAGTCATCGGTCTCCTCTTTTGTTTCTGAAATGGACACGCGGTTCCAGATGCAACAAAACGGCGATTTCGATCCACATGGGTTCGGCACGGGTACCGACCCTCGCATGATCCAGGCTATCACCCAGACCATGATCGGTGAATATCTGTGGAAGTATACTCGCAAGGCTGGTCGCGGAGAGATGTCCGACAACCGGCATCGCAGGTATTTCTGGGTTCATCCCTACACACGAACCTTGTATTGGAGTGATCGTGACCCCTCAGCTGCGGGTCGCAGCGAATTGAGGGCGAAGAGCGTTCCTATCGAGGCTGTACGGGTTGTGACGGATGATAATCCTATGCCTCCTGGTTTGCACCGCAAGAGTCTGGTGATCATCTCTCCCGGCAGGACAGTCAAATTCACCTGTACAACGGGGCAGCGTCACGAAACATGGTTCAATGCACTCTCTTATCTGCTCCTTCGGACCAACGAAAACGGCCACGCAGACGCAGAGGAAATAGCCGGGCATATCACGCGAGATGACATCAACGATTTCAACCCTCAATACTCGAGGCAAGCGCCAAGCGGCTCCCGTGGCGCACCTTCGCTGTCGTCCTATAACTCCAGGTCGCTTCGTGTTGACTCGCCGGCCCTTGACATGTCAATGAATATTCCGACCCTTACGCCCAACAGGCAAAGCGCCCAGAATCGCCCATCCGTCGGCACTCTTAGTCGGATCAGTGGCTATTGGAAGGATAGCAAATTTGGCAGCATGAGAGGCAGCAGGAGCGTTTCTGGTCGAGACACATCTCACGGCATCTACGAACAGAGTGAAGTCGAGGACAGCGCTGAGGATGTGAGACAAATGATTGAACAGCAAGACCGAGAAGCCGACCGCCTTGAGAACGTCAGAGCTTGTTGTGATGGTAAGTAGTCTCACGTTATGTTATCAGGACGCTTTCGTGGTATGGTATGCTAACGTTTACATAGGGAAACATGATGTTGGCACGTTGACTAGTGGTTCTAAGCGCGGCCACAATCACCGTACACACCATCACCATCACCATACACACAGAGGGTCTTCGAGGGGACCTTCAAGAGGACCCAGTACTACACCATCACGGGCTGAAACCCTACGATCTGCGGCATGAACAGTTTTGCAAACTCCAGTTTCGTCGGATAGTCTCTAGCCGAAGGGTTACCGTTACCAAATCACAAATCAGATTGCCACTTTGATTGGCGACATTTTCTTCTCATCGATCGCTTCAGCCATCATTCTGCTTTTGACGGAACACAACCGACCATACACTACGGAATTTATCACGACGTTGATGATCACTTCATCCACTGTTTTCTTACTTGTTTAGCCTGCGCTTCTGTCAAGAGACCCCTTGTGACCCATCATTGCATGGTGCCCTCGTGGGTTTTCTGCAGACCGCTGCACCTTGTACTACCAAACTCGGGCTTTCTTCAGCTTCCTCGCTGTCTCTTATCTATTCATGTAGTCCTTTTTGGATTGGCTTAGGTTCTTGGGTTTGCGGGCGTTTTTTTCGTTCAGAAGCCGTGGACTTCTGCTACTCTTCGACAAATTGCTTGAAGGGATGAAACTGGATGTGGAAAAGAAAGAGTTGCGGGAAGAGGAGGACTGCACAGGGAAAATTGTCTGCGTTACTGTTTTTCTGGCTTCCCAAGGAGATGGGGAAATGGGAAGAAGATGGGGGTTTGGGGGGAGGTTTAGTGGAATAAGTTGAGGTACGATGGTGCGAGCGATAGCTGGAACGCAGTATTTAATAGCAAGACATTTTGACTACACGCACTCTTGTCCTCCTGCATCTGTGTGGTTGTGTTGATACAAGTTCAAACATAGGTAGACCTAACAAAACACATTACACCATCTAAGCAGCAATTTTCTTGTAGAGGCTCAGGAGGGTAGATACCCAGGCAAGTACCACCATGTTTGCTTGGGTTGGTGACAATTTAAAAGTGTCAGGCGAAACCAAGATGAATTACTATCGATCGAATACCACAAACGCGTATCACGTGTACATATGAGGGTTTGTTAGGTCGAGTTAAAAGAAACACGTACCCAGTGTATTAGCATCTGCTTTGCGAGTCAAGCCTTAATTGGTTGGAATCCAGCTGAAAGATGGGGCAGATTTGTGTCAAGGATTTGTCAGCTGCATGCGGTCTGTTTCGGTCTGGGAGCTTCTGTTGAAAATGACATAATCCACGGTATCGATTGGCGATATCGATGGTTCTTATCGGGCAGATGATGGATCGTTCACCACTTTGCCCTTCCGTCGCGTCTCGCCTCGACCAAGATCCTGCACACAAGTCATACGAACCCTTCCGCCCGCCTCAAGCAACCAGCTTCAAATTCTTGATCATTCCTAAAACCGTTAAAAAACCGTCAAATTCAGCTGACTTGTTATCCCTTCCCATACCGTCACCGGGACTTCACAATGGCGGACATCGAGCAACCACCAACAGCACCAACAGCACCCGAACCCACAACAGCGACCCCAACCGCCCCCATTGCTCCAGTCGCAATCTTCAAGAAGCGCGGCGCAAAGGGCAAAGCAAACCTGCGCAAACGTCCAGCCTCTCCTCCACCCGCAGCAAAAGACAGCGATGACGACTCGTCCGACTTCGAGTCCTCCGAGGACGAAGCAACAGGCCAGCGCATCAAGCGGAGGAAAAAGAACCACCACAGCGCAGCCGTCATGGCCTCGTCGCGAGACCACAACGCCAGCACTAACAGTGGGGTGACAAAAGAGGAGCAGATTCGGAGCAACACTATCTACGAAGCCGACCGGGACGCTGCGTCAAGGCTGGACGCGACAAAGCAGGATGCTACGAAGGGGAGCAACTGGTTTGACGAGGACAACGAGAAGGAGGATTTGTCGGTGGGCAATCTGTTGGGGAGGACGCGGACCATGATGAAGACTAAGAAGAGAGTGGGAGGAGAGGATGATGCCCAGAACTCGGAGCGAGAACCGGACGGGACATACAGAGGCCTGGCGAACCAGGCGAGTTACATACAAAAGAATCCGAACGCACCGAATCGCAAGGTTGGGCCGATCAAGGCACCGAGTAATATCAGGACGATTACTATTACTGATATGGCGCCCGATGTTTGTAAGGAGTGAGTAGTGTTTTCCCTTCCCTTTTCCGAATTGTGGTCACAACTTCTTAGCTGCGACCTAAGCTAACCAAATGCCCAAAACAGCTACAAACAAACCGGCTTCTGCGGCTTCGGCGACAACTGCAAATTCCTCCACGCTCGCGAAGACTACGCACACGGGTGGCAACTCGACAAGGAATGGGAGAACGTGACCAAGGGCAAAAAGAACCTCCAGGGCACCGTCGTCGCCAGCGCCGACCGCCGTGATAAACCCAAGAACACTGCTGAAGAAGAAGAAGACGCCGAAGCAGCCGAAGAAGCCCTCCTAGAAAACATCCCCTTTGCGTGCATTATCTGCCGCGGTCCCTATTCGAATTCCCCCGTCGTCACACGCTGCGGTCATTATTTCTGCGAGGGATGTGCGCTGAAAAGGTACCGGAAAGATCCGAGCTGTGCGGCGTGTGGGAGTGGGACGAACGGGGTCTTTAATGCGGCGAAGAGGCTGGCGAAGCTGTTGGAGAAGAAGAAAGCGAGGGCAGAGAGGTTGAAGAGGGAGGCGAGGGAGAGGGGAGAGGAGGTTAGTGAGGAGGAGGATGAAGGGGAGGGTGAGGAGGGGAGTGATTGAGAATGAGATGGCAGTGGTGTGGGTCGAAAGAAAGCTGATGATGCAGAGAGGGAGTGGGACATAGACGATGTAGGGACGGCCAGCCTAATAATAGCGGCTTGTTACAGGGAGGTCTCGATAACACCAGGCGTTGTAAGCATACAAGGTTTTGGTTTGATGAGCTTTGGGCCAGCTCATGCAGTTTTCAACTGAATCATATGGCTTTTTACAAAACTCGACGCCATTTTTCTGTTGGATGCGAACAGGACCGGTCCTGGTGGAACATGGGCAAGTCTGGAGTATCTCAAAAAGGGACCATCCACTTCTGGTCCCAGCATCCAACATGATGATAAAAATAGGAAAAACAAAAAAAAAAAAAAAAACCAAAAAAAAAATTGGATGAAAAAAGAAATTCATGGTGTCCTGGTTACGTTGGACATCGGGAATTGAGCCCGACGTGGGGGTCGAACCCACAACCTTGAGATTAAGAGTCTCACGCTCTACCGATTGAGCTAGCCGGGCGGTGTTTAACCGCCTTGGGATGTTGAGGGACGCACTCGAGTCATGCATAGATATAGTACTAATGAAGAAAGCCTGTACTTCCCTTTGTCAAAAACATTAGTGTTTGTTCTAGATACCGACAACAGCGACTTCCAGGATCGAGTATTGTTGTTCCTCTTGAACCAGCCAGCCAAATTATCAATTCCGTAGTACTCCATATCCCATAATGCCCCATTACCCAACCCCAAACCTGCCCGCGTTGAAGAGCATAACAAAAAAGGAGAAAATGCTACCAGGGGCCCCAGTTAATGTCGAACGAGGTCAATAACACGATGTTTGCTGCGGTCTGACTTAAACACCCATGGTAAAGTCATGCTCGATTCCGGGGGTAACGCTGGCAATGAACTATGAGAGAAAATGTCAGCATGTGCACAGCACTGTATCCGGGTAAACAGCTGATAGACAAACCTTCAAAAAGACCACCAGGTATTGATCCACACGAATGGCCACCTCCTGGTCGGCGACGTCATGTGGAACCTCCTCCCACTCGGCATCTTCGCCGGGAGCAGCCTCGACGGCATTCGCATGCGCCCCGCTGACGTCCAACTTGTTGATCTCATCCACAAGACCCTCCATTCCCTGTTCGCTTCCCGAACCCTGGCCGGCTTTCATCTTCTCGCGGCGGAGCTTGAGAGCGGCATCAGCCCGATCCAGCAACGTCTTCATGACGGAGGCGTGACGGCAGGGGTGCACACTGGCCATCTTGACGCTGTGAGAGAAGAAAGGAAAGTCTTCGAGTGTTACTGTCTTATCCTTGTAGTCACCGACGATATCCTCCATCATCAGATGAGGGGGGAGCGGTTGCCCATTAGAGAGATAGCCTGACATGTACATGCGTGGGCACTTGTAGGCGTTGGCGTAGGTAATGTAGAGGGTGTAGGTACGCTTCCCACTGTAGGTAAGAGGCGGTCAAGTCAGCATATGTTCAAGTGGTGTCTCATAATTGCTGGGGACGTGGAGATGTTATCTTGCCTGTTCGAGTTATCGCCCTCAGCCCGGATGATGGCCTCGTCGTCATCGTCGTCTTCCATGTCCGGAATGTCGTCCTCATCCACAACCTCTCTATCGCCAACGTTGCCGGCATCATCGACGGTGCGTACCTCTCGTACCCTGAGGGGCTGTGAGCTGGTCATGCTGCCGGTCCGCAACCAGCCGTCATCGTCGGCACCACCCTTATTGCCCTCCACGAGGGCCTCCTCATGGCCCGCGTCGCCAGCAAAGTCATCGTTCAAGCGTCGATGACAGGGAACATGTCGTGTAACGAGAAACTGCTTTCCGGGTGGCAGAAATGGGAGGCGCTTGCTAGGTGAATCGGCATCGGCCCATGACCACGAAGGAAACTTGAAGGTAAGGTAGTCACCGGCGGCCACGAACTCTTCTGGGGTGATCTGTCCTGTGTTGCGGAATGTCGAGGTATGGCTGACAGGCGTGTACTTGTCGAGAAGGGTGGCAGCAGTCGATCTGAGGAAGTTCATCTTGAAATCCGTCGAATCGATACAAGATGATGTGTTGTCGCAGGCAAATCGATGGACGAGGAGGTTGATGGCGACTTGGACTATTGGAGGCCCCTCCTGACTGTAAAAGTGTTTGGTGTAGGTTGTCAAACGGGTTATGGGGGGACAGGTGAAAGGTGGGGTAAGGTATGTCTTCGTCGCTTGCACTGGCGGTCGCGATAAGGTTGAACTTGATCGGGTCCTAAGGGGTGATTTTGTTTGACGGTTGTGCGATGGAAAAAAAGAGAGAAGGATGAAATTTGATCGGATAAGTCGAGAAAAGAGCACACTACAGTAGGTATACAAAACAGATGCCCGTGACGCGAACGACACAAGCAGAACTTGCAGAATGAGGCTGCCACCGACACCCAACGTCAAGTGACGAACACTGCCCTGGGGAAGCCCGTGATAGTGACTGGGCAGGGGTATGATATGGATGACGGGATGGCGCCAAGCTTGCGCAACACGCCCGTGTCCTGTCAGTCTGTCGCTGTTCAAAGAGGTGCCTGGGGTGAAGGTGCGGGGCCTGTCCGATGAAGCGCAGCGTTCACCCAGCGGTCTGCCCTTCCTTGCGAGGGAAACCTTTCAGTGGAGAAAGTACCTTGGGCACCTCTAGGCGATGTAGGTTACCTCTACCCATCAAGGTGCAATCTCGTGTACGTAGGTACCTACTCTATCCCTAGGTACCTCTATACCGGCGAGATTGCCCGGAGATAGAGGTACCTGTCAATAGAGACTCTGAGGTGGGTACCTCCGCGGGGTCTCAGATGGCTGGATGGATCATGCGGTTCGATGCATCCCGTCCAAGTGGTACGCAGTCTCTACACCTCTACAGTAATGTGCCCTGTTAATGCAACTAATGCCGGCAGCCAGATTTCTTTGCAAAAGGGGGGCTTTTGCAAAGGATGGTACTAGTGCACAGACCAATATATGCTGTGGGGCTACTAGATTACGGGTCGACTACCCTAAAGGTGGGTCACTTCGACCCTCTCGCACCGCCGCTATTCGTCCTACCCACCTAAATCAGATCCCTATTAATGCAAATCCCCCCCGTCAATATTGCAATTAGCAATTAACAATCTTCACCACCAGAGGGAATGCGGGCAGCCGAAATCTTTAGCAAAAGGGGGGCTTTTTGCATTAAGGGGGCTTAGCATTAACAGGGCACATTACTGTAGGTAGGTACCTAGGTAGGTACGGGCAATATGAAGTTCCGTACCAGGCGGCCAGCGGGTAAGGGGCATTCACAGGGAGTCAAATGACGGCTTAGGTGGTCTTTAATGAATCTCATATTAGCGGGCCGTCAATCGGGTCCTCACTGCAATGTCCCCCACTGAAGCCTCCGGTATTTCCATTGGTCACGATTGCCAAGGCGAGATGCCCGCTGGGAGCTGCGAGACCGTAGGTGGCTGTACCCAGACGCCGTACGACCTTCCTCCTGTTTCTTCTTTACCCGCAGGTGTCATAGCTCACTTCCTGTTGGCCCAAGTGGAAAGGCTGACGACGGCGCCGACGACGACGACAAGACTCGTCGCCGCGTGATATTCTCGAGTTATTTTTTCTCATCTATTGCTCAGTTTGGACTGCTCCTCGTTCTTTAATTGAAGCACCTACCAAGCCGTGCGCCCCAACCCTTTGCCAGAACGGGTCGCTGTCGCAGTCACAATACCTAACTTGCCAACTGCCAACTCCATCTATAATATAATCATTTCAAGGACACGGCTTCCCTTTGACTGCCCAACATGGCGACCATACGGAGTCTCGATCATACCAAGTGCGTTTGTCCAAATCATACTTCCCGAATGGCTAGGCGCATGTATACTGACCGATACTGCCGCTGCACAGATCCGAAGCCGAACTGGCCATCAACATCCGAAAGGCCACCAGCGCCGAAGAGTCTGCCCCGAAACGCAAGCATGTTCGAAGTTGTATCGTTTACACGTGGGACCACAAGTCTTCCCAGTCCTTCTGGGCAGGCATGAAGGTTCAGCCTATCATGGCCGACGAGGTCCAGACTTTCAAGGCCCTCATCACCATTCACAAGGTCTTACAGGAGGGCCACCCGGCGACACTGAGAGAGGCCATGGCAAACCGCGGTTGGATTGACAGTCTGAACCGCGGCATGGGCGGCGAAGGTATGCGTGGATATGGGCCCTTGATCAAGGAATACGTTTATTATCTCCTTGCGAAGCTTTCGTTTCACCAACAGCACCCCGAATTCAACGGCACGTTCGAGTACGAGGAATACATCAGTCTCAAGGCCATCAACGATCCGAACGAGGGTTACGAAACCATTACCGACCTCATGACGCTGCAGGATAAAATTGACCAGTTCCAGAAGCTCATCTTCTCTCACTTCCGGAACGTCGGCAACAACGAGTGCAGGATATCTGCCCTCGTCCCCCTAGTCACCGAAAGCTATGGCATCTACAAGTTCATCACCAGCATGTTGCGCGCCATGCACTCATCTACTGGCGACGCCGAGGCGCTGGAACCGTTGCGCGGAAGATATGATGCCCAGCATTACCGGCTGGTCAAGTTTTACTACGAGTGCTCAAACCTCCGCTATCTCACCAGTCTGATCACGATTCCCAAGCTTCCCCAGGATCCGCCCAACCTCCTGGCCGAGGATGAGAACGCACCTGCTTTGCCTGCTCGGCCAAAGCACGAGATCGAAAAGCGCCCAACACCTCCGCCCCCAGCACCGAAATCCGAAGAGCCCGATGACATGGCCGAGTTCTGGAAGAATGAGCTTGACAGGCAGAATCGGGAATACGAGGAGCAGCAGCGGGTTTTGGAAGCACAGCAGCAGCAGGCGTTGCTAGCGCAGCAACAAGCACAACTACAAGCACAACGTGATTTCGAAGAACAGCAACGGCGGTTAATGGAGCAACAGCAAAGGGAGCAAGAGGCCTTGATGGCCCAGCAGACACAATGGCAGACTCAAGGGCGGCTTGCTGAGCTTGAACAGGAGAATCTGAATGCCCGGGCCCAGTACGAGCGGGATCAACTAATGCTTCAGCAGTACGACCAAAGGGTCAAGGCTCTAGAAAGCGAGTTGCAACAAATCCAGGGTAACTACGGGCAGCAAATAAACAGCAGAGACGACCAAATCCGTGCTCTACAAGAACAACTCAACACTTGGAGGACAAAGTACGAAGCGCTTGCGAAGCTCTATTCCCAGCTTCGCCACGAGCATCTTGACCTCCTCCAAAAGTTCAAGACGGTGCAGCTCAAGGCGGCTTCCGCTCAGGAAGCGATTGAGAAGCGGGAGAAGCTTGAGCGTGAGATCAAGACCAAGAACTTGGAGCTGGCAGACATGATTCGTGAGCGCGATCGTGCTCTTCATGAAAAGGACAGGCTGCAAGGCTCGAATAAGGACGAGGTTGAGAAGCTCAAGAGGGAGTTGCGGATGGCCTTGGACCGCGCCGATAATCTGGAGCGCAGCAAGGGCAACGAGCTTTCTACAATGCTTTCCAAGTACAACCGCGAGATGGCCGATCTGGAGGAAGCTTTGCGTATCAAGTCACGAGCACTGGAAGAGGCCCAAGCCAAGCTACGGGATGGCAGCTCGGATCTTGAAGCGCTACTTCGCGAAAAGGAGGAGGAGCTCGAGGTATACAAAGCTGGCATGGACCAGACACTGATCGAGCTCAATGAGCTCAGGAACAACCAGGGTGTCTCCGATTCAGCCCTTGACGGCCAGCTGGACGCTTTGATCCTCTCCCAGCTGGAGAAGGTCAACGAGATTATCGACTCTGTGCTTCAAGCTAGCGTTCAGCGTGTTGATGATGCCATGTATGAGCTCGATTCTGACATGCAAGCCGGAAACCAGAACGCCTCGCCTTCCTATGTCCTCTCGCAGATTGAGAAGGCGTCTGCGAGTGCCACGGAGTTCGCTACCGCTTTCAACGTCTTCATCGCCGATGGTCCCAGCAGCAGCCCGGCGGAGCTGATCAAGAACGCCAACGTTTTCGCTGGCGCCATCGCCGATGTGTGCAGCAATACCAAGGGTCTCGTTCGCCTCGCTACTGACGAGAAGAAGGGAGACTCTTTGATCAACGGTGCTCGCTCATCTGCCCATTCGACAGTCAAGTTCTTCCGCGGTCTGTTGAGCTTCCGCCTTGAGGGCATGGATCCCCTTCAGAAGACCGACGTTGTCATCAACAGCAATAACGACGTCCAGATCAATCTGCAAAAGCTGAACAAGCTTGTCGAGACCTTCGCCCCTGGCTTTGGCCAGCTCGCTAACAAGGGTGACCTTGGCGACATCGTCGATCAAGAACTTAGCAGGGCCGCCGATGCCATTGCTGCTGCCGTTGCCCGTTTGCAGAAGCTCAAGAACAAGCCTCGCGATGGATATACTACCTACGAACTCAAGGTCCACGACTCAATCCTCGATGCCGCCATGGCCATTACTACTGCTATCGCGCAGCTCATCAAGGCTGCCACCGCTACACAGCAGGAGATTGTGCAAGCTGGTCGTGGCTCGTCTTCGCGCACCGCCTTCTACAAGAAGAACAACAGATGGACCGAGGGTCTCATTTCCGCCGCCAAGGCTGTTGCCAACTCTACCAGCACTCTCATCGAGACTGCTGACGGTGTTCTTTCCAACCGCAACAGCCCTGAGCAGCTCATCGTTGCATCTAATAATGTTGCGGCCTCCACCGCCCAGCTCGTGGCTGCCAGCCGTGTAAAGGCCGGCTTCATGAGCAAGAACCAGGAGAGCCTGGAGGAGGCCAGCAAGGCTGTCGGTGCCGCCTGCCGTGCACTCGTCAGACAAGTCCAGAGCATGATCAAGGACCGCAGTGCCGAGGATGAGCAAGTGGACTACAGCAAGCTTGGGTCGCACGAGTTCAAAGTGCGTGAGATGGAGCAACAGGTACGTATATCCTCTGGGATTTCCTTCTTCTTTTATTTCTGGTACCCTTGGTCTTGCCTATTGCGGTTCAATGCTGATCAAGTCATTCTCTCCCATCACAGGTCGAAATCCTTCAACTCGAAAACGCATTGAATGCTGCTCGCCACAGACTTGGCGAGATGCGTAAGATTTCGTACCAACAGGACGAGGACTAATTTTCCGGCAACGCATGGGGTTATTGAGGTAGTATACTCGGTGGCTTCATTCATCTCGCTGGCTTTACGCTTCAATGCGCAGCGTGGGCACATAAATCCGACCAGATCCCCTCCCTCATTCTGTTTTCGTCCCGCAGCGTCTTCCAAAATCTTCATCAGATGTTTTATATTTCAACTACCCCCTCTGTACCTAGCTCGAATTCCTTTGGGAGTTATCAGGTGTTAGTGTTAAACTCAGTTTCATCCACCTTGTTCTTTTTCATCCACTGAAGTCGTCAATTGGCCGTCGTAACTTCGGCCTCGGATATGTTCCGTTCGCTCTTCGCGCGGGTGTTTGGTAACACAGGCAAACCGCCACTCCCGCTGTCATACTGCTGGCATCCGTCGTGTTTCTTTTATGACGATGTACATCCTTTTTTTGTGGTTTCGATTTTCGCGTTCGCTGCTCGCTGCTCGCTCGATCGGTCGGTCTGCCAGAAAGTTTACCAGATACGTCAAGAGTGAGTAGGCGACCAAATTTCGTGCTTTGTGCTGCTGAATATCACCCCTTTTCCGCCTCCTCTTCCCCTTCCCCTGTCACGTCAGTCCTTTAGCCCTCGGCTGTCCAATTTCCCTACGTCTGCTTATACGGCCCATTTCACTCCCTCTCTTCGCTTTTTTGTCGCAGCCCGTTCGTTGTATCGTCATCGGTGGCTGCTTTCGTTCGTGCAGCAAGATTCAGAACGAGAAAATCTCTGGTGGAGGGAGTTCAAGTTCCGTTTCCTTCCTATCGCCTGGTCCATTATGCTGTTTTCTCTTTTTCTTTTCGTTCCCCACGTCAGCTTGAAAGTCTGGTCTCTGTCTCCCTCTTGACTTGCATTTCCTAGTTCTTCCCATTCTGGCAGGCCAAGCTAAAGTCGAACCATCACACTCTCCTGCTTCCCTCTCCGGTCGGTTGGCGTTCACGTTGTTATGCTATTAAAGTGCTCCTGCGGAGTCGTCGTTGTCGTACCAACCAATAGCTTGGATGACGGGTAATTGGATGTACCAGTGCCAAGTATTGGATCCGCTGGTGTTTGCTGCGGGCAGATGGTTGTGATGTCCATGAGCTGTACAATAAGAAGAGATGTATGGGAGAGCAGGGCAGCGTGGGGCTGCGTTGGGCAAGCAATTGCATTCTTCCATGGCGTTTATAGGTTGGGACCTGCAGCAAAATATTCAAGGGTATACTTTTTGGGGGGGGAGCCTCTTCAGGTCGTTTACGGGTCTTGGTCGAGATATAGTATAGCCCACAGCGTCCTTGGGTTTGGGATTCTTACGTAGACTTCAATACCTACATTGGTCAATATGCGAATGAAAGCGAATCAAGCCTCAGCTTAGATAGTTTGTATTTGGTATGTCGCGCTGTTCTACGCTCTAGGTATGTACCGATGTTGCCGAGCACCAGCGCCTGCTTACCTTTACGCAACTGCAGAAGTGAGCTTCGCTCGTGCAGGCAGGACGACACTGCCACCTTGTTATTCATCCCGCCTAGCAAACGGTAGGCATCAAACTTGGCAACCGTAACCTCGGACCTCCCAACCTACCCATGTACCTGCAGAAGTGAGCTTCGCTCGTGTAGGCAGGATGATATTACAACCTTGGTATTCATCCCGCCTGGTAAACGGTAGGCATCAAACTTGGCAACCGTGTGCCCTCGGACCTCCCAACCTACCTATGTACTTGCAGAAGTGAGCTTTACCGGTACTCGTACAGAAAGGATGACTGGTTATAAAGGATGAATGTAATTAGATAGGAAACCCGACCCGGGCCCTCCCAACAGGTACTTAAACTACTGTATCCCCCCTCTCAAATTCTTCTCCCAACATATAACCAAACATTGATGATTATATCATAGTGTCGACCCCGAGGATCTCATGCTTACTGCCTGCTTAGCCGCTTCCCGCAAGAAGAAGGGTATTGATACCATCGACAAGGCTTTCCTCAAGTCCCTCAAGTACTACCCCCGCGCCAAGTCCATTCTCTCCAAGTACAAGGTTCTCCAGTTCCACCCCTTCGACCCCGTCTCCAAGAAGGTCGTCGCCGTCGTCGAGTCTCCCCAGGGTGAGCGCATCACTTGCGTCAAGGGTGCCCCTCTTTCCGTTTTGAAGACTGTCGAGGAGGACCACTCCATGTCTGAGGAGGTTGACTAGGCCTACAAGAACAAGGTTGCTGAGTTCGCTACCCGTGGTTTCCGTTCTCTGGGTGTTGCCAGGTATGTTTCTCGCTTACTATTCAACTCTCTACTTTCCGGTCACTCTAATTCCTTTCTCATATACTATGAATATTCTAGGATGAATATCACAGAGACAGCAACCCTTGAGGTTGATACTCAAAACTTCCCAACCAAGACAATCGTTCCACTCATTATCGCATGGGTTGTTATTGGCTACATCTGGTTTTGGTATCGATCGATAAATATTTGGGTTCATTGGAATGGAGCTATCGATACGTTTACCCACTACACAGAAAACCAACAAAGAACCCGGATCGCAGCATATTGCCTGATACCTCTGATGTTTGTTGGAATATGGCCTCTCGATTTGTTTGGCTGTATCATTTGCTACGTATCGAAAGCGATCAATAACGAACAAGGACTTCCGAGGACCTTACCAATTGCGGAAACCCTAAACACAACTCCGACGAACCCAAATGTACAACACCCTGACCCTCCCCCACCTTACAATGGCGTTGGGGCGAAGTGTGCTCGTCCATAAATCACTTTACCGATCGTGACGTTGAGCGTAGTATTTGGCGAGGAGGTTGTAGTGATGTTTGTGACGGGTGGCACATAACAGCGGAAGATGATAGCTCTTTGAGGCTAAAGCGTGCTTGTTGTCTCTTTTTTCCCCTGAAGAGTTATCGCGTTTCTGGCTATGAGGGTAAACTCGCGGTACCAAACCTGGCCTAATAGCCCACAGACTCGCCGTTCCTATTTTGGTAGCCCTTACTCAATTATACAAGAGGAGGAACCCGAAGGTTTTTATACATTCCCACACTCAAACGCCTGTGCAGTCTTGGTGGACGTGTGCGTGTACACACACACACAACTTTTTGGCAAAACGGACCATCGATGAGATTTCATTTGCTTATATCTCTACCAAACAAAGAGATAAAAGAAATCCGACTTGAGATTCAGAGTCAGCGTACTTAAGATTATTAAGAGAATAGTTTTTTTTCCATAGGATAATTGAGTTTCTTCATCTTCGTCTTTCGTTTCAATAGTCCATTTTACCAAAAAGTTGTGTGTGTGTGTACACGCACACGTCCGCCAAGACTGCACAGGCGTTTGAGTGTGGGAACAGTAACAAGCAAGACCTAAAGAGGATATACGAGACGACAAATTCCCGCTAGATAACTAGTTCGTGATCAATTGGACTGCTCAACGTCAGCGTTCGTTTGCGATAAGTAGCAAACAGACAATCAAAGCGCAAGGGAGAATGGGAAATGAGAATCAAGGGGGAATCTGTAAGGCACGCTAAATGATCCAGGGATCACTTTGTGAGATATCACTTTTCGAAATTTGTAAGCTTGCTGTGAAGCGATTGTGACCGAAAGCTTTCCTGCAGTCAGCTGAGAGTCATGGGTTTGATTGACTGGTGGCAACCAATTGTTGACCCACTGCTATCTTCGTGAACTTTATACTGGGTGAGATGCAGATTCAAATGACATTGAACTTGTTCTGTCAGACCTGCTGTCAGAAATTACATGGGATTTCCGGAAACACAAACCGCTCATCCCCCGGTCCGCCACCAGTTATATGTTCAAAGATGACAAGCCAGGTTCGCTTTGCAAATACATGTTCAAACAGCAAGCCACTTGACGAGGCCTGGGCAGAGTGCCGCGGTGAGATTTGAAGAGAGTAGTACCGAAGGGAGATTCGAGAAGCGGTACATTGGTACTGTACTGCACGAGCTGTCAAGAACCCTCATTGATTGCACAAACCTTTGCACCCTCCTTTCGCTTTTTTTTCTTGTAACACAGTAACGGCAATGCGTGCAGCTAGGGTTTCGGGAGTCTGTGACGGAACCGCACAAACATCCGATCAACCGAACGCCCGAAAGAACGGCGCCGACAAAGTGGGAAGAATGGTCGAGACCCCAGCTCTTCCGCCAGTCGGCGCCACGCACCTAGCATATGCAAACCCTTGGCCATACATGCCACAACACAAGGATTCGGTATGTGAGGCACGAAGGTGGAATACTGCCTATATGATGAACGGGCTCCTTTTTGTGACAAAGCGAAGAGTGAATGTTGCAGAATCTTGCGCTGTCTTATTGCTTGCTATATGTTACCGTGGGCTTGATGGAGAATGGAAGGTCGGCACCGCCGACCAGGCAGTCTGTCAGCACTCCGCAGGGCACGGTGACAACTTCAAATCTGGGACTTGGGAACATAAGCAACCTGCCAGCTTCAGGTAGAATGGATGTTGCACTGGTATCTTCTAAATAAACCCAAGACTTAATGTACCTACTTGCTACTCTCCAATGCGTCAAGTTTCTTTGTGTGCGTATCTGGCAGAATCAGCACGATCCCGTCCCAGACTCTCGTCGCTACGGTACAAGAGTACCGTGCAAAGATGTCTATATACACTGTATATCCCTGTACACTTGGAGAGCGGGACGCAAGGGATTTCGACAAGCCGGGATTAGTGAACGAAATTCAAGGATTGTCCAATTAGACTGTCCGGGAAGCTGACCCCCACCAGAACTGTATTCCCATATTCATTCATGGGCAGAACGTCAAACGAAGCAGCAAAATTGGAGCGAAGACAACATTGCTGTGTTTATTTTTGAAGCAGCAGACCAAGTAATGATGCCACCTAATTGCGGAAGTTATCTCCACTCTTTCAAGACCTGAGGAGCCCCGCTATAGCTTATTGTCTTTTCCCTTTTTCCCTCCTTTTTAAAACAAATCACAAACGCTAACAGTAAAGAAGCATCGTCGCTGACGGAATAATACCGGAACCACCCTTAAAGGCCTTACCGAAGAGGAAGACCTGGAGCTAGTCGTAGATAGAGAGGACACCAGCACCGGCGATACCACGGAGAATATTAGCACCAACACCCTTAAAGAGAGACTTAACACCCTCCTTGGCAGCGATCTGGGAAGCGGTATCGAAGGAAGATTTGTACTTGACGGCCTCACCGGAGGTCATTATTATGCGACGACGGATAGTATCAAGAAGGTAAAGGGCGATACTAGCGGCGGTAATGATGTACTAACCGAAAGTGAAAGAGGTAAGGAAGTTATTCTGAAAGTTACCGACGAGGAGGACGGGCTTGATAGAATTGTAGAGACCGAAGTAGAGACTATGGTAGACGACGATACCAGCGACGGAGGGATCAAAACCACGGTAGAGACCGGCAATACCATTAGAAGCGATGATCATGCGGTAGACATCGACGAGACCATAACTGTGACTCATACTTCAAAAGTAGAGACTTTACAACGGTCAACAGCCTCGTAGGCCGGTGGTGCTTCATCGCTCCTAGTAGTGGCGGTCTCACTTTCAGTATTGGTTCGGAATGCGTCTCTGATGTAGCCCCAGATCACGGTCGCTGTCACGTCGACAGGCCATAGTAATATAAACAGCGGTCCTATCAAAGCCAAAATTATAATTCGAGTTCGGATTTCGATCGAGGAGGCTTGGGAGAGAAGTCTGATGTCACCGAAACAGTTCTTCCATATGCGGTCTGCCCTAAACCAGTAACGTCCGAATCCGAACAGGATGTAGGAACTTATGATCGTTCCCCATAGGTGCGAAAAAGTGGTGGGCGTGTTTTGCGATGGGGGAGCTTGCTGGTCCATTGTTGGAATGCTCAGGAGGAAGTTTAACTGTTGCTATTATATTAGAAAGAAGTTGGAGAGGCGAGAAAGCGGAGAGTAGAATGGTGAGCGAGAGACATATCTTTGGGTGGGAAAAAAGTGTCTGGTCGATGGGACGGTAGCGTCGGAGTGAGTGTCTAGCGAATGGATTGATTTAAGCAAATGGTCGATGGGACGGTAGCGTCGGAGTGAGTGTATAGCGAATGGATTGATTTAAGTAATTAATTTCCGATGCATGGGGAGAAAACTGAGAAAGATGTGATTGGAATGGGAGAAGAATTGAAGGGAGCGATATGATGGTTTAAGTACCTGTAGGTATGCTTTCATCCTTGAGACCACGTCGTCCTTCCTTCCTGTACGAGCAGAGTTCACTTCTACAAGTATAGGTAAGTAGGTTCGGAGGTCCGAGGTTACGGTTACCGAGTTTAATGCCCTCCGTCGGCTAGGAGAATAACGTGCTTTGGGGTTTCCTTGTTGGGGATCAGGGATTGGCAGTTGGTTGTTGCCTTGTTGATGCGGGACGCCAAACCAACAGAAGGTTATACTAAGGGTCCATGCATAAGCGGTGCCACCAATGACGCATCGGGACTCTGCCCTGATGTCTCGAACGCACATGTCAACAAGCAACCAAAACCTTTACTCGGGGGTTGCGGTGCGCTCTGGCTTGCCAAGCTTTTCTGCCCCCTCATGGAGAGGGGGTGGAAGAGCCTTGGCGCCCAGAGCCAGAAGGCACCCATCACCCTCGAGTATGGGATGATAAACCGAAAATCAACGGGGAAAGCTGCCATTCCTGGCCGAGACGGAACGTCGCAGGATACGTGACCGGGACCCACTGAAGGGTACAGTTCCTGCGGGGACCCGAACTCGTAGATAGACCAGTCCCGCCTTACAGACCCCCCCTAATACCCCCTTGTAAGAAAATATGGGGCAGGAACCAGACTATGTAACAAACTTACAGGGACTGATATGTAGTATGTACAAACATCAGCGGACCCTTATCAGGATCTAAGAAGCAGAGTAACCCTGTACACTAGCATGAACGGGGGCCACAGCTCCCGCATTGCCCCAGTTTTGCGGCTGAAGCATTCAGCGCAGCGGGGTTGCATGCATAAGCGTTGCCGTCAGCGGCGGGCCTGTTTCTTTATCTCAACGACATGTCAAATCCGGCAATGACACCGCAGACGCTTGCGTTCATATTGATTGACTAGTGAAGGCTATCCCGGATCAGATGGTGGACGCCGCTGATTTGATTTTATTTGATACTCTTTCGCCTTCTAGGCGGGTACCTGTCTCCTTGCCGTGTAATTGCCCATTCCACCCCGTTCGATTCTGAAGTCTCATGATTTGCCCCAAATGTATGCACAAAGAAACCTAACTAGACCCTTTTCGCCCTCGCTTTGTATGCCCGTAACACGAAATCCAGATGTGACAAAGGAAAGGAAATGGTGACTGCGCCGTGCTTCTATGCTCCTCAGTTAAATTCTGTTAATCGGTTAGCACACGGGTAAAGTTTTGCGACATGGTACCTCATCTTCCACTAACCCATCATGGGAACATCGATAGCCAGAGCCATGTTGTAAGGGTCATTGCTGGAGGCGTGTCCATTCTCGAGAATTGAATCCAACAAGGTCTCAAACTGAGCTGAGTATCCAGACTCGGTACCGAATTCTCCCTGCTGAATCCAATGGGAGAGAGGAAGATTGATGATGCCATCTACCTCTGCAGCGACCGTGTGATTGCGAGGGAACATCGCCGAAACTCCAACTTCAGATTCATCAGTTTGAACGGCGTGTCCCTGCTGACGGTGAGGACGCTTGTTGAACCAGATCATGTCGTAGCTAGGATCTGAAAGCTTGGCGATGACAGAGTGAGGATTGGCAAGAGGCAATCCGCTCTCGAGGCACTTGGTGAGCAGGCATAAGCCGTTCATGGGCTGGAGATTGTGCTGAACCAAAGGAAGAGCCGTGCGCTCGAGGTCGTGAGTGCCGTTGGGAAAACGGACGAGGTTCCAGCCAAAGGATGCCATGTAGTTGTCGCGGATAATCACTCCCAGATGGCCGACAGCATAGTGAATCCAGAGTTGCAGAGTAACCTTCTCCTGCTCAAGGTAGGTCCGGATTGACGAATACACCGAGCACATGAAATCCCACTCATTGTGGAAGGGATCATGCTGCCAGAGAATGGTCATGAAGGGCGATCTCTCCTTTTGCGGGAGCTGAGAGAAGAGCGGGGAATAGTACGCTGAAATGAAGAGCAATCAGCCATGGATCAACGACAATTTTGATTCAGATTTGACTCACATCTGAAACCCATGAAGCCGTTGACCTTCTTCTTTGCCGCGGGGATTCGGCGAACAGGTTCGGTACGCATCATCGTTGAGAAAGCTCTCATTGCCGCTTCACGGTCGTCCTCAGCGAGGTCGGCGAACGTCTTGACGATTTGATCGACACCCGACATCGTGTTTCTGGTGGATGGATTATTGATTGGAGAGCACTGAACACGTGAGGTAGTGCTGCCGAGATTTTGGTTGCGAAGTTGATGTTCGGGGAAAGATGGTGGGAAGTTTGGGTGAAGGTGGAAAAGATGAACTGGGCTTTCTTAAATAGGAGACATGGGGTTGGTTGGTTAATTTGGGTGGAGCGGCTTCTCTCTCCCTTCACTTGACGACCGCGGGGGAGAGGAGGGGGGGGGGGCTTGCTGCCTTGGGGGCACAACTTTCAGCGAGGGCTTGGATTACATAACACATAGCAGCTTTGTGAACTTCTGAGAAAAAAGTGAAACCAATCTGATCGAATAATACTTTTCTTGAATTAAAAGTAGCATTGTTTGTACGAGCCACGGATTCTACCATATCCATCAAATGTAGTAGATGTGCTCCTCTTGCTGCACACCGTCTCGCGGGTCGAAGTGATCAGCAAGCTCCAAACCCTCTCCCCAAAGTGCGGGTCGAGTGAAAACATGGGAGAGAATGCTAAGTGGGCGCTCCTGACTGTAGTCAACGGGGATCTGTTGATCGGTTGTTAGCACATCATCATCCGTGAATAGTAAGCAGGATCATACGAACCTGGTGTAAGCCTTCATGATAAAACACAATCTCAGGTTGTCCTTCTACAACATAACCAGGCAATGATGTTGTCATGGCAAAGTCCAACTTCCTGAGGAGAGCCTGCCGTGATGTCAGTGATGATTACCTACATTGAACCGAGATAGGAGAACTTACTTCTTGCTGAATGGATGTCGGTGCTGGCGGCTGGACATGTCCATTCTACCTTCAGTCAGTCGTGCAAATTTTGTAGTTTTCAGACACGTTCAAGTACTTACCTCTGTGTGAATTGTAGCGACTCTCTGATGCTCGCTGCTGATTTCCTCCAAAATAAATTCAGCAGTTTCCGGAATAACCACAAAGAACTTCCGAGGACCGACTCGGTAACTGTCGACGGCCGCATCATCATCGAAGAGGCGAAGTTGCTTGTCGTCGCCAACTTCAAGATTGCCAAAGAACTTGTGCCATGGGGTGCCTGGAACGCGCCTCAAAGGATGGAGGGTATGGTCGACATGCCAGTTTCTTCCTCCCGCCTGCCCCACGATCTCTTGCTTCGACTTGTGCAAAATATGTCCATTCAGTACGTACACATCTTTTCCGTAGACCAAGCCAAAGTCCTTTCCCGGAACCTCCTGAGCAGCTTTGTGAAGTGTAAGAGAGCGAAGGAGGCGGAACGCAAACTGCTGGCCTTTGTAGGCAGCTCGTTGGAGTCTTTGATCTCCACCTGATGGCAATCCTCGATTCTTCTCAAGAAATGAGAGGAAGTTAAGAATTGTGTTTGTCGACTCAATGATGCAGCATGATGTCTTGATGATTCTTCTCTCGTCGCTAGATCCGAACTCGTTGCTAGACCCGAACCAGCTTTGGCGATACTTCGTTCTCGTTGAGCATAGCAAGAGCTTGGCTTCATGGAAAAGACACCGAAGGTTCTCTTCGAACTCCTTGATTGCCTCTGAAAGAACTGAACGGGAAAGCCTAGCCTGTAGCTGATGGAGTTTCTGACCAATCCATTAGTGACAAGCAAGCGAGTGTTTCCGGGTCAGAAGAATTGCTACCTTGTACATCACTTCGAGATCCTGGCCTTCCTGGCTAGAGGCACGGTTTTCTTCGAACATAGCTGGTTGCTCTGACCTTTTAGGTTGCATGTTGAGAAGATTCATGTCGACAGCTGACGAAAAGGAAACCTCAACAGTGAACGCTTGAGAAAGCTGCCATGCGACTGCTAAGTATGGAGAGAAGTTTTGTTGACACGGAGTTTCGAAGAAGTGAACCAACAAAGACACAGGGTTCCAAAATATCTTTCGAGGGACATTGCCTGGCAGGTTTCCAATCCAGGTCCTTCCTATTGTTCTCCTGTGAAACTTGAGGTGGAGATTACTTGACGAGAGGGGCACTGCATGCTGAGATTCATCCCAAGTTATTCCTATTGTTCTCCTGTGAGAATCGGCCAAGGTCACTTGCCGATTTGAGGGGCATCGTATGCCAAATTTCATCCCAAGTCCTTCCTATTGTTCTCCCGGCCAACCTTAGGGCAAATGTCAATTTGACCAATCACATAAGGTGCGCAGCTGGCAAGCCACAGAAACAATAGCAAAATGCGTACCCTTTCCCGCGAACAATAGGAGGACGAGCTGCGGGAGGTATTGGGCCTTTCCTGCCATTCACCTTGACATTAACCCACGCAGAGCAGATTGTCGTATCACCTACAAATACCGGCTCAAATTCTCGCAAATACCCCCTCTTCCTTCCTCCAAACTCAACACTCGACAATTCCGTTTTCCACCAACTACCGGTCCTCGTTGTCATTCATCTTCATATACGTCGATCTTCTTACACTTCGTCTGTCCCATCCATTCCATAACCACATCCAAGCACACCTGTAGTCGCCGTCTGCACCCCGCTATCACAATGTCTGCCTTAGACGTTGATGCAATCAGCGACATCGCACCCGGTCTCAGCCCTGTGACTGCAATTCACTATGGCAGGATCCAGGTAATGCTGTTCAGGTCCCATCTGGCCGAATTTGCTGAAGAGGATCTTGTCTATGCGATGGACAACTCAGTGTGAGTGTTGGCCCGAGGAAAGTTTCTCTTATAGCTCATAGCTGACTCCTTTCAGTGTCGTGTTTGGCGAAGAGGCCTTGCTCATGGTTGCCCCCGATGAGTCCAGCATCGCGATCTGCACGTATCCAGTTGGGCTCATGATGATGGAATGGGGAAACTGGGACATACTCGCAGTTTCGCCCCCTTGTAAGTTCACCAAACATTGGGCCCCCATTACTCAAGCTAACCAGACATTCCAGCGCAAACTCCCACCATTCCAAGCGAGAGCGTCTTGGGCATCTCAAACCAAGGAGGTGCTAATGTTGAGCAGCAAGAGCAAAGCTCTCAAACCATCGACATGACTCTGCCCAACAACTTTTTTGAACAGAGTTCGGTAACTCAAAGCAATGGTACTAGCCGCCCGCGCAACCAATTCGTTCTCTACTACCAATGGCTGTTGGATACTCTGTTCTCCGAAGATCCGAGTCTTTCAGCTCGCAATATTTGTATGTGAACAAACTCTCCTGTCCTGCATGACATTTATTAACCATATCTATACAGCTCAAATTGTTGCGGGCTTGTGGAACAGCGAGCACCCCGCGGCAAAAGCTCGCTTCAGGGAACTGGCGGAAATGGAGGTTCATCGTCACCGAGCTGAGAATCCTCACCTTTACCCCGACCAGCCGCGATTTCCCACCACCGATCCCGTTCCTCCTCGCATGAGATATCCTTGCGTAATCTCGCCCGAAGATCGGCAACGAATTCTGCGGATGCTCGACTTTGTCTGGGAAGAGTCGAACGGCCAGTTGGCTGCCGAAGAAGCCGCACTTAACGATGTTGTTCAACCTCAACAAGCCGAGGAGGTCGGCCCTTTCCCCGACTTCGAGTGGGAGGAGCCTAACCACATTATCGACATGTCGACCGACCTGTCCGTGGCCCAGGACCCGGACTTCATGATGACTGAGGACGACTCCATGCGATTCCTTCTCAAGCAGGCGTGCTGATTCTTTACTCATGCTTGCGACTACATTGATCGAGATCATGTCTCATTCACTACCGCTGTCCCACATTCACGGACTAACGCTCGTACTCGCCGACTTCGCATTTGGAGAGCCGGCAACACTTGATCAACAACCAAGACATCACAAATAAGTCGATGGTTCTCTTGTTAATCTCTCGTCAATCCTACGAGTAGGGAGTACCGTCCTCAAATCACAGCACACTAGGGCGTGCTCGCCGGCAGTGGACAGCTTCATTCTCTTGGCACATTCCATCAGTGCAGCTCAGCATCAGTTTCAGTCTTGGTCCGTCTGTTCTATCAGCCATTTCAATCAGCAGCTGGACCTCAGTCTTGACATCACTGCAGAGTCACTTGCCTCGCCCTTCTCGGGTTTGGCTTTCAGACTCCTGCATACGACGACAAGACTTTGACACCGGCATGGATACAGCAAGCAACAACGGTCTCGGTTTCTTTTTCTCATGGTTCGCATTTCCTTATTTGTTCTTTGTCAGAGTCACAGCAAGCACACATCTTCCTCGACAGTCGGCGCTGTCTCATCGGCACTAACTCATCCATACTTTGGGCGTCAGTTTTCTTCTTCGTCATCTCACCGTTCACGGTAAAGGGATCCTAGCAGAAGGGATAGCAGGCGGTGCGACATATGCACTGGGTCGGTCAGAAGGGACTCAACAGTCGACAGTCTTTTTTTCGCAGGAGGAAGCAGCATGGTGCACATCTCATTTGCATCTCGGTTCGGTTCGGTGAAAGGTATCTCAGGGTGCCACACAAGTCACATGGCGGAGGGCATAATAGGTCGGCTTTTGTCTTTTTTCGCATTAGGGAGGGACACAGGTCTGGTTTGCTTTTGCATGGCGCAAGGTCAGTGATATCCAAGGGGGACGGTTTCTGGTCTCATTCTATGGTTTCTTTTCCTTTGTTGCTAGCATATCGGAGCGTGGGGTGACTGGCGCATCATGGTACGTTCATCAAAGTCTCCAGAGCCTATTTCACTCGTCTACAAGGGAGCACAGGTAGATTACTTAGAAAAAAAAAGCATTTAAAAGAAAACCAACTTCATCGTTCGTATGCCCGTGTGACATTCACTTGCTTGACAACGTCTGCTTTGCTTACTGGTCTCCGCTGCGTTACAAACTGTCTTGCTTTTCCGGCGGCTGGCTTCGCTGCTTTGTCTGCTTCCCACGTCGTGCGATAAGGGGACCAAGTGAGACGTCAAGCATCCCGGAGTATCACCAGTAGAGGACCCCGGCCCATCCCGCAACTAAAAAACGTGAGGCAGCTGAGTAGCTGTGGAAAAGCAGATGGACATTGTCTTTAGGATGATTCGATTACGTGTTATCACGAAAGATACAAGCGCATTAAATCACCAACAGAATCAAAGACTGAAGCTTGGTGTATCCCTCATTATCATCATTTGCAGCGCCTCCACCTCCGTCCCCCCAATTATGCGTCCTCTCTTGACCACGGCGGGCGCCCCTGCCATGTCAATAGTAGCCTCCCCTCTGTTACTTCGGGCGGGAAGAAGGGTTGCGCCGCCTCAGCCGACGAGAGCATCTCACCCAAGATCGCCTTCCCATTGCAATGTTATCTAATACAAGCCTAACCACCTACTGCCGCCCACTCCAGTCACTGCTCCATATAAACGTCTTGCATCGGAACTCCGTGCCCGCCTCCTTGTTACCAGATGGCCCGAGGGGTCGAGCACACATGTAGAAGGATCTGCCTGTAACGAGATGCGAATCAAGGAGTGTCAGCGTAAGGTCAGCAGACTGTTTCAGGAGGAGGGGAGAGGGGGTGGGAAAAAAGAGGGCAAGCAAAAGAAACAGGCGGAAAACAACAGCACCACCTACCACAGTTGATCCCCGGCTTCTTGGTCACTAAGCTCTGGCAATCCTCGCCGTGCTCACACTTCGGAACGACCCTCTTGCCCAGCAGCTTGGACCAGGACTCTTTGTTCTGGATGGGGTCGAAGATTGTTTTTCCTTTGCCTTCGTCCTCCATGGCAATACTGGTTTCTCTATATGTTGTCGGGTTGGTCTTGTGTTCGACAGTGTTTTCGTCCCATTCTTCGATATTGTCCGCTTCGAAGGATTGCTTTGGTTGGCTTTCTTTCGCTGTAGATGGCTCGTTTCGCAATGCTGTTTCGGCTGTCGTTGTAGGAGAGTGGTTGTTTCCATTTATTGGGCCATGTCGTTCATCTGGGTTGACGGTTGGAGTTGGAGTCTTCGCTTTGAAAAAGCCCATGAGTGTACTTTGCGATGGGCCTGGCCCAGTTTTCGAGGATGGCTGCTTGGCGAGGGCAGCCTTGGCTTTCTTCGGTGGCCTGGTATACGGCGCAGGCTGCTCAGCTCGTCGTTTTGGAACGGGGGATGTTGGCGACAATGCTGGCTCGGTTGCAGCTGACTGAGATAACCACTGCCTAGGCGATGATGCGGAGCTGGCGGTCCCCTGTAGTACAGTAGTGGCATTCACCGTGATGGAAGATGTGTTGGGAGAATCGGAAATGTCTTGGCTGTCGGCTGCTGGGGTGGCTGACTTGGGCGTGTTGGACGGCGTTTTCTTCTTGACGAACATGTCCTTGATGCTCTGCCGTCGATCAAACTCTGGAATGAGCCTGGCGGAGGTAGGCAGACAATCCTTCTGAGACCATTCACGTTGGCGTTGACCATTCGTGAACATGCCTTCCGGATTCATTATGTCTGTGATTGGAATGATGACACCATCACTGGAGACACTGTCGCTAATGGTGGCATAGACGGGGCAGTGGTCTGATCCTAGAAGGCCTTCTTGAATGTTGGCGTCGACAAACCAGTCCTTGATTCCAGAGCTACACAGGACATAATCAATCCGACTACCAAAGTTTCCAGGTCTCGCGTTCTTCCTTGTTTCCCAGCACGTGTACATGCCTGGACGCTTTGGATGGAACTCTCTGCAGAGATCCCACAGCACGGGCTTCTCTCGCCCTTCGTCTGGTCCACCAATCACTCGGCCACCGAAAACAATTTGGTTCAAGAACCGGCGCGAAGGGGTCGAGATGAACTGGTCGAGTGTCATGGCCTCCTTTTTCAACTGTTCTGGTAGACCGGCGGTATCCATCTCGTTTCGGATGATGTTGAGGTCGCCGCAGAGGAACACCTCTTTCCCCATGGAGACAAGGTTACGAACTCTGGCATCCATGGCGTCGATGAAGGCCTGACGGAACTCGATCCTGGTCTCGTCTCGCGTGGCCGGGCTGTATACACCGATAAGAACAAAGGCAGGGAACTCCAAGATGACACACCTTCCTTCGGAGTCAAGCTGAGCTTCGTCTATGTCGCTGGAGAGTTGGCCGGGAGTGGGATAGCCACCAATCTGCTGATCAGCAGGCAAGTCGCGAAACTTTGTGGACGAGTTCGGCGGACACAGAACGCCAGTAATGCCTTCTTCGGCGCGTATCGGGCAGCATTTCGAGGAACGAGTGTAGATTGCAACTCCCGAGTAGCCCTTCTTGTACGTGGGTAAGTTGAAGTACACATCCCAGCCAGGGACGAGGACCATGTCGTCTCTCAAGTCCTTCCGCTGAATCTTGGTTTCCTGTATGACCACAATGTCGGCTTCCAAGGTGTCGAACATGGCCTTTCACTGTGTTAGAGCATCCGGCCAGATAGGGCCTTTGAATAGAGAACTTGATCCCACCTGAAACGTGCGGTTCTCCCGCCATGGCTGGTAACTGAATGGGTTTCTTGAAGCAGGGTCAGAGCTGGTTCATAGGGACGGCTTGTCGTGTTATGACCGACCTGATACCATTGACTACACATTGGTTTGAGTTAGACCAGGCAAAATGCAGCAAAAACACGCAAGAGGATCTCACCATTCCACGTCGTGATCCGTAACCCCATTTTCAGATATTCCTTTAATGATGCTAAGGTAGCTCTCTAGATCTACCAGGTTTATGGCCACAACGAAGTCACTTTGGTCGCCGGATGCGGCGCTTGTAATTGCAATGGCCACACGAGAAGCAGAGGGACATGGGCTGACGTCTTCGATGTTCGGCTTCGCATGAGCAAGAGCTTCAGGTCTCGGGAACAATTGATCTTTCCCTCACGTCGCTACATGGATCGATATTCCCGGTCTCTTGGAGTTTGCCACACCTTGAGTAAACGCGGCAAACGACCAACGATGTCACTAGCTGCCAAGCCATCGCCAAGTAGTGTAGTTCGCGGCGTTCACAAACGAACGATTGGCTCGTGCGGTTGAATTACGCAGGTGTGAATTGGGCGGTCCACACACGAAGTCACCTGACAGGCAGCTGCTTTCGTCATTCCGACTGCTCGCGCAACTCAAACTTTCAACGGGAACGTGCACTTGGCAATGTGGCTTGATTTTGACCACCCTTGCACTCCAGCCACACCCCATGAGCAGCCGCAACCCACGCACCCACCCGAGGTCGAACTGAGCAATGAGCTGATCGGTCTCTGACCTCACTTCGTTCGTTCGCACCCGGAGTCACGAGAAGCCGCCAAGCGCAGGAGGAAAAAAGTGGGGCCAGCTTGCTACAACCTTTGCTGCTGATTCCGCATCCACCTCGTTACCACTCCTCCTCCGAACCACCTGTAGTCGACCACAACGAATACGGAAACCATGTTCGCCCAACGCCAGATGTTCTTCGCGCGCCTCGCCGCCAACCTTCGCGCCCCGGCGGTCCGCCAGACCGTCCAGCGCCGCTTCGCCAGCACCCCTGCCAACGAGTCCGGCAAGAACGCCTTCGTCCGCGAGCGTGAGGCCGTCAAGCAGCACGCCGCTGAGACCACCGGTGCGCCCTAATCCACCACCCGCCCTTGTCAATTGCCGACCCCGATTATCGATGGACGGGAAATGCTAACCTGGAGTTGCCATGTAGAGCTCTGGCGCAAGATCTCTCTCTAGTATGCGCATTTCCTCCCACTCCCCCAAATCCCCGCTGCGTGGTTTTTCCCGGATGGACCCCCCGGACTCTGAAGGAACTGGAGCTTCAGCTAGCTCGAACAAAGCTCCATCGAGCTCCGATCGAAGCCCGCCTTCAACGACGAGCGCATGACACTAACGTCATAGCCGACGTGCACCGCCGAGAAGACGAAGGGGATCAACAGTCAACATCTGCGGAATGATTGATTGAGTGAGGGACAGAAAAGGGGAATGAAACACAATAAGCTAACGAAACTCACCTTTTCCCCCAGCTGCATTCCCCCTGCCCTTGCCCTCGCCGGATACAACGCCTACACCCTCTACAACGAGCATTGGGAGCACTGGTCCCACCTCCCTCCCCTTGAGGAGCGCACCGAGTACCCCTACCAGAACATCCGCACCCGCAACTACCCCTGGGGCGATGGTGACAAGACTCTCTTGTACGTTTAACCCATCCGAAGCTCGCACAACCGGGCTTCTCTGCATGGCCTTTCTGAACGAAGGAGCTTTGAGCGAGCCGAGCCCCATCGAAGGAGCCTCAGTCTATGGTAACAACTACTGACCGACACCAACTCTGTTTAGCTGGAACGAGTCTGTCAACTACCACAACCGCGACAAGGTCACGTAAGTGGCTTGTTGATGCGAGCTTCACAAGCACCATCTGTGCTCTTGCTTGCTAGACTGGCATCATCCCTGGATCGTTGGAAAGCAAAGAGAATCGGGGCAGCTAGCGTGTAATGAGAGCAGGTGGCATGGGACTGTGAATGAAGTGTGGAAGGGAAGAACATGACGAGTGCTAGAGGCACCACCACGTCCACTGATCCGCAATCATCATATCAATTTAACTGCATTCTGAGATTAGGCTCTGTAAAGGCTCGCATTGACATCCATATGACCTTATTCTTGATGGAAGCCCATGTGCAAGACGAAAACAATGTGCTACTGCTATTGCTGGGGATCTCCATGAGACAAGGTGCAGTGAGCCTTGATAGCTCCCATCCATTTCTACTAGGGGTTTAATGACACAAAACAAGGGGCACATATCCGGGCCATATTCGATGAAATCAAACATCAACCTCTATGGCCATCGACAATATTTTCCATTCCTCATCAAGTCATTACAACCGAACTGCTCCATAAAAACGTCCGACCGGAGCTTCACTGAGTCCCACCCAAACCATATTATGGAGTACCTGTATCTGTCGACCATACACTAGAATGCTCGCCCGACGAGCTCTGCCTCTTCAATGCCATATACCGCGCCGCATACTCCTCCGCTCGAGCATGATCCCCCAGCACTTTCATTAGCGTCGCCCTCTTCGCCAACGTCTCGCACTGCTTCTCCAGATCTTCCGCCGCAGAGAAGTGGTTGAACGCACACTCCAGCGCCTCGTGTGCCTTCGTAAAGAGGTCGATTTTTTTGTTGTTCATCAAGCTCGCCGCCGCGGCCGCGGCCGCTCCTGTTGTTTCTCCCGTCGTCGTCATCGCCTGCCTGGCTTTTCCAGCTTTCCCAGCCTGTCCCATCCTGGCATCCGCTAGGATACTATACAGTATGCCTGTGTTGAAAGCATTCTCCGACTCCATCGAGCGCGGCAGCACTGCTTCTACTAGCTGCACAGCGCCAGTGAACTCGCCCATCGCATTCAGTATGTTGGCCAGAGCGCCAACCGCCTGCCACAGGAGGGTGAGCAGCCGCGCACGCCACGCAAGGCTCGCCGCGCGCATGGTGATTGAGAACCCCCTTTCCGGTCTGCCCATGCAGTCAAAGAGGTGCGCCTTAGCCAGCAGTAGCCGAATACGTAGAGACAAGTCCCGGTGGTCATCACGAAATTTGGCGATCAGCCGCTCGATCTTCTCGTACGCGGCGTCAAAGTCCTTGCGCCGGATCAGTGCCTCGATGTGCAGCGAGTCGATAATGAACACCACATCCGGATCGAGCTCCTCGGAGCCGATCTGCAGCAGCTGCGCGAGCAGCGTCTCGGCCGTGTCGAGGTCGTTGTGGTGCAGGTCGCGCCGCAGCTTGACAAGCCCGCGGTAGAGGTGCCAGTACTGGTTAGGCTTGGCGGCGCGGAGCAAGTTCTTGTCGATGCCGTCCTCGAGCTTGGCGAAGGCTTCGTTGTACTTGCCCTTGCCGGCGAGGGTGCCGGCTAGCCGGCAGACCATCTTGAGCTCGTCGTCGAAACATGCGCTTGGGGCGTGGACGCGCAAAAAGACCTCACTGGTCATGGTGGAGAGGTAGGAGATGCCGAGTCGGTCCCAGAGCGAGGTGGTGACGGATAGTTGCGAGCCGATTAGGCTCTTCATGTTTCTTTCGACGATGATATGCGAACTGCGCACGAGGTGTTCCATGGCGCCGGCGATGCTTTCGCCATTGGCCATGTTGAGCTTGGCTTCGCTAAGGAGGGCGGAACTCCGGAGCACGAGCATGCCGGTTTCTTTGGCTTTCGCTCGGAGGAAGGCGAGAGCTTCCTTACCGCTCCCGATCATGCTGTTGGCCTCGAGATCTTGGACGAGATCTGGGTGTGCTCGGCCAAAATGATAGAACCAGTTGAGACAGAAGTTAAGACAAGTGTTGTCCTTGTTCTCTCGAGCGGTGGAGATGGTCTCGAGCATGGTTGCCATTGCCTCCTTATGGCAGCCAAAGTCCGACTGTACGATTGCTAGGTTCATGAGGGCGTAGTGGTAGAAAAGACGGTCGCGGTTTTGCATGGTGTAGTCGAAGTATCTGTGCAGGTAGTCAAACGCTGATGGATAATCACCGGATCTCCAAGCATCTGAGAAGCTGTAGACGTCAACATCCGTTCGCGAGCTGCCATGTCTTTTTTTTTTTTTTGTTGTTGTTTCTTTGGGAGGGGGGAGATAGGGGAGGGAGAGAGTGAAGGCTTACTTGAGATAATGGGACAGACTGGGAACGACGTGGCTGTCTCTCAACATGGCGTGGAACTTCGCCCTGATTTCTGCGGGTACTCTTGCGCCATACTCTGCTTGTTGTTAGAAGGGTCATCTCCACGTTGGTGACGAAGGGATAACATACTCTGTATCTGATCGATCTGGAACTCAAGGAGGCTTTCGATGTCGTCTGTGCTGACCGGTAGCGCGCCGTCTTCTTCATCCATGAGCATGCCACCGTATGCCGTCACAGCAATTCCATCCGTGAAAGATCCCCATTCATGCTGGCTCTCCATCAATACCGAGTCGAAACTGAGTCTCCCGCACTGAGGATTCCGTCTTCTCCAGTAAGAAACCGTAGGCTGGCGGTACTTGACGAACGCCTTCCATAGCTCCGCCGAGTGATGAAACTGTAGCCTCGTGAACTCCAACACCGCCTTCCTTACGAAAGCTCCCAAGGGCGAGTTCCGCGCCAAAAGTATCCCGGACGGCAGTTCCTCTCCAAGCTCTGTCATCTGCCGCAGCTCCTCTCTAGTTCGCGCCAACACTCGTGGCTGACGGGAGAAGAATGTTTGCAATGCATCGAGAGAATCGATGCCCCACAGCTTCTCTAAAAACCTGTCCCACAGACGACGGCCGGGCAGTCGATCGACCGCCGGAAAGGGAAGCAAGAGGTCCTCGAAATCTTTGATGGAAACGACCAGTCCGATGCTACGCTCAGCTCTCTGCCACCGGTTTGCTGCGCCTGGCGTAGTTGTCATCGTGCTTTGCAAATCGCTGTCGAGGATGTGAGAGGTGAGGAAGCTCAGGACCGGAATGATCGCGTCGTTAGGTACTGTTTCTTCGACATAAAGCTCAATCAGAGCTAGTAGGCCAATCTTGGCCGGCGTGAGATAGCGTGCCATGATCGAAATGTGAGAGACAATGGATGATAAGGACGACGGGCGCCGTGCCTCACCATGGGTAGATAATCGAGGAGGAATAGACAAAACCGAGAAAGTGGTGTTAGTCTCGGAAAGAAAAGTGGTATTGAATTACTAACTATCGAGTGTTTTGTTGTATCGCAAGTGAAGGTTAGAATTAGATTGTGAGGGCCGGCAAGGCAGATGAATGAAGGACGTGCGATTCGAGGGTGACGGAGAAGGAGCGACGTGGTTTGGTTTTCGATGTAGATCGCGCAAACGAATCATAAACAGATCAAATGAGCAGAATTTCGCACATGTTATTCCATCCCACCTTCACATGCCATTAACAAAAGGAAGACCAGTTTGTTTTGCGTTTGCTGTTCAGACGGAAATCGCGAGGGATGTGTGCCCGTACATAAACATTCTGATTCGGTCAAGCGGGGATGGTTAAGGTGTGAGAAAGTACTTACCCTAACCCTCCTCCCTCCCCCCCCCCTTTCCTCTCACCACCGCACGTGAAAACGAGTGCAAAAGTCTACAGGAAATTCATACCCGTCTACCGTCAGTTCCTCTTTTGTTTCAGGCAGCTTTGACTCTTCCTTGGATGATGTTCGTAGGTTCTTGTCTCGCACTTCCATGCCCCTGTTCACTTCTGTTCCCTGGTACCCTTCTGCAGGTGCAGCAGTTAGCAGGCCAAGCCTGGATACTAAAGTGATTTGGGCACGGAAATTCCTAGCATCTATTGGGTCTGGCTTTACAGGGCACATCACTGTATCACTCACGGTACGGTTCACATCCAGTGCTTGAGATGGTCAACGGCCGCTCAATACCTCCAGAGACTTGGACAGGGCGCCGCAAGAGGCATCCACAACACCATTGCTCTCCAACTTTATCTGCGTACACAAATTGTAACGCGGATCAGACTGACAGTGAACAAATCCGTAATACCAATCTGCCTGGTTGCGCCAATTAACGAACGTGGAGGACATTGCGTCCCGAGTTCGAGAACTACTTCCAACGCTTGTCCGTACCTGATGTCCGCAAATGGTCCCTGTCTGCGTAAAATGCGGTGTAACAAAAGAATGAATATTCCTGCAGCTTGAACCGCTGCGATTCGAGTCCCAACCAAACATGTATGCTTTGACCATCTCCCGAGGTATCTCCTTCTATCAAATGCACATGCTGGAGCTCACTCGTGGTCTGTCCTTCGGCTTAGAAATGTCGGCCTAGTCCCGAGACTGTTCGACAAGGCGCTGAACCACCCATCGCCAATATCGAAACCGCCTCGCCCTCTCTCAGGAGCTGAAGCCGCAGCCCTTCCTTGCTCAATGTCAGTGTTCCTCGCTGGGGACTCGGATCTGAACATGTTGTCTCCGGACCCAGAAGCCTGACCGCCATCCTCCTCCTCACTGTCATCATCGCGGTATGGCTCGTAGCGCGGGGTAGACGAAGACCCTCGTGCCAAAGACCTGACAACATCGCCTTTACAGATAGGGCATGTGCGGCGCCTAGTGGTGAGCCAAGGCGTTCTGTTGTGTTTTCAGCATGCTGACAATTCTGAATGTTCAGGGGCATTGGGGGGTGTCACTTACATGCATTCCGCATGGAACTCATGACCGCAGGGCAAACTCATTACCCTGCTAACTCCATCCACGTATTCCTCCAAGCAAATGGCACACTCCCTCTGCCGTCCCATGTACTTATTCCACTGGCTAGCGCGAGTGGTTCCCTTCTCGTGAGCCGGCACCCTCGCCGCTTGCAGGGCACTATCTACCCTCAACAAGTCCGCGGGTTCAGGGACTCCTGTCGTTGTACGAGACCTTGGTCGAGATCTAGATGGCCCTTGGAGTAACGGAGTCGTAGGGGTTGAGGCACCGCTGGGAGATGGCACCCTCGACGATTGACTTGGCGAACGAGGAACAGTATGGTAAGTCCGTACCGGAAGACGTTCCACAACGGATTTCGGGGCTCTCCATCTCCGTCTACGGATTTTGGCGCGTAGTATAAGAAGAGCGTATACGACTGTCAAAGTAATAAGAGGGCTTATTACCAGAACAAGAAGGGTGTCGAAAAACGGACTGGCACCGCTTGTGGGTGTTATAGTAATCCATAGCCCTTCTCGACTTCCCGCCCGGTTAATTGCAGCTGGTGGTGAAGATGATTTCTCGGCGTAGAAAGACGATATCTCATACGGAGGAAAATCTTCGCCGTCGTCCTCGCCAAATATCTTGGACATCAACCCACCCGAGGAACCTAAAGATGAGTCGGAGCTCCGTTGTCCAGACTGCGAGCCTGCTAAGACCTCGCGGTCGTACCGGCCGCTGCCAGGAGTAATGCTGCCTCCTTGCGGTCCGTTCGTATCACTTTGGCTAGTCTTGCCGGGCTGCTTTGAGGAAGCACCGGAGGTACCGGCCCCTTGCGCATCACCGGCGGAATCATCATCACCGTGGTGAACAGTTGATGCGCTGTTTTTGGGCGAAGAGGAAGCCAAGTCAGGGTCGCGCCAGTCTTGAACTCCAATCTGGAAACCATCTTCAGGATTTCTGCCAGAGTCCGAAGCCAAGGCAGAGTTATCGCCAATGCTCTTGGAAGTCTTGTCAAGACCGGTTTTGATCACTTTATCTTTTTCATCACTCCAGTCGTCCACTATGATCCAATCCAAAGAGCCGCTACTTGGAGGCCGGCTTTTATCAGTTGCGCTGTCACTGCCAGGGCTCCAATGAAAGAGCTGCGAAATCCAGCTTCTGTGCGAAGGGTTGGATTGAGTACCACTGTCTGACACGCTTCCCTGAGGACCTGTTACCTTGGTCAACTGTCGTTTGGAGTTGGTTTCAGGTGTAGATTTGGCGTGCTTTGCGGACCATTTAGGCGATTTTCTTTTCTTGGTCTTGCCAGAATGCTGGGCGTTTGAAACCGGATAACCGCTCTCATCGAGAATATCTTGAAGGAAACTTCCTGGTTGCATCAAAGAGGATAAGAGGTGGGCAGTAGTTCTCGAGGTAAAAACGGATGGGATAGTAACGTTATCAACATTACCGCGTGCGGACATTTGAATCAGTGGCCCGCCCTTCTGGTTATCACCAACGATGAGTGCAATCGCTCCACGCCGCTGTGCCCATTTGACCTTTTCGAGGAATCCGCAACCACCTCGGCTCAATAGCACAATCTTGCCAGTTATCTCGGCTGTCTCTTGGATTGACTGGATGTCTGCATGGCCTGAGCTCGAGGTTGTGGGAGTGTCGACGAAAGCATTTTTATCTGTTCGAAATCCTTGATGTAGATAATCATCCGTCCCATCATCAGCCATCGTTTCCAGCTTGCTTGAGTGTGTTCTCGAGATGCTCTCGTGATCAACTGCAGAACCGTCTACAGTGTTGCTCCCCTTGAACTTTTTGTGATCGAACGTGGTACTGCCGGTCGTGTCTCTTGTTGGTGATTGTTTCGGCATCTTGATAGACAGCCGGCCCGGCGCACCCTCCCACCCCACCAAATCACTACAACCAAGCTCGCCTTCACCCTGCCCATCTTGGAGATTGTCATCTGTAAACCCACTCCCCGCCCAAAGTTGCCCACTAAGCCCGTCTTTCGGGAGTGGTGGCCCAAATATCGCAGGCCGTGCCGGGAAAAAGGTGCTGTTGTCGTCAAAGAGACTGATGGCTGCATTGGGAGGAAACAGCGTAAACGGAGCTCTAAACGAGAAGAAGGATCGCAACCCGGACGTTTCAGGTGCGAGATGCGAAACTGCTGGGCTCGCGCGGCGGGATGACGCTATGGCACGACAGAAGAGGAACACCGAGGCAGAGAAGAAGAGGACCAATATGGCAACTCGTGGAGTACGCATCGTGGGACCAGGAGCGGCTGATCACCGCGAGCACCTGATATACGCCGAGAAACGCCTCCTAAAGCTGGCAGCCAAATCAATGTATCAAGTTGGTGGAGCGGGCGTTTCGATGCGCTCTGGAATCTTTAATTATGGGGACCAGCTGCTGCTCGAGCCGTCTGTGGCGGTGGGCCCGATCATTCGTATACACTACTATGTCGTCGGTGGCTCGAGTTGCGGGGATATCGGCGTTACTCGATTCGGAGGAAGATGATGGACGCTGATTGCCCAGAACGTAAGGGCAGAATTGTCGAGGAAAGGACGGCGAGTGTGGTTCACGGTATCAAGTCGCAGGGGGGAAGAAATGAAGAGGGGGTTGAAGCTGGGGAGAAGGGGTTGGGAATCAAATAAATTGGAAATCGGAAAGCGAAGTTCAGGGCAATAGCGGTTTGGAGATGACGACCGGATGGAGTATACAGCTCAGGAGCGATGGGGGCGTGCCGCGATTAATCACACCACCGGTAGGGCCAAGCGCAGCGTGATGAGGGAGCGATTGACCATAGGATCAGAGGATGACTTGGATCCGACGGGACTATCCTGCGCTGGCGAGGGTAGACGAGGGTGTGTGAGGCTCACCCACTGGCCCCGACTTGACGACCAATTCCGTCACAGATGAGTTTCGTTGGGGGAGCGGGGTGGAGGGGAGCGCACTTCGGGTTGCCAGGTGCTGCTGGCAGATGTCCTCCCTGGACAATGGAACTCGGGCTGGCTTCAAACTAAGGTTGGTAGGAATGGCAGCAGAGCAGGGCTGGGCCTCCATTCCATCGCGAGGGGACCGAGTTCTGCGCTGTCGGGCTGAAGCTGCCCGCCTGACGTTGCCCCTGTGCTTTGCCGTGCCACGATGTCCCTGGTGGGCACCAACTGGAGCTTACAAGGGTCCAATTTAACCTTAGCAGGCGGATATCACATGGGTTCTCCCCAGATCTCCCACCAAGCTTGCTGTAACCTAGTCCTCTTCGAGCAATGCCGCTGTGGGAGCAACCGCTCGTCGTGACGAGCACCCAAGGCCCTCACTCCACAGATTCGAAGGGATCACATTCACACGGGCCCTTTTGGGTCTGTACATAAGAATTTCGGGCACACACCTACTGTATGTGAATCGTGTGGATGAAAGAAGGAGTCACTGATAAATATTTCTTTCTGGAAGACTCAACATGTACACGCGCCGTCACATCTCAGGCTCTGCGCGTTTTTGCGTTCCCGAGTGACATGTGACATATTCTCCATACCTAGCCAGATGTCGGGATACCCGCTCGAGCTTTCTGACACAAGCTCCACAAATTGTTTCTTAAGGATGCCCGGTGTCGAGTCTTCGGGTCTTGCTTAGGTATAGCAACCTCAAAACCTCTTAAAAGAGCTCAAAGATGTCTTAATCCTTCCAACATCGTTGAAAGCTGAGTTGAGGAGAACTCAAGAGCCCTCGAGGGACTACAAACCGCTACAAGAATTATGACTGGGAAAGATCGATTTCGGGTCTCCCGTTCCCTTTTCACCAGGAATCACGAAATGACTCGAACGGTCGCCAGATACTGAGGCCACCCGAATGTGAGCCAACTGTTGCCCGGTGAGTCTAAACAAGCCAACAAGCAATAGCTAGGTACTTAGCTTCCAGTGACTCGTGCATCCCTTCCCTTATATCAACGAAATACCTCTAGGTACCTCTAGGTTCCATGTATCGAAGTCGGAAGATGGGATGGGAAGAGGATTGCCAAACTCGCCGCTATGGCGGTACTTCCCATAGGGTGAAGGGAGCACCCTGATGGAGGGTGGGGAGAGGGGCTTGGCCTCTGTGACCAGGTACCCCTCAAACATTTGTATGTATGTAGTGTACGCGGGCTGACAGGTATAGTGGGGCCCGTGCGTGGGAAATCTTTTGACTCATGGCCATGGCTTCCGGCCGGCCTAGTCCGTCTGCCCCTCCGAAGGGCGGCCGCAGAAATTCCTGTCAGCCTGACGGCCCGCCTATAACAATCAACCCTTCAGCTGCCCATTGACCCTTATCGTCCTCTGGATGCCGCTTTCGTTGTGGCGATTGGCAATTGGAAGCTCGAGAAGGCATTCATTGCTTAAATTCACGTCGACCCGCGTACTTCCTGTTCCTCGACAGTATTCGACTTACAGTAACAACAAGAAAGTCACCATGCCGGGAGAAGATCAACCCGTTGCCGCGCCTGCCGCTGCGCCGGCTGCGCAAGACGCGCCTGGTGCCCCTGCCCCGAAGAAGAATGGTTCGTGAGCCTCGTGGATCTGAACTCTCCCATGTGCAATTGTGGCCACCGACTTACACCTGTTTCTTTGCTCTTGTAGACAAGAAGGAGAAGGCTAAGGCCGACAAGGCCGCCAAATTCGCCGCTAAGCAAGCCGCCGCCAAAGCGAAGCAGCCTGTTGCTCAGTCCGCCCCCAAAGAGAAGAAGGAGAAAACTCCTGCCCTGCCTCCTTACGAAGATACTACCCCCGCTGGCGAGAAGAAGGTCATCCAATCATTCGAGCACCCTCACTTCTCTGCCTACAATCCCAGCGCCGTCGAGGCGGCATGGTATCAATGGTGGGAGAAGGCCGGCTACTTCAAGCCCGAAAGCTGCAGGAAACCCTCGGCTGGCAAGTTCGTTATCCCTCTGCCACCTCCGAACGTTACCGGCGCTCTCCACTGCGGCCATGCTCTCGCCAACTCCCTGCAAGATACTTTGATTCGCTGGTACCGCATGAAGGGCTATGAGACCTTGTGGGTGCCCGGTTGCGACCATGCCGGTATTTCGACCCAGTCCGTCGTCGAGAAGATGCTCTGGAAGAAGGAGAAGAAGATCCGTCAAGAACTTGGCCGTGAGAAGTTCACAGACCTCGTCTGGGAGTGGAAGGGTGAATACCATCAGCGCATCAACAATGCCCAGAAGCTTATGGGCGGCTCGATGGACTGGAGCCGCGAGGCTTTCACCATGGATAAGAACCTCACCGCTGCCACCATGGAGACTTTCTGCCGTCTTCACGACGAGGGCCTCATCTACAGGTCTAACCGCTTGGTGAACTGGTGCACCCACTTGAACACCGCGCTCAGTGGTTTGGAGGTCGAGACCAAGGAGATTACCGGCCGTACGCTTCTCGACGTCCCCGGTTACGACAAGAAGGTCGAGTTCGGTGTCCTTACGCACTTCAAGTACCAGATCGACGGTTCCGAGGAGACGATTGAGGTTGCCACCACCCGTCCCGAAACCATGCTTGGCGATACCGGTATTGCCGTCAACCCGGAGGATCCCCGCTACACCCACCTTGTCGGCAAGTTCGCCCGCCACCCCTTTGTTGACCGTCTCCTTCCCATTGTCACCGACAACTACGTCGATAAGGAGTTCGGTACCGGTGCTGTCAAGTTGACCCCGGCCCACGATTTCAACGATTACCAGCTTGGTCAGCGTCACAACCTCGAGTTCATCAATATTCTGAACGAGAACGGAACCCTCAACGACAATGCCGGCCCTTTTAAGGGACAGAAGCGCTTCGACGCCCGTTACACTGTTGTGGAGGAACTGACCAAGCTTGGACTCTTCGTTAAGAAGGAACCCAACCCAATGAAGATTCCCCTTTGTGAGAAGTCTAAGGACGTTATTGAGCCCATGATGACCGAGCAATGGTGGGTTCGCATGAAGGAGATGGGTGAAGCTGCGCTCCAAGTTGTCGAGGAAGGCAAGGTCAAGATCTCCCCCGAGAGTGCTACTAAGTCCTACAAGAGGTGGCTTTCTGATATCCAGGATTGGTGTATTTCCCGTCAGCTCTGGTGGGGCCATCGCATTCCTGCTTACCGCGTCATCTTTGAGGGTGAGGAGGGCCAACGTGAGAATGAGAAGTCCGAATGGGTGGTTGGCAGGACACAAGAGGAGGCTCAGGCAAAGGCTGAGGCCAAGTTCGCCGGCCGCAAGTTCACTCTTGAGCAGGACCCCGACTGTCTCGATACCTGGTTCAGCTCCGGACTTTGGCCTATGGCCATTCTTGGCTGGCCCAACACTGAGAACCTCGACTTCAAGAAGTTCTTCCCTACCAGCATGCTTGAGACCGGCTGGGATATTCTGTTCTTCTGGGTCAGCCGTATGATTATGCTCAGTCTCAAGATGACCGGAGAGGTACCGTTCACTGAGGTGTACTGCCACAGTCTGATTCGTGATTCCGAGGGCAGGAAAATGAGCAAGTCTTTGGGCAACGTCATTGACCCTCTTGACATCATTCGCGGTATTGAACTAGAGGATCTCCACGCAAAGCTGCTGGTCGGTAACCTGAAGGAGGAGGAAGTCGCCAGAGCCACCAAATACCAAAAGACTGCCTTCCCCGGCGGTATTCCCGAGTGCGGCGCGGACGCCATGCGTTTCACCCTTCTCTCCTACACCACTGGCGGTGGCGATATCAACTTCGACATCAGGGTTATGCACGCTTACCGCAGATTCTGCAACAAGATTTGGCAAGCCAGCAAGTACGTCCTTGGTAAGCTGCCTCAGGACTTTGTGCCCAAGGGTGAGCTTGACACCGCCAACTTCTCCGTTCCCGAGAAGTGGATCCTTCACCGCATGAACGTGGCCGTTAAGGGCATGAATGAGGCTCTTGAGGCCCGCGAGTTCTCCAGAGCCACCAAGGTGGCCTACCAGTTCTTCTATGACGAGCTCTGCGACGTCTTTATCGAGAACAGCAAGGGTATCCTTAGCGACGGTACCCCTGAGGAGCAGCAGAGCGTGCAACAGACATTGTATCATGCCCTTGATGTGGCGCTGCGCCTCCTCCATCCCATCATGCCCTACATCACTGAGGAGCTCTGGCAGCGTCTTCCTCGCAAGCAGGGCGATGGCGAGACCATCATGCTTGCTCCCTACCCTGCCTTTGAGTCTCAGCTCGAGTTTGCTACCGAAGCTGAGGACTATGAGCTTGGTCTCAAGTGCGCCGGCGGCATCCGCTCCCTGGCTGCCGACTATAACATTAAGTCGGATGGCAGAGCGTTCATCAAGGCTACTACTGCGGACAGCCTTGCTACTGTTAGTGCTCAGCTCGCCGCCATCAGGACACTCTGCGGCAAGGGTGTTAAGGAGGTCAACGTCTTGGGCGCTGATGAGGAGCTGCCAAGAGGCTGCGCCGTCTATGTCATTAATGCCGAGATCACCGTCCTTCTCCAGGTTGGCGGTAGCATTAGCGACATCGATGCCGAGATCAAGAAGATCACCACCAAGTTGCAGAAGACTGATCTCACCATCAAGAAGCAACAGGAGCTTCTGTCTAAGGATGGCTTCGAGAAGGTCAGCGAGGCTGTCCAGGAGTCTGAGAAGCAGAAGCTGGCCGATGCCCAAGCGGCAAAGGAGAACTACCAACGCACTCTGGAGGAGTTCAGCAAGCTCAAGATTTAAATGAAATTCGGAGTTGGCATCTGTTTTAGCGTCTAGTACGGTCCCTGAGTGTCCGAACAGTGCTCAAAGCGTTAGAAACGTTGTAGCTAGCATTTTTTTCTCAATCAAAACGGCATAGTTCGGAACTTGAATCATCCCGCTATAAAACTTCGTTTGCGTGATAGAGATGCATGTAGTGTTTCGACTTTCCGTTGCTTGATGATTATATGAAACCTGCATCTTAATCAATTCATTTGGGCATGTTTTTCTGGTTTTTTTTTTCCCTGCTTGTCTCAGCTACGAGAGTTAGTTATCTCAGCACCCAGACCTCCCATCTTCGTTCTTGCTTAGAGGTAGATGGGGACGTAACTTGTCTGAGAACTGAGATAATACAAGAGTCTGTTTTCCCAAGGTCGCTGTGGTCCCTTGAAAGTGATTTTTAGGTGCATTCATTGGTTATCAGCTCCGTACAGCCATTCACTACCATACAGCCTAAAGCAACAAACTACCTTGTAGAACTGATGCTTCATTAGTTGCTTCATCGTTGCGGTGCTGCCATGAAATTTGGATGACTGAAGTCTCGAGTGGGCCTGTCCGGCATGGAAATTGTGGGTCCGCTAAGAGGAACGGGGTGGGCGGAATGCTAAGCAGTGCACAGTGCAGTGATGTACACCCAACCTGTAGCGTAAGCCACAGTACTCAGCCACAAGTGGCGGGAGACGCGGCAGCCCTAAGCGGGAAATCTGGCTTGCCGCACATTCCCAAAATTTCGCGATCCCCTACTTGAGAGAATCATCCAACTCACGACAACGCTCCGCCCGGTGACGACGACGAAGGTATTTCCGCTCCACCCCAAACAGTCGGTCCCTTACGGTCATACTGATTTTGCTTGAATACAGCAACCGCCAAAATGAGTAGGTTTTCCCTGATCCTGCAGACACACGACGTATCCCGATACCATTTTTGATCGACCCCTCGCCAACGACCAAATTCACGATCCGGTCGAAATGTTGCACTGAGCGTCTGTAAACTGGACGATATACGGCTCGAAGACGAAATTATACACGACAGCTATAGGAGGATGCAATATGGTTGGAACACAATGGGCTGACACGGTCGCAAACAGCTAAGGGAACTTCGAGCTTTGGCAAGCGGTATGTTGAGGACCCATACGGCTTGGACACTGTCGAATAAGGGTAACTAACTCTCCATGCAGCCACACCAAGACCCACGGTCTTTGCAGACGTTGCGGGTAAGTAGACACGAATCCGAAACCGATTGAGGAAGGAGAATATATGGGTCGACGGCCGCGAAGATGAACGAGAACTATCAACGACGTCCGCCCGCTACAAGAGAACAAGAGATTGACAATCGATTCACCAGTCGCCGTTCGCTCCACAACCAGAAGAAGGTCTGCGCTTCTTGCGGCTACCCTGCCGCCAAGACCCGCAAGTGTACGTTGGACTCTTTATCATCCTCGAGGGGGCGCCTACCAAAGGGGTTCCCCCGGATCTTGGGCGCAAGTGTCAGGATGCTGACAACAGGGTGTGCAATACAGACAACTGGTCTGAGAAGGCCAAGCGCAGAAAGACCACCGGCACTGGTCGCCTCCGTTACCTCAGCACCGTCTCTCGCAAGTTCAAGAACGGCTTCCAGACCGGTGTCCCCAAGGGCTCCAAGGGTCCCGTCGCTGCTTAAACGAGCGAACTGGGTTGGATTTTCGGTTCTCTCGGGTCGATTAACGTGAACTGGCGGCGGCGAAGTGGGACAAATGGGACGGGATCGTTTTCTTTGGCGGGCGCGGTGTAACCAGGGACTGGGATTATCCCCGGATCGGACCTAAACTCGCTTTTTGCTGCTGCTACATCACATCAACGGGCAAAAGGTGCACGAGGTTTCATTTTGCGCGCGCGCGGGAACTTGGTCTTTAAAAGCATTCTTGACATGCAAGAAGCAAACATGGTCATGAGATACAATGGCGTAACGTCTTTTTGCTGAAGTGGAAACAGCAAAGTCTCCCCGCGGACAAGCAAGCTCTCAGACTTGGTGGTGGGCTGAGTGTCGCCCGGTCGAGCAAGTTTTACTACTCTTCAATTCCAGTTCCGTTTTTCACTCGAGCATTTGGACATTTGGGAGGATTACGAATGTCGACATGACGTGATGTGTGATGATTATCAATTTCAATATCAGGCCTGATATCCACCAGCTACTTACTGCCCCCTTTCGAAAACCCGAACACTACCATCTCCCCCGACATGATACAGATACTCCTTCTCCTCTATCTGTTTCTCGCCGCCACTGTCTCCGCCACGCGTAATCCTGACCACACCGCTCACATCCTTCGCGATGCCAGTATCAAGCAATCTGAGGCTTACAACCATCTCTGCTTCATGCGCCAGTGACAAAACAAACGACGCGTGATCCTTGTCAAGTGTGGTCACCTGCGAAGTGATCAATGGGTCGTCGGCGGACAGCGTGAGGATCGTAGCATGTGATTTCTAATATTCCTCAACATCAGTTTCTTTGTCCAATATCTCATTTCGCCTAGATATCTCCTCATGGGACGACGGCGACTTACCTCTCTGAGATCCAACACTAAATCCTGCAAAGCTGATGAAACCAACCCATTCCCATCTGACGTAGCAGCCAGCAAAAAGTCGAGCTGGTCAATAACCAACACAACCTTCTTGTTCTTCTGGCATAGCTCATCCAAAGCAGAGTGCAGCGTCTTGCTCACGTCTGCCACTGCTAAACTGGGAAGAGAGCGCTTCCACTTTTCTCCTGCGACGGGTCCTTGTAAGGATGATCCCCCGGTGGTGGTTGTTGTAGTAGCAGGTCGTGGTACTTGTGGTCCTCGTCCCGGCACTGCTCCTGTTGCTCCTGCTGGCCCCCCAGCCGCCAATGGCACCGGAGGTCTTCTCACCGGAAGCCCTCCGCCACCAACAACAACAACACCCTCCCCATCAGAACCAGACCCAACCCCCACACAAAGCCCATCAACAAAGCCCAACTTCCCCCTCCTCCCCAACCCCTCCAAATCAAGGCCCAACCTGCCCGCGCTCTCCTTCCAAAACGCAAAGTCGCGGAGGAAGCTCACCAACAACACTCCCACACTTTCATTCCCACTCTCACCCTGATCACCAGCATCTCCTCCATTTTGTTCTTGCGCGGGGGTAGAAGTGCGTCGCTCAAATTCCGGCTCAGCAGCTATCGGCATGCGGGTGCCCAGACGTCTTTGGCCTTGGGGTTGCGATACTGCTGGTGGGCGTGAGGGGGAGGATCTGGATGCGGAAGATTTGAGCAAGGTGTACAAGTAGCGGAGCAGGAGCCAGTTGGTGTTGGCGCCGAGAATGCCTGTTAGGAGGATTTGGGATTGTGACTGGGACGGCTCAATCACGAGGTATGGCTCTAGGAGGTGGGGGATATTTCTGGATGTCATTTTGTGTCTTTTTGAGCCAGCCGCTCAGGTTAGGCGTGAGTAAATCGATTGGTAGGTGAGTATTAAGGGAGTATCGATGTGGTGGTATGTTGATGCGAGAATAATCTGTATGCCTCCCTAGAGAAATATGTAGGTAGTGTGATGTTGTGGTTGGCCCGGGTTCAAAACGAGTGGTTTCCAGTGTTTTGAAGACAAACAACGAAGAGTGATGAGATAAACGCAGGTAAGATAAGACAAAGTTCTGTCCGAAAGAGTCGGGTTGAACAATGGCAGTGAATTAAGTCGAGGAAGGTAAACCTCGGAAGCTTGTGTGACGAGACCTCAGCTTGTGATGCAAAAGATACCTCTAGTGGGGCTCGCAAGGGACAGAAAAAGGAGAGCAAATAGAGGGGTCGTTACTTACTTACTGTATAGTGCTAGCACACAGTACGCATGTCACGTCGCTGTGGTGTTTTGTCACTGTACCCGTTTCTTCAACACTCCCGTTACCTTCTCACAAGTAATTAAAGATCGGCAAACAAGTCCCAGTCGGTTGGGCCATGCTCAAAAACGATTATTCAAAGAGTAGCACAAATTTAGCGTCACACAAGCAGGCCCAACATTCACGGAGTTAAGAATCCCATCTAGACGTCGAGTAAATAATGTCCATAAACTGCTCTATGCAAACGCTACTAAAATGGTATCATGCAAAATCCGTACAAGCATCCCAAACAAGTCAATGAATGCACCTCATAACTCCCTTCCTGACATAATCATTAATCATACTCATGACTAACCTGACCAATCGGTGACAGGTTCCCGCTCACAAGGCTTCCATAGTTTACCTTGACAATAGCCCTCAAGTGTATTTGACTCTCCGGAAGTTCACCTAGAACTTCTCCATAAAGTTCTTCCGGACCGTCCACATTCTCGCTCTCTTTCCGTAGATGTACATCGGAATAGTTAGAAAGAGCAGGATAAGTTGAATGATACCGATCCAGATGAATACAGTCTTGGGTCCGTCGTCCGTGAGCCAGCCGGTCACAAACAAGCTGAAGACGAGACCGTGGAATATGTTTTTGCTGAAGTTGAGCGTGACCAGGGCCTCACCCGCATACTGTCTGTAGCTGTCGACGCAGAAGGTGATGCTGGTTGTTGAGCCAAGCGAGCATCCGAACGAGACAACACCAAAAAAGACGGTCGGCACAATCCAGTGGTCACCCAACTGCGCGGACCAGCCAAAACCCATCAAGCCAATGACCGTGGTGATGGCCACAGGTAGAGCCATGACAAGTCTGAACTCTGGCTCATAGAGGCCACCATTGCGCCTGGCCATCGCCTTCACAATTACATCCGATACCTTGCCCGCCACAGCCGTACCCAGAATACCACCGACAAAGGGACTGATATAAACCAAACCCGTCTGCAGGGCGTTAAATTCATAGTGGCCTTCGCGGTAGATGACAGCCACAGACTCGGATATCACAATAAGCCATCCGACTGAGCATGCATAGACAATGGCTGACCAGAGGACCGCTGGATAAGAGAAAAGAATGAGCGGCCGGATAGCTACTTTGTGCCATTTGTCCTTGTTCAAGCGACCATGGAAGGGCTTGAGCTGCTGGACAAACGACTTTGCGGGCTGTTCACGCAGGGCCGCAGTATATGGAACTCTGCTACCCACCACGCGGGAGCTAGCTCCTGATTGGGACTCGGTATCCGTTTGAGTGTGATCCTGTCTGGAAAACCTCTCTGAGGAGTAAGGAGACTTAGGCTTCTCGATGTTGTCGGGCATGTAGAAGACATGGGGCTTTGTCGAGTTATCAGATGATGAAGGTTCTTGAGTGATGAGCTCCGGGCGTGCAGCATGGCTGTCTTCCGCGAGGATACCTGCTGTCATGGGGACACTCGGATCGTGGAGCTCATCGGGTTTCTCAGAGGTTTCTTGTCGTGTTGCGGCTTCCCTATCCTTTTCCGCATGATGCTCTTCGGCGTCGGTAGCAAATCCAACGTGAACGTCTCGGCGATGGTTAGCCGCCGGTGCTGGAGTCGGGCCTTCCTCACTATGGCGGGCGCTGGGTAGAGCGCTGGGTGGCACACTAACGCCTGCGGCGTCCGAACGCCGAATGTGCTGTTTCGAGGACATGCGGCGGAAAAAGCTTGGTCTAGATGACTTTTTCCTTGGATGAGGCACTCTGTCCCAGAACGTCTCGGGGACAAACAGGAACAGCAGAAACCCGCAGAAACCAACAACCATGGCAACAACCCTAAAGTGACATGTTAGACTTCAAATCACTCGGTACCGACATTGGAAACGAGAAACTCACCAAAACGTCCAGCGCCATCCCAGGCTCTCGATCACGGCAGCGCTGACCAGAGGAACCAAATTCTTTCCGCCAAGAAGCAACAGCGTATAAATGCCAATTCGATAAGCTCGCTCGTGGAGGAAGAAGATCTCGGCAATAGTAGCGGACGGAAGGCATTCAACCGGACTCACAGCGATGCCCTGAAAGATTCTTCCAAGCACCAAAGACACGAAGCTTTTGGAAACGGCGCACCATACAGACGTTAAGACAAACAACAGAGCCCCAAAGAGGTACACTGGCCTCTTACCGTACAGGATAGCTGTAGGTGAGAAGATCACGGAGCCAAGGCCCATGCCCAGCATGTAGAGGCCTGTCGTGAGTGATACGCTCGAGACGCTGACATCAAACTCTTTGGCCACATCCGTGAAGCCAGCAGCAAGGAGAGGGGTCATGCCGCCGCCCACCATGCAAAAGAGGCCCAGGGAGAGCAGGGCGGAATCTCTGCGCCATGTTGGCCAGTTGAGGGGATCATTGGCAGATTCTTCTGGTTGAGGTTCGAGAATGATTTTGCCGTCACTCGTTTTCTTCTTTTCGTCCTGTGGGGGTTCTGGAGGCCTAATAACGGCGGTTGGGATTGATGAATGGGAAGTTCTCGCAGGTGCGTTCCGCAGGCCAAGGGGCTCGTTGTGGTCCGCGGCCAGTAGTAGGACCGAGCCTAGGAGGAGGTTAGGACTAATGTAAATGCAGAACCATGCACCTGGGTACCTAGACTTACCTGGTACTTCAATGGTTTCTCTATCGTTCAAAATGCCCATATTCCATTTTGGTAGTCTTCTCCTCCCTGGGATCTCCGCGTTGTCCTGCTCCCTGGTCGAACTTCGTCCAAACAACCGCCATCCGCCCTTTTGTGGTGTGCTGCCCGCTTCAGGATCGGGAGCCATTGCTTCAAACTCTTTCGTTGTACTTTGTATCTGGCGGGACAGAGCACTATGTTGAGATGGATGGGGTGAAAGGTATAAGGTGTGCGGGCGAGTTAAGACGCGAATCGTAGGCACCGGTGAATATAGGAGACGTCAAGATCCTGATATGATGACAACGACCACGTATATTGTTCTGTCTTGCGGCGATATAGGAGGATGCAGGATATATGTAAGGCATATGCGGCAGAGATGAATGAGGGATGGGTGAAGAATACCCAGGGCAAAGATGACAGAAAGGCATGCAGTATGCAGGAAGGAGGGGAGACGGAGTTCAAGTAGTCCGTCATGAACCGTCAATCAAGGGCCGGTCGAACTAGCTCTCTGGTTGGCAACTCTCCTTCCTCAACAGGTATCAAGATGCTCCAATATGGCGCAAATCAGAAACAGGAAACAAGGGCACGCCCAGATGAAAGGAAAGGAGGAGAAGGGTCAAGTGAGCACAGGAAGCGGCGGTTGTTGAGAAGAGCTGCATGCTTTTTCGCTCTTTGATTTACTTGGGTGGAAAATGCCTTCGACTTGGTATCAATGGGTGTCCACTTGAACACGCTAAGACACACCAGCGCGTGGGTCGAACCCATGCTGGAGACGACCCTGCCGTGGGAGTTTGGGGTCTGTCCCGGGAGGTTCCCAGCCCCTTCAAAACGCCGCCGAGGTCCGCCAAGCCCCGGGCCAAGATGGCCCTTTGACGGAAAATGGGAGAAACTACCAGGCATCGGGCCATGTTGAAAGGCAACGGCTGAAGAATGATCCACAACTCTGTTTTTTTGTCGCCTGGTTCGGCTCCTTGTGCTGAGCTAGAGCAGCCGTCAGGTGGACCATGTGAATGGGAGAGTGGGAGCCTTGAGGCAGGGAAGACGGTCGACAAGGACTCTCTCTCTTGCTGCAGTTGCCTAGCTCCATGGGCATCATGTTTGCTGTCCTGAGAGGCTCTCTTTTGGAGTCCCCAGACTGCTGATCAGGCGAATTTGGCAGACCACGGCCGGCGCAAAAAGGCAAAGGATCGACGATCCAGGGCATGAGCCGATGTGGCGGGCTTGACAATCGTTCAGACCAGGACAAAACCGCAGATACCGGGCGAGGTTTTTTCGTGTCTATCGTCCTGCCGTCCTCCTTGACTTTTGGCCCCGTGTGCGAGCACTCGAGTCTCCCGTTGGCGGAAAGAAAGCGGAGCATACGAGATGGACTGCCCGGGTTGATAAAGGCCAGGATATAAAGGTTGCTTCGCATTAGCTTACCTCCCGAGTCGTGATAATCGCTGAGCTCATTCTATAATGCCGTCTTATCGCGTGTAAGTTGTTGGACGGTTGTAGAATGGCCGCAACCTATTGACAAACGGTCACGTTAGAGGTAGGTGTCGCACCTGCCCGGTCGCACCAGCTCACACCATTCTTCCGAACAAAGACCCCCCGCCTCCCATGGTCCCCCGCACTACAGTTCGGGTATCCGCAGCCAAATGCCAGAGATGCGCCAGAGATGGGGAGCTAGCAGCGTTGTAGCGACGCAGATCCTACACCTCAAGGCGCCGAACCCACTCCTACTTATCTTTCCGTTAAGGCCGGGGGTACCTTATGTAGGTATCGACAAATCGGACGCCGAATCATCTCTCCCAAGCACCATCGGAGGGCCTAAACTCTTGGAAGGAGCCCTCCGCCCGGGGTCGACAACGGTCTGTCGCGGCGGATCTCTGACCTGTGTGCTCGGATGTCCCCCGAGTCACTGCGGTCACAGATTCAACCCGTCTCTTCCAGCAAGGAATCACGTCAAAGTCTCCCCCACCTCGCAACACTGTCTTCATAAATGATAAAAATGCACAATGATGCTCCTAGTGACGAACCCAATGCCCATGGATGGGAATGTTCCCGAGCCGGTTATCTCGGCCTTGCTCCCACTCAGCTGGACACCATCTCGAAAAGACCAGAATGCTCCCTTGCCCAGTTGCCAGCGCTCACATGTTCATGACTGAGGTGGGAAGTGGGTGTGGTGCCATTGCAAGATCTCCATGGCTTGCAGCACCCCTGCAAAGAAATGAAAGGCGGACCCTCACCTCGTTGGTCCCCTAAAACAGAAAAGACGAGGGCTGGATGCGTTATGACGCAACCAATCTGACATTCACTTTGCGTGATCCTGGGCGCTCCTCACCTCTATCTCTTCGTTACCTTAGCTCCAGTCCTTTTTGTTGTGATGCAGTTCATCCCTATTATGTTTGTTGGCTTCGGTACATGCAGAGGGCACTTTTACCACTTCTAGGCTGATTGTAGGTACCATACCCGGCCTGAAATGGAAGCATCTGAGGTGGTTCGTTGTTGCCCGCTGTGAATGGAGTCATGTTTTGGTGTATGCCCCAGTGTGTGCAGTGTGGGCACTCGGTGGGATAGGCAATTGTTTGTTTGTACCCTGGCTTTGGCGTAGGAGCGCTAAAATATTTTGCTCCAGGTTACTAGCGCTGGTGCGAGAGGTGACCACCGAATTCCCAGACGGTCTCCAGTTCACCATCGCATCCATCACGCTCTTCCCTTTCTGATCTCGATTAGCTTACGCCCGACAGCATCACATCACACAATCATTGCCGGTAAAAACGACCGCAGAAGTGCCGTCCAATTGAGACCCCAGACAGCCAAAGAGCCGCAACCGAAGCTGTCACTGCGCAACCATGCATTTACTCTTCTCCTCTGGCAGACAGGCTCTCCCCAGCTCCAGGCGCCTGCTCGGCAAGACCCCAGCAGCAGCGGCAGTGACCTGCAACCAATTTGCTTCGAGTGCCGCGTTCTTTTCGACCTCACGCACCGTTGCGGCCAAGAACCAAATCTACCAGTCGTGCGTACATCCATTATGGCTTTGCCATTGATTTGTCGCAAGGTCACTAACTCTTGTTTTTGTCCGCAGTGTTCGTAATCTCGACCAGTTCCATACCTACCAGCTTCTCTCATCCTCCTCTCGAACGCCGCTGTTGACACTGTGGACTACCTCCTATTGCCCTACATGCCGAGTAGTGGAGCCCTTGTTGCGCGAGCTCGTCGAAACCGGAGTCGGTGAAGAGGAGGGCGGCGTTGGCTTTTGCACCGTCGAGTACGATGCGCCTGATGTTATGGAAGCTGGACTGGGTCTTAGCTATATGATCAACTCGATCCCGACCCTGCTGAGTTTTGATGCCCAGGAGGCGCAAACCCAAACCAAGGTCACGGATGGTCGCCAATTGGCTAATCGCAAGTTCTTGGAAGAATGGTACGCCATCTTTTTGGCTGTTGTGTAAATCTGGCTGTCTCGAGGCTAACTTGACTCTACTACAGGATCCGAAACGAGGCGAGACGGCATGGAAATCGTGGAGGGGGCGGGTCTCCTACCAGCATCTTCAGCGGCCTCTTTAGCAAACTGAAGGAGTAGCCCAACAGATCACCAATGACAAGTTTCTGCCGAGGCAGATCACAGCGCACATCGGCACTGCATACTATGATCGTCGGTCAATGCACACAGCTTCCCCGCAAATTAAGCTTCGCCAAAAGCTGAGCGGCTCCAAGTCACTCGACGACTGCCCTACACTGCTGAATACCAGAATCAACTTAGCCGTATTAGTCTCCTGGCGCAAGTAACGGTCAATTAACAGCTCGACTCCGTCTATCAGATTCACAGGCCACACCCAGAAGCGGGCATGTGTTGGATAGGCACGAATACCCGCTGGTGCCGTAGGATTTGCGCTAATACAAAACAGACATCGAACACAACGACCGCAAACGAAAAGATACAGAAAATCCACAGACTCTATGCCTGGTAAAAAACCTCCTCAACTGGCTTCCACCACGACGGCTCTCCCGACTCGCTGTTCTTTGCTCCCGGGACCATGGACTCCTGGAATCCATCTGTCATCTTCCACCACTCGCGAACCTTTGGGTTCTCGCGCATTTTCTCCATATCTCCTTCATAGTCGTAGCCGACGTACTTGAAACTGGCAAAGAGGATGCCGGTGTCCGGGTCATGGAAGATGCTATCTGTGCACCGAGTTGGTTAGCCATGATCATGGTTGTGATAGCACAGGAATTGCCGACTTTTGTTTCAGCACGAAAGAGGAACGGCGTACAATCGTGAATGTTGCACTCCTTGATCTGTTTCGCAACCTCAGGCCACACAGCAGCATGGACCTCCCGGTACTTGTCGATGTACTCGGCCTTCAGCTTGATGATTTGCGCAAAACGCCGGCCGGAATAGCGTATCCTTCCATCAGCGTTAGAGGCTGAGAAGACTGAGGAAACTGTGCTTGTCGACTGGCTCCTTTCTCTAGGGGACCAGAGTCTCGGCGCTCCAGGGTTCCAGAGACCCGCTTCAGCCTCCTTGGGAGGAGTCCACAATTGCCGGGCTGCCATTGTAGGAGATATTTGCTTAAACAAGTGGTGTCGTGATTGTTGGTTAAGGTGACTCGGGAAACTATTGTTGGAAGAAGGACCTGTTGACCACTTTTCAACAAGGTGGGAGGATGAGGTCCGTATCTGCGCCCTTGTGATACCCTTCCTGATTGGTAATCGTAGTGCTGGTTTTGAAGGCGGTTAACGCAAAGTTTGGGGCTTGTTCAGCTCGGCGCAGCTTGGACCAAAACTTGACTTCTTATCGTGCCTGTATCAAAATTCGCTTCAGGTTGTCGACGACTTGCACTTTGGCAATTTTTCGTTGACAACAACGAATTTCTCCGTTCAAGACTATGTGACTCTTTTATATCTTCAAGTTGAGACCTGATAGGCGCCACCAGATGTTGATCACACCGGGTAAGGAAACAAGGAACAAAGTAGGGAGGGATATGCAACTGCGTGGCAGGGCGGGCGGCGGTTGGAAGGTTGCAGCTGTGCTGTGATGGGTGCGCTTTCCGGTTTAAATAGTTTCGTGTATCGGACACCGTCACCGTCCAGTGGGAGTGTGTCCCAGCGTTTTGTTTGGAAAGAAGTTGAAAAGGGGAAAACAGCGTGGGGGTTTTTCAATCAGGTTATGTCTGGCAATTTTGGATTGTGGAAGACAGAGGAAGAGGAAAGGAATTAAGAAAACACCAGAGCGAAAGTATTATATGTCGGGCAAACTTGCCACTCTAAGCGGGCACGCTTCCGAGAACTCTCCATTTATGCGAGGGGCTGCGAACATATGCTCCTCTTTCTTCTCCTCTTTAGTTCTCGGGTGTACATACATATGTATGTTGGTTGTTGCGTGTATGCATCATGTTTCACAAAATGTTCTATCGTCGCCAGCAACGGAATCTGCTCCTCGGGGCGCCCGGAAGGAATGAAAGATTGAGATTGAGATTTATTGCTAGATCGGGTATCACTGTATCACCCCGCTTGTCTTCTTCAGCTTACAAAATACCACGCCGCTCTTCCCGTGTTCGAAGGGTTGTATGGACATGTAAAACGAGTTCCATGGAAGCCAACCACACACACGTCCGAACTCTGAACCGCTGAACCAGTGGAACCAACCATGGCTTGCGATTAGTGAAGTGAACTAACCGGTGATTGACACTTTCAGGGTATCCGGTGCTTTTGTCCATGGTTACCAATGAATTACTTACCGTGTGGTGGTTCCTTCAACAAGGGGACAAGGGGGCAGGTAGCCCACAACACCAAGATATGCGGGCAAACGCCTTCACTTGCGCCTGGTTGAGTTGTCCACCCTCGTTTAACGGAGGTCCGTTATCCTTCGTTGCGCCTCCCGGGGCATCTTACCGCTGACTTGTTTGGTCGGTTGTACTTTTTCATTACGAAAGCGGGCAACGCAGAGAATGATGGTCAAAGTTGGAAATGAGTCCAATATTTTCCCATATCAATCTTGCTTTTTGGCATACCTCAGTGGTAACACGCGGACATTAAGAGTGAATAAGAAAATGCAAGGAGGAACTGTACAATAATCAATGGTTCAAAAAAAAATATAAGAAAAAAAGGAAAAAAAAAAAAGGGAAAAGGTCTGGACTTCCCCAAAAAGTCCAATCGGCAACGAATTGTGAGAAGGTGCCGAGGTGGGAAGTGGTGAGTGGTGTGTTTAGCCTTTACACTAGACTTGGACTCTACCTGGCGCTAGAGAACTCTTGATTCAGCGCGGAGTTATTGGAGGCTCGGGGAGGGCGGTTATCGGCTTAGTTATTCCTATGAAGACTTGGAAGACTTGGAGGACAAGGTGATGATCTGCTGGCTTCTTCAAATCAGTCGATGTATAAAAATAGTTTTCAGACACCGATGCGATGCTGGATCCCTAGTTCAAGCAACGCCCGCTGTATTCGTTGAAGCGTGGGAATCTCCATCTCTTATACCGTTCCTTGTTCGGACGGCTATAGCCGTCCTCACCCAATTACTCTTCATTGCTTCATTGCTTCGTTGCTTCATTGCTTCATTGCTTCATTGCTTTATTGCTTCATTGCTTCATTAATGTAAAGAGGACGATGATAACCTTATCGATAGACGATATCGAGAGATTTGGTAGAGGATTTCAGAAACGGAAGGACCCAGTGTATTCTGGCGCGGACTGTCAGAAACACTGTCCCCAAGTTGACCAATCAGAAGCTGGCTTGGCAAGACGCTCAAGCCAAGGGTAGGGCCGTACCACGGATCTAACCAATAAGAGCCCAGGAAACTTTTTGCACAGAGACCTGACTTAGACGAACCGTCCCTCAACAGTCCGTTCGGTGGATGCGGGTCATGAACCATGAGCCCCTCTGAGACAGTGAATGTCATCCACCTCTGAACAGTTGAAGCACGCTTCAATCAAGTTTATTCGAAATCCCTTTCTCTGAGATCTGTCTGTCCATTGGGTTTGTAAGGGCTCTGCGCCCAAACACAAGAACCCCCGCATGTCCACCCCCGGTCTCGGAGCGTTCACGCGGCGAGGAATGCGGGAATATGGGCGGAGGTTCCCCGCGTTTTGTTGAACTACAAAGTGCATGCCAGATATGTGGATGGTGGTTGTCCTTGGCGCTTTTGATGGATCGGCGTTGAGATTTGTATATTGTCCCAATCAAGGAGTCAATGTTCCTTCTGAGAGTCTTCCCTCTCGTCTGTCACAGAACTTTACCTACCATCAATTTGGTGACACCTGGAAAGATCATGTACTTAGTGTCCTCGATGACTTTTGTGGAAGTGAAAATGTCAGATCACCACATCGGCCCGTCCCTTTCATTCATTCCTTTCAGGTTTCCCCTACCCGAACGACTAGATCGCCCCGGTCGGTGCGGAGAAGCCACCGTTACGATGAATGCAACGCTCCCCATTCCCCGCTCCGAAAGGTTGTTTACACACACCACATTATGAAGAGCAAGGGAATTCACGGCGTGATCATGGCATAGGGGCGTTCTCGTTCCCGAACTAGCCACTTCAGAAGCGGAAGGTCCAAAAGGTGAGGCGGGATTGTCGAGTCCGCCGGTTAATTGGGATGCGTAACCGCCTTCAAATCCCACTTGTGTAGGGACTGGGGACTGTCCACGGCGATAAGATCTTGTACAACCTCAGCGGTGGATCATGATTGAGATGAGCAGAGGGCACTTTATAAGCCAAGTCCATGATGGCACACAGCGGCAACAGTCCGTTTCCGTCCCGCATCAACCTCCGATTTGGGTCAAGGTGTAACCGGTGTGTTGATCCAAACGGCAGGCGATCGGCATCAATGTCTAGTCCAGAGGGGACAACTGCGCAGGGACATAGCCTGGCCTCAATGCTGACTTTAATTGCAAAAACATTCGCCAAAGGCATCTTCAATTCCACTCGCCTGCCTACAGTCATGGGCAACCACCCAAACAATGTCTGCAATATATCCATACTCCTGACGCCAGTATTCCGGATCCGAACCCCGTGATATCAACACCCCTCTGTGACCAAAGCCGCGAACCCATGGAGGTAACTGAAACAAACACAACGCATTTTTCATCCCCTTACTCCTTCGAGCCCAGCATTTCCCTCAAGGCAGCCTCGCTCGCCCGATACCACCTCCCTTTAGCCTCCATCTCATCGTACGTCCCACCCGCCTTCTGCGCATTCTCCCTCCGCCTCTTCGCCTCCCTTGCTGCCGCGCTCACCTGCGCCCTCTTTGCCGCCAAAGCCGTAACCTCCATCTGCAGCCGTTCCATCTCCTTTCTCTTCCTCGGCGCCAAGCTCGACAGCTGCTCCACTTGCCGCTCCAGCTCCCTAACCTTCTGCCTTCGCTCCTCCACCAACACCGCCGTCTTCGCCAGCGGCAGATTCATCTCCGGCTGGCTCCCTGGCTGGATGGCCTGTTTCGTCCGCAACTCACCCACCCTCTTCTGCAGCTCCTCCATCTTCCCCGGTAGCTCCCTTAGCTTGACCCGGTCCAGCTGCACGCGCTCGTACCGCGCTGCGAGCTCGCGCGAACGGGACTCGAGGTCTTCGACGAGCAGGGCGACTTCGGTCTTGAGCGCCTTGAGCGAAGCCTTGGCGGCCATGTTGCTCGCCTCGAGGTCTGCATTTTCTTGGGGAGTGACGATCAAAGGGGGATCGCCGACGATGGCGCGTATGAATTTTTCTTTGGTGACTTGTTCGACGTAGGAGAAGCGGAGCTTGGCAAAGAGTTCCTTGTAGTGCGCTAAATCAGCCTCGAGGCTGGCGGGTGTGGGCGCGTCGAGCGCGGAGGAAGCGCTGTGGGCGGAAACGTCTGAGGTGCGCGGGGCTGCGGTACTTGGTTGCTGGTTATGTGATTCGTCATTGCCGCTGTTGCTGCTGGCATTCTTGGATGCAGCTGAGTGCAATGCGCTTGATATAGGCTCAGAGATCTTGATGATGGTTATTTCGTCCCGCGTAGAGGCATCAAGGGAGCCGAGGGCTTGGAGTACTTCGGCGGCGCGTTGAAGAAGGGCGGTCGCATCTGAAGACCCCGACCTCGGTGTTGTTGCTCTTGTGGTCCTTGCTCTTGGCGTCATTGTTATTGGTGTCGTTGTTCGCGGCGTCATGGCTCTCGGTGTTGTCCCTTGCGGTATTGGTGCCTGCGATGTTGCTGCTACTGCCCCAGTCTCTGGGGGCGGCGTTCGGCGCAGACCCATTATTTTATGCCGAAACTGTTCTTTCTCCCCCACTGCCTCCTTCCTTCCGTGTCGTTACTTCTTTCCAGCGATGGGATTGCAGGATGCTCTGGGGTTGGGTGAAGCTACGCGTGGTCTGTTTTACAGGCGCAGTATCCTGGAGATCCCGTTTTTGGAATATGATTGCGAGCGAAAGCTCGGAAAACGTTGTGTTATGATTGTTCGATAAATACTTTATCCGTCTTTGTAGTTCAAAGGATATCGCTCGCGCGCAGTCGGACTCAGTGTGTTGTTGGTGTTGCCGGTTGAAGATCGCGACGGCAGGAGGAGGGATGATCGCCCCTGGGTTGTTGACATCAGATCCGCATATGGCTTAGTCCAGCTTCTCGAGACGCTTTATCGCCGAGCCATTACTGTACCCCTAACCCTTATCGCATCCAGGAATTCCCGCGAAAAGTAATGTACTTTGGGTACTTCTGTAACAAAATTTCAAAGACCCCATCGAACCCTTCAACACATCGACCACAAGTAACCCTTGTCTTAGTCCTTGGTTATCCCAGTTTTAGTTTGGATACTGTTTGAGGGGTATCATCAAGTCAAATTCTCTAGAATCCGACATAATCAGCAAAAAGACAATGACCACACCACGCCATACGACTTACTTGTGGATGCAAAGTAAGAATCGAAACGTTATCGTACATGTCTCTCTTTACAAATACAATCAGCTTCCCTAGGTTTCTTTTCCTATCGATATGGAAAGCTGCACATCATCGAGATAATTCAGCTGCTTCTCGAGAACCCGATCATCAGTTTGTGACTGAATTTGGTAGTCAGTGAGGTTGGGCAACTCTTCGGGTACAGGATCCTGAACCAATCAGTTTCAGGCTTCGTTCTCCTGTGCCTACCTGCTGGCAACGACCATTGGGCACCATCAAAGAGGGATGGGAGGAGAAGGGCAATGCATCCGGAGTTTCCCTGACTGTATTAGTCGGAATCGATGAATGGGGAATGACCGGAATTTAGGTAGGTAACGGTGATGTTGTCTTGCATTTCCTCGTTCGAGTCGACACCTTTTGATCCAAAAAGGGCAACTGTTTCGCAGTCATCTCAAGGTCCACAAATTTATATGGATAGTTCTTCGAAGACGGAAGCATACCCAAGCTACCCTGGTGCAGACTGCTGAAATCACGGTTGTTGTCCATGAAAGAGACATCTTGCGACAGCCACTAGTTTTGAGCTGATATGTACTGCGTGTAACCAAAGGTTAACAGGGGCCTCCCAAGGAGTTCCGCTTGATGTGTGGGGAGCCTTATTCCCAAAAACCGCTTGATCACGAATATGTGGTAGCCTTGATGCTGATGATGCTACTGGTGTAGTGTATTCCTTCTGAACCTGTGGGTCTCATCAACATTAAACGATTCAAAACAATTCAAAAGGAAAAAAAAGAGAAAAAAAAAAAAAAAAAAGAAACAAAAGCGGGTGGTGGATCATTGTTTACAGTACTGTCTTACTGGAGACCCCCACTCAGAAGGGACCACTGAGAAGTTGAATGATTGTAATGTAACCCAGATATCCAACATCATGAACTGGCCTTGCATCAAGTTGATGATTTGCCGTGTGTATGCACGGTGACGGACCTTGCTTCCGGGCTGAAGCCTTCGCAACAACACGAAGACGGTGTGCCGAATCGGATCCATGCTCTATAGCAGTCGTGGTTTTGGCTTTGGTGACAAAGGGCCATTTCACATGCGGTGGATCGCTGTTCGGATAAAGTTGCTCGGCTGGTCGACTTCAGGGTTGCTTCTGGCCAACCTGAACCATTCGACCAGGTAGTCTAGGGTGCAAGGGATACTTAGAGGCTGTGTGATTCTTTGCACTGTGTATCGCGATGGCGCTCATGTTGCTCCGGTACCGCCATCACTAGAGAACATCGTCTTCTCATATTCTCAGCTGTGTACCGTGTGGCTAAATATTGGACCTTTTTTCCAGAGAGAAAGTCAACTATCGGCAGTGATCCTGCGCTTAGCCGTCCTTCCATGACGGTCCGTAAAGTTCAGCGGTGTTGTGTTACCATGTGGCACAGGGTCTGGCCAGTGAGACAGATCTGGCAGGAGTCGGCTGCAGCTAGGGCTTGTTACTGTCCACACTGTTTGCTCCCGGACCGCAGGGTAAGGGGCACGTCACTATCGTTTTTCAGAGGTTGACTTCATGGCTTGTGGTTGGTGCAGCGTACATGAAGTGGTTGATGACTTGCTTCTGCAAATAAGAGAATTGGGAAGTGAGATGGATAAAAGGGGGGGTTCTAAAACTTGGTTGCATTGCTAGCCTGGAGAGGGTTAACGAACGTCAAGGGGTACAGCGGTTGACCTGTCAACCCTCTAACGTAATGACGATAGAGGGTTGCTATTGACTCTCAGATCTGCTTTGGTGTTCATAGAAATCGAAAGTGGAGATTTGAAGTCGGCGTTGTCATGAAACATCGAGTTGTATTTTGGTCAAAATCACTGCGTAGAGGTATAAGAACAACTCCATACTACATCCTGACAATGAAAACAATTTCTAACAACCTAAACTAACTATATCTTGTGTTTTGTAGATTCAGGGAGATAAGTATAGTTCAATACCATCAAATCTCATATTCGACTGTTAGCGCGAAGCATTGACGAAGCTGGTCCACCATATAGGTACCCTCAATATCACTTCTCATATTCCAGACAACAGCCAACCGCAGGGGATTACACTTCCAACCTCCACTCCGATTCTCTATTTTGCTAAACAAGGCCATATATCGCAACTTGAAAGCCAGGTTTTAGCGCCTCATGCAATGGCTGCATTGTGACAGGGCCCAGAAAAGCAAAGTTCCGTCCCATCAGTCATCAGGCCCCTTTGCAAGCAAAATACACGCTACGACTTTAGCTTTCCAAACTTGTTGACGGCATTCTCAATTGACTTATGGAGATTCTTCCGGGTATATCTGGTTCTCAGCACTTGTGCCAGTCACCTCTGGCGAGTTTATATGTAAAGAGGACTCCCCCATGGACAAATCTCTAGTACACCTTCCATATCAGGTGGAAGAAAGGCATTAGCCTCCCATCACCAAACTTTGAAGAATCTATACATACCATCGACCAGCCTTAGCTGACGAGTCTAGAATATCTGATCTTCCCTATCGTGTAATCACAAGGATCAGCAACATGGCGATCTCCCATGATCCGCCCAGCGTCCTGATCGGTCCAGGCGATTTTCACACTGGCCCCTACTATATCATCATCAGCGGAGTAAGTGTCCTCCTAATCCATACTTATCTCAACGTCGACTTACATCCTTCTGAGTTACCGGAACGGACAAGCTGGCAAGATGTGAAAGACTTCATAAAGAGCCAAATCCCATGGAAACTCGACCTCTACGTTAGCATCTTCGGAAAACGTCGGGATTCAGGTTGGGTCCGTGTTGTAGGATTCAAGGCGTTCAATCATGTGAGGAGTATGTCTTTCCGACTGCAAAATTAATCATATACGCTGGTCTCTCTTATTAACCTCGTGATTTTGATTAAGGAGTTTTGGGGGAGTCACTTTTTCGAGGCCGAGAGATCCTCGCCCACAACCCTGGTTACGACGAGACTGGAGCTGGCCTCGTCCTAGTCAGAGCTCCCTTCTTCAGAGATCGAAGCCTTTTCATCAACCCAAAAGCGTTGGCTGATCCTAATACTACCGGCTCGATTGTTCAAACAGCAGAGGAGTTTATCACCGCGACCACCCCAATAGCATCAACTGCGTCCTCCGAGCAATCCTATCCAGAAACTTGCGCTACCTCACAACAAGCACAAGCACAAGCCCAAGCACAATTACCAAACCTCTTCCCCCCCACACCCCCCAACACTCCCAAAGCCTCCCGCTCAATCTCCGAGCCGTCCCTCCCGGGATTTCGGAAAGTTGCAATCACGTGGCGAGAAGACTCTATTAGTAACGCCACCCGTAAATCAAACACTCATCCCGCTTTCGTATCGCCTCTCTCCCCAAACACCCAAGAAAAAATGGGTTCCCAGATCAAGTCCGAGCTCGCCCCTCTTCTAGCCCGCGGCGGCAGCGGCCCTATGCATCCTCTCGAAACACTCGAATGTTTCCCTGGTATTGCTTTGGCAACGTTTAGTTCGCATGAGCTTGCCAGGCGGGCGATCAAGGTGTTGAGACAATCGGAACGGTTGAATGCGAGGCCGGTGGTGGATGAGGTGTCGTCACGGGAGGAGATGCAGGCGACGTCGCAGGGACAGACGGCGGCGGCGACAGCGGGGAAGAAGAGGGTGGGTAAGAGGAGGGCTGGGGCTGGTAGGACTGCGTCTGCTCCTGCCGCGGCAGAGGGAGGATCTGGGGCTGGAGCTGGGGTTGGGTGTGATGTGGGTGATGGGTTTCAGGTTCGTTACGACTCCCTCTCGCTGTTTGATAGTACTCAGCATGAGTTCACAAGACTGATTACATTGAGGAAAGCAAACAACACAGCCGGGGAAAGATAAGGAGACTACGCCATTGACCTCGGCGAAGAGGACTTCGACCACAACCTCAACCGCTGCTCGCAAGACTCCAGCCGTGCTTATCGTCAACGGTAGCTGGAAGATATAGGACCCTGAACCCCATATGACTTTGTTATGGGCTTCGACACAAAGAGGAGGCTTTTTTACGACCTAACTAAAATACAAAGAGAATGGGCACGTTGATGGTCAGCAGTTGGCTCCCAGCATATGGATATGGGAGTTTCAGATGAGAGCAGAAAAACAAGAATGCATACCTGGATGAACTGTTGATGAGCATAACGAGGCTACGAGGCTACGATTAGGTGCACACAAGACGTAGTTTGGATCGTTGTACAACAAGTTTGTTATGTATGTACAGCCAGTAGACTGTTTATGCCCTTTCTTCTTTTTCATTCCCTGTTTTCTTCTCGGGCTGCAGCAGGCACATGAAATAGGTACATGCACAACGGTTAATTGTCTGGTTAGAATTACAAGGATATGATGAATCTGAAACATTTCCCAACCTTGTTGATGCGGGTATTAAGTTGCTCTTGTTTGGCTTGATGATATAGAGAAGTGATGGAGAAAATACATGCCCTGTAATGAATGAACTGTGTGTATTATCATCCTTTAGGGCACTACTAGGTTTATCATGTTGTTCCATGCTTTCGTCAAAGCCCCCCCCCCCCCCCCCTGGTTCGCTGAATGACAATGCGTAGAAGCGTACGGCCTTCGTAACAATCGCACGTCCGATAATGATACCTGACAAAGATGCCACATCATTGACAAAGATGCAACATCAAGAAAAGAAAAAGATTCCCTGTCCGTAACAACAATGAAACAAAAGCTCCATCATCTAAGATGATTTCCCACTTAGCTGCCCTTCGCCTCAGGGGAAACGTCTGAGTCGCCGATACTTGTCCCGAGAACCTGATTCCTCATGAAAGTGTCCATGAGCAAACGAAATGGTCACACCAAACGCCGCCCTGGGAGCAAATAGTAAGACAATGATAATAGGAGAGGAGGATCAACGGACCAAAGTGAAGATATCAGTGCAAACCCTCAACAACCTCATCGGGTTGTTCCTTCCGATATCCTCGCCCGTACTTTGCTGTGATCTCCTCGCCATCGCGTATGTCTTTCATGGCCACCAGTATCACCCTCCACTTCCCAGTGATTTTCATGACTTTGAATACCGCTGACGGGCTGACGCCATCATGGCGAACCTTGCGAACCCAGTTTCCCATTTGCTGAGGATATATATCTGCTACCAGTTGGTCGTGAAGATCAGGTCGGCGGACCTCCATGGCCCACTCGTGATTGTGTCTGTTGCTGTTGCGATTGTTCAGTTGAGCTTGGCCGCTGGAAATATTTGGGTGACTATGATCGGAGCTGTAAGGAGAGCCTGTCGTGTGAGGTGGCCGCAACTCGCCGACGAGCTCGCCGAGACACTCATCCGCCTTGAAGGAACCAACCGCACGTACACCTGCACCTCTGGATCCATCTTCAGTTATGCGCGGGATTTGTGGGAGCCTTTTTACCAGACACTTGCAGGACGACTTCTCTGTCGTCATCCGTTTGCTGTTGTTGCAGAGGCTGCAGGCCTTCTTGTCCGACTTTGAAACAGACATAGGATCCGATGGCCACGGGTCTGTCCAACCGAGTGGCGGTGGCTGTATCTCCCAGTTGTACTTGAGACGGTCATAATGATTCGCCTTGATGAGTTTGAACTGGGACAAAAGCGGCGAAATCTCATCAAGAGACAACTCCGATGTATCCACAGATTCCCAGGAAAATTCTGGCAGTTCCAAGTACTCCCAGATGGACTTCTCTAGTATTTGGCCCATAGTACACATCCTTCGGACGGCCTTGGTGCTGAGCTGAGCATGGAAGTGGGCAAGCTGGTCCTTGAACATTGCCAGTTCCAAGAACCTATCGTCTGATGGTAAAAGGCACAAGAGCCCATTATACTCACCGCAAATGGTCCGCCAACATTTTCCCTCACGAACGTAGTCGTTAAGCTGGTTTCTACCAGCTACGTCCCAGTTGAGCTTACGGAAAATCTCACCCCAATCGATGTGGGATGATACAGGGCGATCGAATACATCCTTTAGGCCATTTACTTGAGCTGTGGTTTCGATACACTCTGAGAGCTTCATCTTCAAAAACCGACGGAGGAAGACTTGTAGCTCCTGGCTGATCTGTTCTGCGTCGTCAACATGATCAAGTAGGTCGAAGCCGCCTCCGGAGATGGGTACCAATCTAGAGTACTCCCTCCAATCCCTGACCAGGCCAGCCAACCTCAAAAAGGCTGCTTTACTCCATACCTGCTCAACGGGGGGGCTCTTGGCTGTTCTGAGCAGATCGGCAAGGTGCCCGAAAGAAATTGCTTCATTGTTTGGCTTCGTTCTCTTGACCGATGACTGCATTGGTGTTTCTGCAGGTCTCTTAAGTCCCACTCCGGAGGCTGCTACATTATTCAAGATTGATGGACTTTCTGAAGTTTGATGAACGTAGGATTGGATGATTTCGGCAGGAAAGCTACTTGGCTTGATTGCAGGAGGAGGTTGTAACATTCCGTACGAAGCTTGCTGAGCACTGAAGGTTTGCGCTTGAAAGTCCCGGTCAAATGCCTGAATAGCTCCATCGAATGGTTGGAGAACAGGCGGTCCCACAAACCGGAGATCTGGTACATTAAACAGCGGCGTGGGTCCAGTTACCACACGAGGAGGTGCTGTCGATTGCTGCAACAGGGGAAATGTGGCTTGTACTCTCGGATGCTCTTGGTAGTGATCAGCAAAATGACCCAAAGCCCGAGCCTGAGAGGGATTCAGAATCACTGGTTGAGATCGAGCCATGTCGGCTTGTTCTTGCTGTTGTAGAAACACGGCAGTTTGTGAACGGGGTTGTATTGGTAGTTGCTCTGGAGCTGTTTGTCGTATGTCCTGAGGTGCCTCTAGCTCTGAAATAACTTGCTGCACTCCCGCGGCTGCCTGTTGTACTTCTGGAAGTGCCTCTGGCTCTGTAATAACCTGCTGTGGCTCGAAAGCGACCTGCAATGGGCCACGATCAACCCGTCCCGGATCAAACACAGACGCGCTGGCTTCAGATATGTCTGGCTGTGGTGTTTCATGAACCGTAGAAGAAACCATGCTTGGCGTTGAAGGTGGTACTGCTGACTCCAGTTGTCGAGAGTAATAACTTTTAGCGTCTTGGAATTCTTGCGGTGGAGGTCCCGAGACTGGATGTTGTTGTTCACGTTGCTGACCTGTTGCCGGCGCAGAATCCGATGGTATAGAGTCATTTGACAAACGGCGCCGGGGAGAGACGGCCCCTGGTTGCTTAGGCTGTGCCATCATTACCATGGGCTTCGTCTTGGCTGGGACTGCCATCTCGTCCATGGCCGTAGCACCAGAATAGATGCGAAAGTCTTGGGCGGAGATTGCAAACTGATCAGGGCAGGCTTCATCGCAGAATGTGTAATCTGGCGGATCGTCGGGTGATGAGTTGTATTCAACATTGATTGCTATCGCATAATTTGGACCAAGATTGAGAACTTGATGGTATGTACCCGGCTCAGTAACCACGGCCTGGCCAGGAACGCAATAATCAAGTGTATACTCAACCCCCCATTCGTCCAACTTGGCAGGAGGAATATGGCGGCTTAGATGACGGAGTGCTTGCGAACAGCCGCGCATTTCAGGAAAGTCCTGGCGCATTCGTTCTTCCAGCTTTGCAGTAGAACTCGGCTTGATAAAGCACCAAAACTTGTTTTCACCGGCACGTAACAAGTTTTCAGACCGGACGTGGGCATCTTCTCGATGCATGACTGTGATTGTCTTACCAGTAAGGTTGAAGTAGATATACTGGGTGTTGATACCTTCTAGGACTGTCGGGCCTCTGCGTCTCAGCTTATCTCCCGGACACAGCTCGACATCATCAAATAGCGGATTGCCGATAATGTACGGTCGGGCTCCATTAGGCGGGTGTGCGGCCGTAGAGTTCCACAGATGCTTCTGCTCTTTGAATGACCAATTTTGCTTATCGGTCGTAGGGAGGGGAAACTTGGGCCACCTAATTCTTGGTTTCTTCCCACTGTCAACCTTGATGAGGCCTAGATTGTCCTTTTTGTAGACAAAGGAGGTCGCATGGTTCTGATCTAGTCTACCCATTTTACCAACTTGGAGAGACGGAAGATCTCTGACCTGAAGTTTGAAATAGCCTCTGGCCTGCACATCGGGATGGAGCGAGCATTGTTCAAACAGCTCCTCATTGAGGACATGGATGTCCTGGTAGGTGCAGTCGAAGAGAGGGGCGCTGTCCTTGTGAAGGAGAAGCAGCTTGGGAGACCGGAGCCGAGTTGGCTCTCTGGACCGAACTTCTACATCAGGACCAGAGCCGCAACTTATCAACGAGTTCGTAGGGATACTGTTTGTAGTTGGGGCTGGTAAAATGCGTTGAGGGGCCGATACAGCGGCGTGTATCTCGTCCTGGGTTGGTGGTCCCGGCTGTGCGCTCTCTTCTCTGTTGACTGCACCAACTTCCGCATTCTGGACAGCTTCCGGGACAGCTTCCGGGACAGTTTCTGGGACAGTTTCTTTGTGCCGGTACTCCTGTTGCTGGTATCGCGACTGGTTTCTCTGCTCTTGTTGAACTTGTTGCTGGCCATCTTGCTGGTTTTGTTGTTGAGATTGCAGTTGGATTCCTTGCTGATTATGTAGCTGGTCTCTTCGCTGGTGTTGTAGCTGCACCTGTTGTTCTACTGGTTGTTGTGGTTGTAGCTGAATTTTCTGCTGGCCTTGCGACTGGTCCTGTTGAACTGGTTGCTGGTCATGATTCCGCGGTAGAAGCAGGGGTTGGAGCTTGAGTTGTAGCTGGACTTCATGCTGGCCTTTTGAATGGTTTTGTTGTTGTTGGCTTTGTAGCTGATCTTGCTGTACTGGTTCTTGCTCTCGCTGCACCTGTTGCGGCGCTTGACTCGCTTCAACAATCTCGGCAAGAACGAACTGTTGCTGATGGTGGACAATTGTTGAAACGTCGACTTGAGAATTGGGAGTGTTGGGACCATTGGCCAATGGCGCTGGAGGGATGTCTGAGGATAGGAAGTGCTCATCAGCCAGCTTAGCTGACACATTACCGATACGAGCTATGATCTGTTCAAACAGGTCTCGGGCCGCTTTAACATCAGGCGGTTTGACTTTTCTGATCGGGGTTTCTCCCTCGTCAAGGTAGCGGCGCAGGTCGTGACCAATTCCGCCCAGGTCATGAATGAGCAAGTCGACCGCTCTTCGACGTGGACCCTGACCGTCCATTGTTGTGTTGCACGAAGTGGTGAGCCCGGAAGCTCAGCAGAGGCTTGAAGCTGGATTGCCGCAAACCAAAACGATATACAAAGCCGCGGGAGCGACCGAGGTGTAAGTGGAAGCTGGATGGATTCCACAAGCGATTGAGGGGAAGGGATGGAGTATGAAATCGGGCTGGGTGAGCATTCTCGAGGTAGTGCTCCCCGCCGGCCCGTGACGCTGCAGTGGGTCAGTAAGTCGATCAGTGGAGGCGCATGCGGTCCTAGGGCTGACCTGAATCGAATCTAGCTTCGCCAATGCACTACCTCTACACTATAAGGAACATTCGGAACCTATCCGGCCGCTGTGGAGAGAGGGAAACTGCCCGGCTGCCCGCACGGCCCGTCCTTGAACGTGACCTGAACCCTTTTCCGCGGGCGTTTCTGGGTTTCGTCGGTGTTTGTTTATGCCAGGTGTACATGCACAGTACATACGTACAAGTGGACAATTGCTTGTTTTTGGGGAGGTGAAAACGTCCTGTAGTACGAATGTCAATTTACAAGCAGGGGCAGCCTTTCCTTCCAAACCGTCTACGAATACTGTCACAATGAATGATCGAGCAAGTTCAGTCATTTCCGAAAGAAAATTTTGTTCTAGTTAGAGGCAACTGCGTCAGTAGGCAGTCACTTCCTTTAACACGATCAACTGCGTTCGGACATGGTTCCTTCCCTTCCGTCCCGCGCGTCTTGAATTTCCACGGTCAAACTCGGTCGAATTGAACTTCATCCGTCCGACCCCATTTCCGAATCGCAACATACACTTGACGGAATGGAAAATTTCGGCTTGACCTACCATCCATCCTGTAATGACAGTCGCCTGTATTCTATCCCTCAACACACTTTGCGATGCGTAGGTCGGATGTTTTCAGGTTTATCGATAAGGCAAACCTCCCCGGTCAGGCCCGGGCATGGAAGCGGAAGCCAAGAGCCGTTTCCACTTTTGCTGCAATCGATAAGCGCAATGAGTCCCACTTGATTGTAACTGTTCTTGTGGATGCCTGCCGCGCCGCCCCTTGCGTGCATCGTCACAGTTGGATCTCGGTCGTCGAACTCGGCCCGCCTCCGTCGCCAGTCAGTGTCACCCAGCATTGGATGTTGCAAGAACTTTCCAATTTTTCTCATCAAAACTTGTGTTTCTCCATAAATTCTTATTCTACACCTTTGATTATACGTGGGCGGCTGCTGAATCCCATTCTTGCATAAGAGAAGTGTTTGCGATGGCCAACGACACCATGATCACGGATGATTATGTCGCCGAGCTCCTTGCCAAGGAAGCGAGTGAGGCCTCGATAAAGTATTCCTCAATGGGCCTCGAAGCGTTTAGATCGACAAAGTACGTTTGAGTCGCCGCGACACCGGGGGTTGAACCATTCATGACTGACCTCCCTTCACCAAAGACCTGCGAACAAGGCAAAGCCGAATACCAATTTCCTGACTCGCATCATCCGCGAAACCGACTCTCACAATGCCGCAATCAAGGCCAAAGAGGCCGCCGAGGCGCAGGCGCGCTTGACTGGCTTAGAAGAAGCAGAAGAGAAAAAGCGACTCAAAACCAACCCCTCGCTACAGGATATACGACGACGACAGTTAGGCGCAATCTCCTCGTTACTTTCCGGGCAGAAGAAAAGGCGTGGGGCTGAAGAAGGCACAAGAACGACGTCCTCCAAAGACCATAGGGACAGTAACTTTAGCGAAAAGGACAAACATAAAAGAGGCGAGGGTCGACTTTCGGAAGACGAGGATACAAAAAATACATCACGAGAAAGGCGCCACCACCATCGCCATCACCGACAGCATAAGGACGAAGAGAGGTCCTCGCGCGAGGAACAGCGGCACAGAGATAGATCCAGATCGTGCTCTCCAAGACACCATGAGCGCAGACATCGACATCGGTCTCGTTCCCCGCTCAGCAGCGACCAAGAAGCTGCGAAGCACAGCCGCTCGTCACATAAGTCTCGAAGCAGCAGATCCGAAAAGGAGAGCCGTTCTCGCAAGGACCGCGACATAATTTCAGAAAAATTATCCACCCACAGACGACACGGTCGGCTGGCCGAAAAAGAGAAGACCGACAACGAAGACTCTGATCCACTTGAGGACTTCATTGGACCAGCAGCACCGCCATCTGCTGACTCTTACCCTCCACCTATTCGCACTCGTGGGAGAGGAGCAGGCAGAGGTGGAGCCGCCATGGACGGAAGATTTGCGAACGATTACGACCCAAGAGAGAACATGCAACTAGATGAGAGTGACCTCCAGGTCTCCAAGACTGACGACTGGGATGATATGGTGGAATCCTTCCGTGACCGGCAAAAATGGCTCAAGCAGGGTGCGGACAGACTTCGGGCTGCTGGCTTCTCAGAAGAGGACATCAAAAAGTGGGAGAAAACCGGCCCCAATGGGGAGAGGGATATCGAGGACGTTAAGTGGACCAAGGCTGGGGAGAAGAGGGAATGGGATAGAGGCAAGTCGGATAACTAGGCGAAATCACTTCTAGCGTCAATTTTCAAGGTCTATAGGAGGGACCGGCAAGCAACTTGTTTGAATCATGTTGAGGGGCGTTATTGGTAGCAATGGTTCTCATGGGATTCAGCATTACAAGGGGAATGGAGTTTAGGCTGCTAAAAATGCGGTGATTCAAAGTGGTTGCTTATGGGATTTGATTTTATGGTTACAGCAAGCGTGGTATCACAAAAACCACGGCACATCAAGGGTTTCAATAAAATGCTATGGTTTGCTTTTCCACCTAGCCCTTTCATTTGGTTTTCCCTTGCTCCTCAGAGGCTCTAGAACATCTCGCTCGTTCATGCGAGAACAGTAGATTGCAATGCTTTTGTGAATTTTCGGCCTGTTTTGCTGATTGTGTGCCGGCCTGTGTCAAATCATGATGCTGCTAACGAAGGCTCGTTCGAGGGTTGCAAGGAAACCGAGGTTCCATACGTTGCTTCCTCAACCTGGACTGTCTTATCTGCTCTTCTGCTGGCCGTCGATGTCCAGCATAGGGGCTCATAGTGAAGAGACTGGGTCTGATCCAAGTCCGTGAGCTGCTTGCTGTGCGCATCTAGGGGTTCATACGAATGAGCAAATGGACAAAAGAAAGTCGAACACAACCCTATTTTCTTATTCTCAAGTCTCTTGGTCTTCACTCTACTGCAGAGTCTGGCTCCTCGGACATGAACTCGGCACCAGTAGCATGTTTCGTTGTATCCTATAGTCCAGTCTGTCATGAAAAATTACAAATTCAGACTGTACCACGGCCAGCTAAGGCGCCTGTAGGACAAAACATAGCCCTTTTTTTCTTCCATCTGTCGATCTACCCGCGTTGTCCTTCTCAGACCCCTGAATACCGCGGTTCTGTTGTGATAAACCTCCCTCCTCAGTTGATCAAGAATCGTACAGTACAATGTACAGCCTCCAGTCCTCTTGTAGCTAACAGCGCAAGTCCACCTCGCTACTGACGAACAGACATACAACCCCTCTATCATTCCTGCTCCAAAGCTCCCCACGTAACCTTGACCTTCTCACCATGCTTATTCTTAAGCTGAGCTCCCGCAACATCAGTTTCCACAACCCCAGCCTCATCAGAATCATTGGTCGCCCATAGCCTTTCAACACAGAGCTCGTATGGCCCCGGCTTCCTGTCCGTAGTCGAGAACCCGATCGACAGAACTTTTTGGCGCAGCATTCCCGTCTGTGGCTCGATGACCTTACCGTGGTTGGTCCGCACAAAATCGTTCCACTTAATCAACACCGTCTCCCACTGACCGGGCTTCTTCACGAACAGTCGATGCTGGTGCAGGTCGAGCGGCACCACCGACTCGGTCCGAACGTTGACAAAGTAACTGCGCGCGTCCGTCTTGACGCGCATCGCGAGGTAGGCATACGGATCAATGTCCCACAGGCCGCGGCCAAAAATGGTGGGCGGCCGGTCCAGCGTCCGAAAGCCGGCGTAGCCTGTCCGCGAAATTTCCCGCCGGTCCGTGGGCAGCTCTAACGAGATAGTGCCGTGGAAGCGCGCATAGCTGCCGGGGATCGGGGTGTACGGTTTTCGGTCGCTACCGTCGCCGGCGGTGACAGTGGGGATGGCGTTGGGCGGGGGAACCCAGTCGAGATGGGCGGTCGAGGAGCCGCCCACGTCGGCGTCGGAGAGGAGCTTGCAGTCTGCGACTGACTCGGGCGTCTGGAAGTTGTGGATCTCTCGTGGCCCCGTGGCGCCTCTAATGTTCTCCGATTTGACAACTGCGAACCCCGGCCGGCCAGCCAGCCCTATGTCAGCAACGAACGGTCGGTGTTCAATGGCGCATATCAAGAGCATGAATTGGGAAATGGGTTGAGTTCCTCGTACCGATGTTGGTCAACCGCGAGAGCTCGTCAAGACTCCGGCTCCAAAAGCTCTTGAACGGAAGGGACTGTGTTGCGCGCATGGTTGTCTCCTATTGTTTGTCCAACGGATCAGCTTGAATAGACGATAAACTGATAAGGGTGATGGAGCCAGTCGGCTCAATACCCTGGGCGCATCTCTTTTACGGTTACGGAGGCAACTTGTTCAGGAACCAGGACGAAGAGGCCGGGGTCGGTTGGCGCGTCTCCAATTCTCCGCATTTGATCGAGGTTGATGAGCTTTGACCAGGTAGTGGTTGTCCAAGGAGCTCATTGGTCAGCATATTTGCACAACCCTAACCCAGAGTTGCTTTGTCACGAAACGAAGTTCGCCGCCAACCAGCTTTACATACTCGGATGGCTCGCTAATAGCTGAAGCCACTGAAGTTTTCAAATTTCCCTCCAATAAAGTGTAATGGGAATCATTGCGACCCAATATACCCCGAAAATGCAGCATTGTGTCCCTGTTTGGTCTTTCCGACTGTGTGATGGGGTCTTGATTTACACTACATGCGGGGGTGCGGTCCCGCCTTTCCTCGGCAACTTCCGAATAACCCCTGCACTCCAGCAACGACATCACATCAGGTGTCTGATGAAACAACATCCACCACTCAAGCAGCTTTTTGCCGACTCACGAGGCTTGCCACATCTTTTTTTTCTTTTGGAAGGGTCCAATATAAACCGTATGGAACTATCCTAAAGCTTCATTTATGTCATAACTCGGGGCCTGAGCACAGAGATGAGTTTACTGCTGGCGGTCTCGGCAGCATCGATGACAGAAGTTCATCACTTCCTAGTCACTCGTTCCTCGACCACTATACATGGCCAGACGTTTCTCGATACCCGTGGATATGCAAATTCGCGTGTAACACTGTCATACGAGCCGTCTTCATCAAGAAAGCCATACGGGTTTCCCCTTCTTCATGGATTGTTGCCTATGTCTATTGACCAGCACGCACAGCGGCATAATAGTGTGGAGATCAGTTATGCAGTACTCGTTGTTACCCGACAAGTCCAGCAACATCAAGTGAAGATCTCTCGTTCAAAAATTTGCCCCGGCATCTGCTCACATAACTAGCACTCCTTCTGATATTAGCTTATTCCCTTGGTGAGACACTTTTTGATATCTTGGGCACTCGACAACATGCGACGCTTTGCTGTTGTACAATGTCCCTTGGAACAGCAATTTGGGTGAGGCGGTGCTTGCCTAGCCGTGCTTAGGATCACACTCGTGTGTTTTGTTGGAGGCCAGATAGAGGAGCAAGCCGGATATGCCTGGACATGACAGGCAAGAGACAGTCAGTCTAGCACTAGGTCTTATATAAACTAATAATCTGAGATATTAGACAATACTAGGTGCTCATTCCACAAAATTTAGAACTGTAAGCAGTTTGGATGACAGGAGATTCTCGATGCTGAAGATAAACCCCGCTTCTTATTCGATTTTGTCACTAACTTGAATTATCTAAGCCTTCCCCTCTTCTTCTTCCTTTTCTTTTTCTTCCCCAATCATGACTTCAAAGTTCGGCTTCTTTTATCGTTCTACGAATTCGACAAGCATAAACGATTTTCAAATCCAAATTTCGTCATATCACTAACAGTTCCGCCCAAGCACCCACCCGTCAATATGCAACCCATCCAATCAGGCGATCTAGGCCTCACGTCATGCTCATTCTAGCCCCCATTTCCGTTGAGGACCTTGACGGCCATATCCATAAGGGCTGTTTCAGAAAAAGCAAACAATGAGTGCCAATATCCAGCCCTATTGATGAGCAACGAAGACAGTTTATTGGACGTCGAAGAGGATAAGTAGGTTAGGGTTGAATTCGGGACCCACAGTAGTTTCCTTTCCCCAACTATCCTCCTCTGCCCTTCTGCTCCGTGGCTTTTTTTTTTCCTGTCCTTACCTAGAACTCTTTTCCCCTTGCCAACCTCGACTTTCTTGCAGGTTCACTTGCCATCACCAGTCTCACGAGCGGAACTTTACCTACAATCACCTTCCCATCGCGGTTTGGCTTCAAGCGTCTACCACGCTACTCTATCAGTCGCTCTTAATCGGGCCTTCAAAAACGCATGCTTTATCGCAGCGTCGACCATTTCCAATCGCAACTGAACCCAGCCCGGTCACCAAGCGCGCAAGAATTTCGCAAGTCCGCATCAACGGAACGACCTAGCTTTCCCAAGGCGCGAGAAGTAGTAAGTCACACACCTTTCGTTATGTTTATTTTCACCAGCCCTTGCGACCCAAGATCCAAAACATTTGTGCTGTTCGCCAGAATGCACAGATGGTGCTGCGCCCCTTCCCCCTTCCTTCACCCCCTTTCCACAGCAGTTTCCATCTGGAAGCGCACTTACCTTGTGTCTGCAACCACATTTACCACGAGCGCGGACGAGCTATCCGTCAATGAACCCTGCATTCTCGAAAACTTCTCCTCGTTGACAAGGTCTGCTCTTCCGTCTGGGTCATTGGACACTCTCTTCCTTTCCTCTCATGTCTCATCGTGCCTTTTGCAGTGCATCTTCCCCCTCCATCAGACCTCGGGTTCAACCCGAACCGTGTTGCTATTTCACTGTCGCGATCTGATCCTTTTGGCCTTTTCTCCGATCTGTCAGCGGGCCAGTAGCGTGCTCATACTTTCTAGCAGGCCACAGAAGCGTTCCATCTCAACCAATCTCCCAATGCCGTCCGTCATCAACAACGAGATGGCGACTCACGATGATGAGTCATCGTTGAGTTTTTCAACAGAGTCATCAATCGGTATGTTTTCCCCTTCTTACACAGTCGATCTCTATATGGTTCAATTATCTTTGCCCACGACACGTCGTCGCACGGGCTCTGGGTTTGATGTTTGCTTAGTGAAAGAGAAGAACAAAAGAAAACAAAGTCCCTGAGCGAGAACAGTGGCTACAACGAAACGGCGAGGCATCCGTCGAGTTACTATGCACTGCAACGGAGTGGCATCCGAGATACTAAAGACACCAATACGGAGTGGCATCCGTCAAGATACCAAAACAGGCACTTGTCAAATACTCAGCAGACTCAGGCATCTATTTACCAATGAAAATCAAAAATTCACTCACGACGTTCTCAAAGCATTCGCGTAAAGAAATGCAGTTTGCGACATGGTGTTTGTCTGATGAGCGTATCACACTTTTGTGCGTACTAACTCTGGTTGTTAAGTCAATGGTGGAGGATCGCAGGTCAATACCCCGTCTGACGCCTCCGACTTTGGAGACACCAAAAGACAGTACCACACTAGTATTACGCCAACTCGTGCTTCACAGAGCTACCCCGTTGGTATCATGGCTTCTGGCACCACACCGAAGACCAGCCTGCAGCGCCGTTCCGTCACGTTCGTAGAGCCGGACCCGCCGGCCAGAGAGCATTCCCGGATCACGTACACCATGGTCAGCAACACGCCTCCTTCCACGCCGAAGGATGATTCGTTCGACGCTCAGTACCTTTATCCGCCGAGCGCTTGTGTGTTTGTGGCAAAGTAGGTCATCATTTGTAGGAGTGGGCACATTCATCTGCTGACATATTTTGTGGTCCAGCCTTCCTGAGGCTCGGGAGGACGAGGATCTTAAGGCCGCGGTTACCAAGGAGTTCAGTTACTTTGGATTAGTATACGTCAAGATTCGCCGTGATCCCTCCAACATGCCATTTGCGTTCTGCCAGTATACAGTAAGTTGATCTTCCTCGTTTGTGGAATGGTTTATCTGACACTGAAACAGGATGAGGACCATGCAAAGGACGCGGTGGTGAACGGGAAGGGTATTATGATCCTTGGTCGACCTTGCCGAACCGAGATGGTCAAAGCCAACCGTAAGCTGTTCTCTCCGAATGTCTTCCTTTTTGTTCCCGCATACTGACGATCACCCAGGCACCTACGCAATCAACAGACGTGATCACGGAGAGATCACCGTCCACCAAGCCATGCGCGTGTTCGAAGCTTATGGAGAGCTGAACAAGTGCTACGTCTTGCCCGCCGAACTTCAGCAGGAACTTGGGCTTCCCCCGACTGTTGTCGCGGGGTTCACGGTTTTTGACCCGACTCGGGACATGGGCCTTGTATGTACCACATTTTCATGGTTTTACTCCGCTCATGTCAAATGCTGATTATATTGTTTAGGTCGCCAAGGAGAACCCAGACTACAGGATCATGCCGTACGATGAGGACAAAAAATCCATCACCCCGCCTCGCGATCCGAACAAGGAATTCCTCAGGCAGTACGACGTCGATCGGCGAACCTTGTACATCGCACACATGCCGCGGGACATTGAGGAGACAGAACTGGAGGATCTTTTTAGTCAGGCCGGCACCATCAACAAGTGCACCATCGTGCGAAAGGACATTCCTGCTTACTATGGCGCCCGCCAACATCATCATCACTATGCTTTTGTCGAGTACGAGCATATCGGTGCTCCAGATGAAGCTATCAAGCGCTTTGTGAGTGTTCCATTTCATCGAAAATAAGAGTTCAACGCTGATCATTGAGAATAGAGAGGTTTTGTATTGCGCGGCCACCCATTGAAGGTCGAACGGAAGACCACCAAAAGTGTTCGTCGAATGGTCTCGTCTCCCTTGACTGGCAGGGCTCCTGCTTCTTCCGACACGTACAGAGGCGACCCTCGGACCCCCAACACGCCGTCGAGAGCCTCCTTTGCTCACAGATCCGCCATGAAACAATCGAGCGTCCCGGATATTGCGACTCAAGGGTCAGAGTTAGCTCCTATGTTGCTGGCTTACTCATCGGAAGGATCGCCCACCCAGCGCAAGAACATCCACGTAGCCCACGACTGCCACTTCACGGATGGTCCTGCCATGGAAAGCGCTCCTATCCAGAGAGCCTCGACAGAGCAGCATACTGTCAAGCCTGTCAAGTCGATGCCAAATTTCGCTGCACATTGCGTTCACGGTGGTGCCATTCCTGCCAACAAAGTCGCCGCTAGTGTCTTTTCAGGACCTTCTGCCAATAGAGTCCCCGGTGACGCCGTGCCGGGACCGCAATTTACAGCTCTGCCTCATCCCACGGCCGATGTGAACGGTAGACCGATCCATCCCATGCAGCCGTTGCCCATCACCTCGTGGGATCAGCCCCAGCCCGCGTACCCACACGTCGGCTATATTCCGGACTGGCATATGCACGCGTACATGGCTGGAATGCCCGGCACTGGCCCGGCCTTGCCTCCCAATGTCCAGCAGGCGCCTCCTGATCTGGTGATGCACAACTGGACTCCGGAGTTTGCGCCGCCCATTCCCCTCGAATGTGTTCCTCGTGGCTTTGTCCATTCGCACTTTGCCTACCATCCCATTACGGGCCAGCACTGTGCCGTTTGGATTCCAGCGGCTGCCCACTTTCCCACGGTGTTTTGAGGAGATGGAAGCCATCTCGACTGGTCCACCTTTGCCGACTCGGTTGTCGCTCTCGGGTGCGAGCTTTCCACAGTGCCTACAGTACTTGGGGCTTCCCTACTTCGTTTCGACGACTTTGATGGTATACCTTGATGCTCCACACCTAATTATTTGGCGTTCCCCATGGTGTCTTGAAAGGCATGGGCTTCTTTGGTATACCGAAATGGACCACTAATAACGCATCGGCATGTTTCTCGATTTTAGTCATTTCCTTGATTCGCCATGGCCATATCTTTCTTCTCGATTATGTTTCAACCACAACTCAGCCTGTTCCCGGGAGCTTGTCAAAACTATCGGTTCTAGTCAGGCATTGGGTTCGGCGTTTGGCTTATTGCGGCGTTCTTCCTTGGAGTCGGGCGATAGGGCCACTTGCAGCGACGTGAGCATATGCTGGTTTCGGTACTTGGTGGTTATACCCTGGTTGTGTTTTTCTGGTTGGTGTTGGTTGGAAGAATGGTTGATCTGACCTGGCTGTTCTCGATGATTGTGAGTACTTTCACGTGGTTAGCGTCGGCGCAGCCTAATGTCTGCGTCCGCCTGGATTTGTTTAATCAATGTTGGAATCTGAATACTGGCCAGAAAGTCTTCTTTGGTAGCCTGAGTGTTCTCAAGTCTACTCAAGCGGCCGATACTAAACCAGGCGTGGACTTTTAGCGGACAACAGCCAGGACTAACCTAAGGGGTATCCAGGCAATAGTTCCGAGTCACACGGGGAGACTGACTGGTTAAATTGGTTGGGAATGTCGGCAATCTCTTGTATTTGGAAGCAGAGGAAGAGTTGTTTTCTGTGTCCTTGGTAAACCTCGTATCTGGTTGTCGCATAGCTACTCGACTGCTACCATTTCCACATTTCCTGAGATAGTCCCCAGTCCGAATAGATAGAAGAACAAGACATTTATCGCGCAGCAACTGTGCTGTTCAGACGCTGCACTCTCCGCACCTCAAGCCTTTTGTCGTTGTTGAGTGAAAGTCAAAGATGACACAAACGTTGTCACACATCGCCATTGGTGGTCAGCCTCTAGGTCGTTCGAAGGTAGTATGTACCGTGGCGTGATTAGGGGGGATGCTGGAGTGACTGATCCCATGTAGTTACGCGAGGTAGTACTATTCCAGCCAGTTGGGCCGCTTTGAGCCGAGATGTTGACGAAGGTTTACCACCACTCAGCTGATGCAGAAGTAGGTAGAGTTGTATCACACTCCCTGTCCTTCAGGGATGCCCTGCTTCTTGGGTAGTGTACACTACAGCTGTGGTGAGGTCGACAAGCAAGATGTTTTGATACTAACAAACTCCCAGCTAATTGATGTATCTTACAGTTAGCAGCTTAATCTCTAACCCTCACACAGGTCAAGCTACCTACACATGGAATCACATCGGCAACCCTCTTGTCCATTCCAGGCCTACCCCGATGACGGAGAGGGAGGTACACTGTGTACAAGAGCGAAAGGGTAACTAAGGTACTATGGGATATGCTGTGGTAGACCCCCACGGCGTTTTTGCAATAATTTGAGGGCCGATGGGTCTGAATTTGTGCAGGGCTGTCTTTAGTCGTACGTAAATGCTTCTACACGAGACTCGGGGTCTCCCTGGTATGAGAATTTCACTTTGCTTTTAGCGGAAACTAAAGGAGGACAATGAACCTTTCTAACCTCAATAATCACCAGAACCGTCATCCGTCAATTGAATTTGTGTGGACTTTTATTCGCTGCTTTCTCGCTTACTTTTCGACTGTTCTTGCTTCAGTTCTTATCGAGTCCATTCTGGGGCAAAGCGCCAATCGTTTCGACGGAGAAGCACCGAAAGCCCCACCATTACGCCCGCTCGCTTAAAAGAAAAGAGAACCTCGACAGTTCAACAACTTTTTCCGTCGCAACATCGTCCTCAGCAACCACTGGAGTCTGTTTGTATTCCAAGCAAAATCGTACCAGAACAATGGGTCAACCATCCTCCGAGGCGTCGAACGCCATCATCTATACTACATTGGGAATTTTCCTGTGAGATGACAATCACCAAACCCCGTTTTAAGCCAGCTCGGTACGGGGGAGCGTTTATACTGACTTATCGCCGCAGGATCATGGGAACCGGTGTTGCCTGGACGATGAGAAACCAATCCAAGGGGGATTTCCTCGCCGGAAACAGGACTCAGACGGGTTAGAAGACCTTCCTGCTAGGCTCAGACAAGAGAGACTGCAATCCCCTGTTCTGCCGAGCCATCACCTACTCACACAGCCTCCCGTTGCCACTTACAATACGTTGAGCCGCAACTGACATCTCAATCTCTTCTAGCTATTCCGCTCGCTTTGAACTTCATCGCTTCCGGTGAGTGAAAGCACACAACGCGACAAGGAGGCACTCAACATCGACAATTGAGGCCTCTACTGCAACATGAAGATCAGAGCGGTAGCAACGCACCGAACAGAGCATTTCGAAAACAACGAGAAATGGACAAGACATGCGGTTTCGAAACTCCACTTTCACGATAACAACAACAACAATAAGGGCCCGAACAGAGCAAAGTATCGCCGGCGATGACATAGGTATAAGTTGAGCAGACTGACAGCATAGGTTCGTTCGCACCCAATCTCCAACCTATCTTCCATCTTCCGAGGTTGTACCCGCGCGTCTTCGTTTTGGCACCTTCTCTCCAGGTGGTGTCAGGAAGGATACCATGGATATTACTCAAGGTTAGATGAGAGGTTGCGGCTCACTACGGGCGCCGAGTCAAAAGCTTGCTCGCCTGGATCCAACCTCCCGCTCTTTCATCCTCGTCTTGCACAAAAGCCTCCTAGGGGACAATGGTATTTCCGAGGATAGAGAGGATGAACAGGGAGGAGATCTGGCGACTTGCTGGACGACGAAGCTGAGATTGTACCGTGATTACTCGATCAAGTTAATGCTTGCGTGAGAAACGTGCTGCCGCTCCGATCTATTCTCCCCCTCCCTACTCCCCCTTCCCCTCTCCCCCTTACTCTTGTGGGTTGGAAAAACTAACCTGCGTAGCTCTCGGATCTGGAATCCTTTTCACTTATCCAGAAATCGCCACGTTGGCTGGTCTTCAGGGCGTCCTTGTCTATGCTTTGGCTTCCGCACTCCCGCTGTTCGTCTTCGCCTTACTGGGCCCTATCATCAGACGCAAATGCCCTGGGGGTTTCGTCCTCACGGAGTGGACCAGACAGCGCTATGGAACCATCGCGGCCTTGTACCTGAGCTTTGTGACGCTGGTTACGCTTTTCCTGTACATGGTTGCTGAACTGTCCGGTATTGGTCAGGTTGTTGAAGTCTTGACTGGTCTTAACGGATTGCCGGTACTCATCGTTGAGTGTGTAATCACGACCATCTATACCTGTATGTGTCTCTTTGAACCCGTCGAACCCGTCAAACGATCGAATAAGTGCTGACGTGGGTGCAACCTGCAGCATTGGGCGGGTTTCGAATCTCTTTCATTACAGACAACATTCAGGGAGCGATGGTGATCGGACTCCTCGTTGTCGCATCCATTGCTATCGGCGTCGAGACCAAGATCGATACCAGCCTGATCGAGCCCTCTGGTCTTTTAAAGGATAGTCTCTTGGGTTGGCAGCTTCTCTACATCCTCCCGGTTGCCATTTTGACGAACGACTTCTTTTTGGTAAAGTCTTCCCTTGCCGAACAGGAACCGGCCCATTGTCACTTGACTAACACCCAAGCAGTCCAGCTTCTGGCTCCGCACCTTTGCCTCCAAGACCGACCGTGATCTCTGGATTGGCATCACCCTTGCTGCCCTTTTTATCCTCATTATTATCACCATGATAGGCTGCACCGGTCTTATCGCCGCCTGGTCGGGCGTCTGGCCCGGCTCGGACCCGGAAAACCCCCTCCCGGGTTCCGTTGCCTTCTTCGGCCTGCTTGAGAATCTTCCTGCCTGGGTCGTCGGCTTTGTCCTCGTCATGTCTGTCACCCTCAGCACCGCCGCCTTTGATTCGCTTCAGTCCGCCATGGTCTCGTCCGCCAGCAACGATCTGTTCCGCAACAAGCTCAGCGTGTGGTGGATCCGCGTCGCTGTGGTTTTGATCATCATCCCCATCGTGGTCCTTGCCATCAAGGCGCCCTCGATTCTGCAGATCTACCTCATTTCCGATCTCGTCTCTGCCGCCACCATTCCCGTGCTGATCGTTGGCTTGTCCGACCGGTGCTACTGGTGGCGCGGCTTTGAGGTGGTCGTCGGCGGGTTGGGCGGTATCTTCACCGTCTTCATCTTCGGCGCGATCTACTACAACGACGCATACAAGGGAGCTCAGCTGATACTACTCGAAGACGGCATCTATCAGGAGGGCTGGGCTGCGTTCGGCGCCTTCGTGGCTGCCCCTGTCGGGGGTCTTTTGTGGGGCTTTGGAGCCCTTGCGCTCAGGCTGGCGGTGCAATGGGTTCAGGCCAAGAGAAAGGGTGTGAGGTTCGACGCCCTTGACCGTCCAGTTGTGGTGGAGAGTGACAGCGAGGCGATCCAGTATGTTGCTGGCGGAGACTTGGAGACGATATTGAGCAATGGACAGGAGTCTGGGGCTGGAAAGGTTCCTGGCAAGTTCTTTTGAGCGGTGTCTGTATGCTTTGTACCCTATTCTTATCATTAGGGCGCAATGGCCTTGGAGATGCATGGACGGCATGCTTACAATGACCACCCAGTCATCCCTTAACGGGGTGAACGGCGCAAATGGCTAACGACAAAAAGGGGGCTGGGACAGTTGAGGTAAAGGGGGCTCAAGCTGTGGAGGTTGGAGGTTGAAGGATCAATGCGAGGTATTGGCGACCGATAATATGGGGTCGAGTTTTGAGTGAGCTTCAGTTTCGATTCTCTTTGTCGTCACACGACGACGGCTGCATCACGGATGCAATCATAACAGATGCTGATACTACACTCATTGAATCAAATGGACACATCCGCTCACCACCATTCGTTTCAAAGACTTCCTATCTTGAAATAGGACGTACTATTTCCGGGCCTGCTGCTTGGATGTATTGTTTGTGTCAACCTATCCGAAATGTGTAAGTTCACAACGGTGGTTGTGCCGGGCTAATGCCAGAGGTGCTGGAGGTGTGCAAGGGCGTACCTACACTAGGATGCTGCTGCTTGGCACTGCCTGCCGCAAAATATGCCGCGCCGTTACGGTTGGCGATCTGGGCGGCGGACCGCTGTTCCTGACCAGCCAAAATCCATAATCCCATGTGCCGGTATTTGCTGGTAGTGAGCGGATCCAACGAGTGGACATCCAATTTCATCATGAGCACCCCCATAGAAACCGACGCGCACGTACATATAGCTACCTGTATGTTCACGTGGCAGCTTCACCGACCGACAAGCTGTGTAGTTCTCAATCGCCGGGAGCACTCGAACGGTTGACACCGAGAAGAATGATGTGACAGGAGCATCGATGTCTTGCATCAAACATACCATTCACACTACCAAATCGCCGAATCATTAGCGCGGCTACAACGTGGACCGAGCTTTCCGGATGGTCACAGATGCACCGAGGCTCGGCAGGGGAAGGGGACATGATCGGACAATTCGGCAGCCCGTTCATCCTGGCCGCCAGTCGATTTCGGACAACAACCCATCCCGTCGGGGCTCTGACGCCTGCCGGGCAGCCGTTGCTGGAAGGCTTCTTTATCCGGGGTCTGTTGACTCCTTTTGGCGTTCGCTAGTGTAAACACCAAACCAAACAAAATCGAGCAACCGGGCAGGGGACACCGGGTGATCGCTGGATCGGTGCTGCTACGTATCTCCTGTGTCTAGCCAGGGGGACATAAACTGTGCATATGGACCGTTTGTCCACGGATTCCCCTTCGAGGTTGAGACTGATCAGCAGTTCACACCATATCGGCTTCAGCCTCTTGTCTGTCTCCGTCATCACCGGAGCTGCTTAAGCACAGCAATACTGAACTGGACTGTCCGACGGTGTGTTTTCTCCCCTCTCCTTTTACATTACCATCCATGACGAAAGAATCGCTTCTTCTTCGCTTGAGCGAGTTCCACCTTACAAATCGCTCTGAGCCTATTCTCGCCTCTAAATACCCCGGCGGGTTCGTGGACACATCAAATTTAAATGCTCCAACGCCTAGCAACGATGGAGACGATCCGGTCATTAAACCCAAGGATCCCCTTCTCCTCACCCACCCGTCCATCTTTGTCCTCTGGGTGCTTGTGGGCAGGGTGTATGGTGACCTGTGTTTTCCCTACGGCCACCGCAGTGTTCCGTGTTCTCGCAGTGTCTGGTTCAACCCGTTGCAAAGACCATACCCGCATACTTGCAGGTCACTCCTCAGCAGGGCCCTTTCTTCATTCCTTTTGCCCAATCGAGTGATTGGCGGGGGCTAAGCAAGCACAGTACTAGAGCTCATCTGTTCGCTCATCTGAATTCTTCGGGAACCGGTGGATATCAGATTTGCCTCGTGGGCAGTTTGGATAGGTAGTTGGACTTCTTGGGACTCAAGGGTGGTCCTCCAGAAAGGAATCTTACTTCGAGACCGTTGCCTCGCTCCAAGTCCTCCTTCAGTCTCCCGCACCGGACAACGAGCCTTGCCTTCTCTCGCTACAACACATCGCCACTTGCAATTCACAGACACGCATCTACAAACGGACTAAACCCGGACTATCGTCACTCATTCGCTCTACACCGGACCAAGACAGATAGGAGAGGACGTCTTTAGGAGCTATTCGGAGCCCTCTGTCTCGCCACACAGCTGTCCTTAACCAACGATTATACCGAATCTCGCTCACTGAGCTTTCTACATCTCGCTTTGCCCAACCTCACCGTGTTTCGCCTACACAAGTCCACGCATTCTCTCCCCCGCTGCCCCTCACCCCGACACTTTATACCAAGTTCGACGCTCTCTAGACAAATCACCAAGTTCACCACACAACTTCAACCAGCATCATCAGCCTCACACTCTCGGTTATCACTTCAGGCGATCTACGACGGAGGTTCTGCGTTACGTCGATTCTCCGATCATATTGACGACGCCTGTCTGGACTCTTCCGTGGCAAACAAGATCCCCACTCGTCCTTCTACTTGCCTCATCGACAATCTCGACACCTTCAAAGTTTCCCTCCGATAGACCTATATTAGATCTTACGGACGTTAGCTTACTAAGGATCCCCGAACTTATTGGTGCTGGATATTGCCAACAAGCTTATCGATCCACTATTTTATCTGAAGGGGGCTGGGTCGCCCAGGACGTAGGATTACTGGCTCGGGGCCAACACCAACTGAAGTCAATCCTTTCATGATGGCACCAAGTCATCGAATATTCGCTCTCTTTTTCCTTTTGCTCGGGATTCTTGTCTTCCCCTCTGCAGCTGATCAGACCAAGGAAAAAGCATATGTCTATGGCACTGGCACAGATGGAGAAACACGACAGCTGGCTGTCGACCGCAGGCCGGCACTCTATACCGGTGATTTTGGAGACTGCTTAGATGGCGGGAGTCTGTTCAACGTCACAAAGTTCGACGGCGCCTATTTTGCTGATAACATGACCATTGTCCTCCATCTCGACGCGACAAGCAATATCAGAAACGAATCAACCATGAGTGAGCAAGGTCCCCAGAGACAAAGAAACCGGCTCTAGGCGTGCTAACTGAGCTCATAGTGTATATCTCCGTTGATGCATGTAAGGCTACAGTGGAATTCCCTCTACCCGACTTTTCACAGCTGACAATCGTGCTGTAGATGGCGAAAACAGACTCTCGATGACCTTCAATCCATGCCACGCCATGATCAGCAGGTAAGATCATGACCCGCTGAATCTATTCTAAGATCTCCCACTCATTCATATCTCGCCAGTCTCTGTCCCCTCGTTGCCAGCAAACCGGTAGGCGCCTATGTCATGATTCCCGTCGCGCCTCGAGACGTAAGTGGGATCCCGGACATCGCCTACGCGATTCCAGACTTCGAAGGCACCCTGAAACTACGGATATTTTCGAATTCAAGCATGACGGAAATAGGATGCTTCCAAGCGGTCATGAGAAACGGGAACAGCTTTTCCCACCCCGAAGCAGTGTCTTCGGCTCTAGGCGCATGCACGATTCTAGCCATAGTCGCCTCTTTTGCGACAGCCGCGTATGGCGTGAGCGTCACTCACATGAGGATGCACTACGCTCATTCCTTCTCCGTCTTCATCATCCTTGAAACATTCCAGGCCATCTTCTTTTCAGGCGCCCTCTCGCTAGACTGGCCCTCGGTCCTGACGGCCTGGTGGAGCAACTTTGCCTGGTCCGCTGGCATGATCTACACTACGAAATTCGTCAGTTCGGTCGATTCGTTTGTGGGATATAATGGCAACTCTAGTCAGATTGGAGGCGCTGGCCCCGCGCTCCTCAATACTAAAGGCGGCTTGATATCACAAATCTACGGAAAGGCCGCTGAGAAGACAGCAGAGACGATCGCGAAGAGGCATGCATATAACGCTAGCAACCCCTACGACTATAACTGGGCCGGAGACCCTGTCAGCCTTGGCTTGCCTATTCCAGGCTCCTGGTTTGGATTCTCTGGAACGCTGTCCATGGTCAAAATCCCCGCCGCCGACGCCGTTCTTGTTGGGCTCACCTGGATCATGATCGCGATCGTCTTGGCGGGTGTTGCCGTCGTGACCCTCAAGGGGTTTCTCGAGCTTTTTGCGCTCACAAAGATGATGAATGCGGACAGCCTGCCTCATTTCCGCAGTAACTGGATCGGATTTACGGTTCTAGCCCTCCAGCGAACGTTCCTCGTCTCCTTCTTCGCCATAATGACTCTCACGATGTACCAGTTCACACTCCGAGGCTCAGGGGATGCAACTGTCATTGCTGGTGTTGCTTTTGCGGTCTTCCTCATCGGCGTCTCCGTTCTGATCGTTCTGGGGATTCACGCCCGTACCAAGTCCGGCAAGTTTGAATGTGGCACTGAACAGCTTATCTTCCATCGGGGGAAGATGCTTGGCTGCCTCCCCGGACTGACTCCGAGCTGGGCGAGAACCCTGAAGGAGAACGAGCTGGAGGTGCAGCCAATTTTTTCGATCCCGCTCTTCCGCATTCGCCATGTCGACGACTGCCCCGACCGCCCGACGGTTCACGAAGACCAAGCCTACATTAAGACGTGGGGCTGGATGACCGCAAGATACAGGCGCACAAGATGGTGGTTCACTGCGTTCTATGTGCCTTACCTGTTCGCTCGCGCAGCCTTTATCGGAGGCGGTGCTCACAATGTCTATGCGCAGATCTACGGCCTACTAGTCCTTGATATCATCTCGTTCGCAATGATGGTCGTCATGAATCCGTTTGAAGGAGCTCGCAATACCGCCATGGGTATCTGGATATTAAGCATCTGCAAGATCTCCACCACAGGCCTTTCCATCGCGTTCCTCCCAGAGTTCGGACTGAACAGGATTATCGTCACAGCTTTTGGTATTATCATCATTGTCATCCAAGGTTTCACGGTTGTCGCTTTGTTGATCCTCATTGGCCTCGGTATGATCTCGACATGGATGTCGCTCTCCCGGAACGAGGAGAGGTTTTTCGACGAGCTGGAATGGGCCCGAGTTCGATACTTCGAGAACATGGAAAGGCGAGCACCAGACATGCCGCAGCCGAAACACGAGAAAGACACGAACCAGGAACCAGCAGTACCGGCAGAACCCTCGTTCGAAGTGGCCCACGTGTGGCGCATGTCCAAGATCGTGGACGAGGAAGAAGGAGGAATGGGAGGAGTGGAGTCCGTTAAGGACATTAGGAGCTCCACGTCGGAGGAGGGGGAGGAGGATGCAAGCATCGGTGAATCAGAGGACACCCTCCCCGTCCTGGAGGAAATTCCTGAAAATGACGGCACCAGCTCAGTCGATATTCCCGTAGGGCCCGCGCTTAACACGCCCTCCCACCCAGGTAGCCGATCAGTCAGCGCCTGTTCGACCAGGTTCAGCACGGGCAGCGCACCACGGAACTCTCGCGCCTACCGCAACTCGCGAACGTCGCTCAACGGATACCTGGACGCCAAGTTCACCGACCGTCCAGAGAGCTGCGTGTCGAACAGGCTGAGCAGCTACAGTGCCGGTCTGAATCGCAGCAGCAGCTTGAGACCGGTCAGCAGTATTCCAAGCGTTTCCTACTCCAACAGGGCTTCCAGTACGTTCTCGACAAAGGGGTTGTCGACGCCGAGTAAGGACACACTGGCAAAGTACGCGGATCAAAGAAGATACTCGACACCGCAGCCGTCGGTGGAGATTTGGACCGATAAGAGCAGTGCCAGTAAGAGGCATAGTGTTCATCCTTGTTGATTTTCGTTTAACGAAACGGTACGGATGGATGTAGGAACTGACATGCATTTTGAAGGGTCATGACTGTCCTCTATGTTGGTATGTGACGTACCATACAGTCACTTTCTGATGCTGTGAACATCAGGGGGTTCCCTTTTTTTCTTTTCTTTTTTCCATCTCTCTTTTTGCATAGCTTGCATATGGGCGGCGTTGTAGAGGCAAGGCTATTTCTTACACTCGTTCAGTAACCTTTGACGACGATAGTGGACAGGAAGGACATGGGTATAGGTGTCAAATGAGGACAGATAACTTCTAAAGATCATAGACTTGACGGGTTAAAGATATCTTATCTAATTTTAGTGTAATAGCCATATCTTTGGTGTTCTTCTGATTCAGATAAAGAAGAAAGAGAGAGGGTGGGTTGAAGTTGTAAATGAAAGCTGTTCATGTCGGGAGCGAGTAGTTACAGTAGGAAGAAAGTGGTCCCTGGAGAAAGTGACCAAGATCGTGTGCAGGCAGGCAGTACTGGCCCCAACGCATCGAACTCCCGAGCCGCCGCCTGCCTACCCCAAAGTCGGTTCACGTTGAAGGCATTCCCCTCCTTGCTATCCCCACAATGTCACCCCGGCTCGGCTATCAATGGAGGGGTTCAGCGGATAAGCCCCATGGGGTAGCGCCTAGAATAGTTAGATGTAGAGGGGCAAATACAGTAACTTCAACAGCGAGAGAGTCTCTGAAGCTGAACACTACCTATGGAATTTGGCATAGACAGCAAAGAAACACATGTTTCAGTGCAACAGGAAGAGTTTGTTAGAAATGTCTCTAACCTAATGTAGCCGGATCTTGTTTCGCAATCTACGGTGTAAGTGCAGCTGAAGTTCACCAATGACACCCATACGCTGCCGATCTGCGACCCCTAGCCAAGAGCTATCAGACGGGACCGCTACGCGGCTTGGTAACTGCTTTATAAGTGATTTGTTGGAACGTAGTCAGATTAGTCTAATGCATTTCCGTTGAGACGGTACCTGAAAGCGGTGAGTTTGCCGATCTAGTTACTGTAATGCAAGAATGCGAGAATGGTACCTTGACTGGCTGAGTGGAACTACGTGGACAGTCAGAATGCTTTGTACACTAACGGCAGAGGAAGGTACCCGTTGATTGCGTCACGCCTGTTCATCGCCGTTGTATATATACCCAAGCCAGCAAAGGCGAAGTAAGTAATGGGATTCCGGTAGAGACTAAAAGCTTTTAAATCCGAATCCTCTGTTTTAAAATATCCATTGTCACTTCTTCACCTTGGTTTCTCCTGCCTCTGATAACTGTTTGTCCTCCTCTCCTCTTTTGCATGCTGGACAGACCCAGATCACCATCAACACATTATCTTAGCTTTCGACCTCGACAGCCATCCCTCGACCAAATAATTGAATACCAAAACAAGAACAAGAAAGAAAACCCCAAACAAAAGGAAACAATGGCAGGAACCACCACCACCACCACCAACACGGCCACGGGCAACACCAACCCAACCGCCAACCTCCCTCCACTCCTCGACCTGACCATCGACAATATCACGCCCAACACAATCCGGATCAACTCGCAGGCGTCCGATGCGCGGCTCAAGTACCTGATGGCGCGGCTGGTGACACACCTGCACGATTTTGCGCGTGAGACCCGGCTGAGCTCGGACGAGTGGATGGCCGCTCTTCAGTTTCTGATCAGCTGCGGCAAGATATGTAGCGATGTGAGGAATGTGAGTTACTCCTTGCAATTTCACTGATGGACATTGTACCAAGCTATGAAGCTGGGCGTTTTCTCTGGGGACTTTCACGTAATGTATATCAGCTAACGCAAAACACCAGGAATTCATCCTCCTCTCCGACGTCCTCGGCCTCTCCCTCCTCGTCGACAACATCAACCACCCCACACTTCCCGGTGGCACTGAGGGATCCGTTCTTGGCCCCTTCCACACGCACGACGCTCCCGTTCTCCCCAACGGCAGCAGCATGACTTCGGACCCCGAGGGCGAGCCGATGCTGGCGCTTTGCACCGTCAAGGATCTCAAGGGAAACGCGCTCCCCGGCGTGACCATTGACATCTGGGAGACGGACAGCTCGGGCCACTACGATGTGCAGCATGCCGACCGGGACGCGCCTAGCGAGCGGTGTATCATGAGAAGCGATGACGAGGGCAGGTTTTGGTTCAAGGGTATCAAGCCCGTCAGCTACCCGATCCCCCACGACGGGCCGGTGGGCAAGTTGCTCGAGAGGCTAAATCGTCACCCCTGGAGGCCGGCGCATGTGCATTTCAAGTTTGAAAAGGATGGGTGGGATCCGCTTGTAACGTGAGTATATTTTCCTTTATGCACCCCTTCACCGCATCATTGCGCTTGCTAATAAGTGCCTGTGGCTTTAGCGCTCTATACTTGAAGGGAGACCCTTATGAATCATCAGACGCTGTCTTTGGCGTCAAGAAGAGCTTGGTGGTCGAACTAGGGAAGGTGGATAAGGCCACGGCAGAAGCATACGGTGTGAAGGAGGGGAGCTGGCTCTTGAAGCACGACTTTGTGCTGTCCACCCAGAAGGAGACGGAGGAACTAAGAGACCGGCTAGCTGTCCAAGAGCTGGAAAAGCTGGGCTTGAATATGAAGCTGGTAGACCACCTGCCTGTCCCCGAGCTTGACTAGATCTAGCAATCAAAGCCTCAACCCCTTCCTATCAGTGCTTCTCGTCCAGATTGGTAGACTTCACCAACTTCACTACTGTCTCCAGGTAGCCAGCGGTGCCTCCGTATCGATCGACAATGACTCCAATGTCAATGGCCGACACGTCGCCCTGCCGCTTGCGCCCGACTATCGCTGTATTGCGCGTGCTAGGGATCCTTAACATCTCCTGTTCGGCTACCCAGCCGCAATCCGCGGTGATCTGGGTGACCCATGAGACGAGGGAAGAATATGCCGAGTTAGCCTTCTTCTTGTCTTTGGGTGCTGGCGCACGGAACCTCGCCCCTGTCAGGTCGTGGCTGCAGCAAGGAATCATGATGAAAGGACACTCTGATATGGCAGCCAAAATGGGCGTCCAGGGCGTCAATTCATCGGCGTGGTTGGATATAATAAAGGTGCCCTTAGGAAACCGGCCGTCATGGACGAGCTCTTCCCGAAAACCTTCACTTGAGATCTCGGAAATCCCAGCCCTGCTGACAGGCGGCGGTAGCAAGACTAGCTGCTGTAAGGACTCCTGAACACCTGTGGGGGTTTCCAGACGGGTGCAGTACGTTGCCCACGATTTGCGGGACCTGGCATCGAAGCCCCAGCCCTTGAAACCTTCCAGGTTCAAAATATGGACCAAGAGGCCGTTCCCGCAGCCGATGTCAACGAACCCAGGGAAAAGGTTCCGTCCATAGATGTCGGTCCACAGCTCGATGAGAAAGGCAGCGATGCAGAGGTCTTCAAAGACATGCTTGGTAGGATCGGTACTTTCGACCCATGACTCGATCAGAGCGCGGGCGTATTTCTGCTTCAACGCTGTGTACGTGTTTTGCACGCGGTCCTGCGGTACCAAGAGATCATGGTGCACCCGTTTCTGATAACCGTCAGCTCTGCCTTGTCCATGTTTGTATACGGCTTGAAGCAAGTGAGAGGCGATTCTCGTGAGCTTCTCGGGGCGCTCACCCCCTTCGAAGTAGAGATAGGAGACAGAAACAGATCCGCGCGTCTCTGTGGGAGACCACTCATGGTGAAAGGCTATGCCTCGGACCGTAGGGTGATAATAGGGCATCTCGGCCTCTGTGGAGACGTGGGGGAGATAAATAACCAAATGCCTCTGCAAACCGCCCTCGGAATCACTACCCTTACTCTGGTAGATGAGACATGTCTGATCCATGGGCTTGTCCCTCATGGTGCTCCGAGGAATAAGCCGGCGAATCAAACGTCGGTGAAGCCCAAAGCCGTCGAAGGATGGGATGTCAGGCACGTCTCCCAGCTCCGACAGGGGGGCCTCCAAGCCATTCTGGATGTTCTTCTTTGTATCATAGAGGATATCGGCGCGGAAGAGCCAAGACGAGTTGATGTTTGGGTTCTTGATCAAGTTGAGCATGACATCTTGAAAGATGACCGGGTTGAAGGTGCATTCATGACGAAAGAGAGGTCGCCAGTCTGGTTTCGCATCACCAGTGGTCGCCTGCCGAACGACCGGGACAGCATCGACTGCCAGCTCTTCCGGGGTAAATTTAGGCATACCTAGGTACGTATTTCTAGATAGGTACTGTTCGTGGTTGATGGCGCATTGCCGTATGTTGGGTTGAGGTTGCCAGTGACGGTCGGCTGTGACTGGACTCTGGCGTGTCTGGGTCCAGAATGGCCTGGAGAAGGTGCGGAGAAGCCGATGGTAGCTTGGAAAATCGAGGCAAAATCTGGCTGCCGTTTGTGACAGGCGGTCTCGAGGCGATACTAGAGGTACTGTAGTGTTGTGTACATGTACCGACGGCTGTGCCCTGGGACCCCCCGCAATTTCCCCGTCCGCCACCTGGAATCCATGCCCAACAGGGGAAATCTACGCTATGGTGTAGTACTTACATAACTGACGTATTCCGTTGACGCACACAGCCAGCCCTGTCAGCCTGACATTCCATGTTGGGCATGATTTGGTGAAGTTGCTCAACAATGACAGCCGCGGACAGGTTGGCTGATTGATAGAGGTGGTTTTTGTAAGAGCCGGAAACAGCGTGTTGGCTGTTTGGAAATGATCTATGGTTGAAGTCAAAGCGCCAGTTGCCCGGATGTCGCTACAATCGTTGCACAACATGACCAACCCGTCACCGAACCTGCACCAGATCGAGGTTTATCAGGTAGGTAGTCTCGTGGCTCGTGGCCGAGGTGGGGTGACTTCCATGGCATGTACCATACACCCAGCCTACCTCCCACTATTCATCGTACCTGAGGCGAAGCCATACTGGCACTGAGTGTAGATGGCAGGCCTTGCCGTCTAGAATGTGCAGGCAAGCCTGCCAAGTCCAGTACGATCCGGAAGCAGTGTGCAAACGTGAGGTCCATAGAACTGGGAAACAACAACATGCAGTGCCACATGCAGGGGGCCAGCTGCTCCATGTATTGGTTAACAGACATCACAGCCTGATGCTCACATGATTGATACTACGCTACCTCTCATGTGGTACCTGACCCTCTCGTGGCGCGCCTTAGCCAGCGGACAATAATTGATGCCTGGTTGCCTGAGCTTTGACCTGGAGGGAGGGCCCCGAGACGGACGCCCCACTATTTCCACTATCTCTTCCCCTCAACCTCTTCCCTTTCCATCTCTCTCTTTCAAATCCACGTTTCTCCATCAACAAACTCCAGCATCCATTCACCGCCCGCATCCATCTATCATTTAAAAGTAGCCTGCCCCGGCACTTTTTTGACCAAGCAACTTGCAGACAAGCTCCCAACAACCTCTCAACCTAACAACACCTCTCAGCGAGACACTACCACAGTCGTCGGTCGCTGCATCCCCGCCCATCAACAGAACCCTTTCCCCAGGTACCCCGCGAACTTCGAGTTTATGTCAATCGAAAATCTTAAGACCTACGGTACGTCGCATCTAACCGTACCTAGTCGTTCCCCGTATCGCCCACTCCCTTTCTCCCTCCCCTCTCTGCATCGGCCACCAGACGGCGCGACCGCAGCACAGTGATGTGATGCTCCACGTCATGTCTGCCATGGTCGATGTGGAAACCCCCAACCCTCCACACCGCGACTCGAATCTATCCCCCCTTTGTGTCGCATCCGAAGGCGAGCTATACTAACGCGACATCCCTTAAGACCCCTTCGCCGAAGCCGACGAGGAGGACTCCGGACAGACCAAACAAACCCAGGAGTACATCCATATTCGTATTCAGCGTACGTGTCACCCCACCGGCATCTCAAATAACACGTGTCGCCCTCACGCCACATGCTGACACTACCTACTAGAGCGTAATGGACGCAAGACCTTGACTACCGTCCAGGGTATTCCCAAGAAGTTCGATGCCAAGAAGATCCTGAAGGTCGTCAAGAAGGAATTTGGTACGTGCTTCATGCCCCCATCCCCTATGTCCATTTCCATAAATGTTGAGTCGTTACTAACTTTGCCTGAAGCCTGCAATGGAACCATCATTGGCGATGAGGACTCCAAGATGGGCGACGTGATCCAGCTCCAGGGCGATCAGCGTGCCAAGATCAAGGATTTCCTTACCAACAAGGACGAGGGCCTCGGTCTCGATGCGAAGACCATCAAGGTCCACGGTTTCTAAAGCCTCACATGCTCGTCGCGCCGACACCGCCGACAGATAAGCGGGTCAGGGAGCCGCCCATGTGGCACGGGTCGCTGACGTCACCTCGTCAAGCGACGCATTTCGCCTACGGGCCCTCTTATGGCGCATAGACATGATACCCCAGGATGGTTAACCGGCTTTATCTTGCTATGGTTGGTAGACTGATGGCAGTTGGAGGACCTATACTTAGCGAGGCGGATCTTTTATTCGGGTCGTCATACGCTGGAAGGGCTCAACTGAATGAAATGCAAGACTACACACGGCCTGCGCGTCATCATGACATGCCGCAGCGCTTGCGGTCTTATAACAGTTCAATAATACTTCATGATACCTCTTTTACTGTGTATGATTTATTTCTATATTCTTGCATCGTCATTTGACACCATGAAGTGATGCAGGTTTTCTATTTCCTTTCTAACGAAATCCTGACTCCGAACGCCGGTACAATGCTTGCTGCTGTGCCTTTGACTATATATCCCAAGTATTCCAAAATCTAAGCAATAACTCCAACCATCCAGCAACGCTATCCATATCCTGCCGGGAGCGCCCTAGTAGTCCCTAGCAACAGTTCCGTAATCCATGATCTTGAAAGCAACTTTCACTACCTCCTGCCAAGCCTTGGTGACCAAGGTCCACAAGGGGATTTGTGGATAGTCGGTCCGGTTCGAATGCACCTGCGCCAGCAACGCCACCATGCTGATGAAGCTGGCCACCGAAAAAGCCCGGATCGACACGCTGGTCTCCTTTCGGATGTTGATCTTTCGCTGTGTAATATGATATAAGAGCGTCAGCATTGCCGAGATGCCTACCCATGCCGGCAAGAGCAGTCGGGGGTCTTGCGAGCCGGCCGTCAGGTAAAGGATTTGCGACGTCAGGTAGGCGTTCAGTGTCGTTATGGTCAGGAGCCGGACGATGGTCGCTTGGGGAGTGTAGTTTACGAGCCTGGTAGAGGGGGGAGGGGGGAAAGGAGGAGTTAGTTACGCGGGTGGCCTAAGGTTTGGGGAAAGAAGGGGAGATGGGGGAGATGAGGTATGTGCTCACCATCGCGACATAAGGCTATCTGTGAAGAAGAAGGAAAGGTAGGCTGATGCGCCACACTAAATTTGAGGAAGAAACATGATTAGTGGGCTGTTTGAACTCCTGGTCTATTTGACGTAGTGATCAGTCGGTTCAAGCCTATGCTGGCTATGAACTACTTACCCATACGATAGCCAGCAACGTTTCCGTCAACCGCAGCCTCGCCTCAAATGAGAGGTCGGCGAAACCTGTCGCAGAAGCTACCGGACTGTAGTTATAGTTCTCGTTGGCGTTTCCCCCCGATGCAGTACTACTCCTGGTAGCACCAGCACCAGCACCAGTACCAGACGACAAGAAATCCGGACTTCCCATCATCATGGCACCACCGTCACTACCGATACCGCTCGCGCAGCCCATCATGTCTCCTCCGCCTGCTCCTGTTGATGTTGCACCACCACCACTCCTACCCACACCTGCTGCTACTACCCGAGCGAAAATATGTTGCCATGTCGTTGGACTGCCGCCGAAAATAATCAGGTGAAGCATGGCCAGCAGCCGGAGCGCGCTCGGAAGACCCCACCAGATGGCAGGAAAGGTGGAGGATTGGCGACAGAGCCAGAGGAAGAAGTGCCACTTCTTGGGCACGCCTAGGGCGACGGCGACGCGGGGTTGTAGGAGTGACGAATGGGCTGTCATGGTCTTGTTTGTTGCTGGGGCGGGATTAATTGGAGGTTTATTACTGTTGTGACTTATATCGGTCATCGGTGTCGCTGCTCCTGTCGCCGTGGACGTTGCTGCTGTTGGTTTGGGTGTTGTTGTATTGGGGACATTGTTGGCGCTGTGAACATTGGCGCTGTTGGCTTCGATGGTGTTAGGATGGTGATGGTCGAGGAGATGGTAGGGCGGCGGCGGCGGCGGAGGAGGAGGAGGAGGAGGAGGCGGCGCCCCTGGTATTTGATGTTGTTGTTGTTGTTGGAGCTGAGGCAGACGGCGGACAAGCCCATTGCCGCTCGGCGTCGCTGGCGCCGTGGCGGCCGCTTGTGTGTATGTGTTGACGCTGTCGGTGCTTCTGCTCTTGAAGTCAACGGCCGTGGGATCGAAGTTGCTGGAGGTATGAGTCGCTCCCCGCTGCTGTGCGGACGACTTTGCTCGGTTGCGCATGAAGATGTTCTCGTCTGCCCATACAGCGAAACTAAGAACCTGGGCTGACTGCTTTTCGGGACTTGGGGGTTCGAGGACTGGCGCGCAAATGGCTTGGAATAGGAGTCGAAAACCTGGTCTGTTGGTTCGGCGGCGGGACGCTCGATTGGTTTAACTCACGTAAAGTGACTGTCGTGCGGAACTGTGTCGAGGCCGAACAGAATACAAACTAAGTGGCTTTCACAGTGTACACCACGACGGGAAGCGGGCGATCCCTGAGGTCATTAATCGACGTAGCATGGCAATTAGCAGCTCCTCCTCCTCATGGCAGCTCTTCCATCCGCAGCCCTTCAGGCCTAGACCCTTTCAACGTTGTCGTGCTGGGGTCTCCCTGGCGGAGGCCGCCGATTAGATGAGGGACAACCATTGGTCAGCTCAATTGAAGAACTTCTTGGAGAGCGGCAGGGCGGGGTAGTGGACGGTTCGCAGCGGGCAGCGGGCGTGCAACGCTTTTTTGGGGAAGGGAGGGGAGGAGGGTGAGAGGGGGCCGGTGTCTCAATTCTCCAATAACGGCCCGTCGAACCGAGATCCGTCGTGGGAAATTTTGAGCGGTCCCGACCCCGTTCGACCTCGTCCGCACGGCACGCCTATAGGTACCTCGACCGCCGTGAGTTGTGGAGGCTGTAGGTACGTTTTGTTGGTGGTTTCCATTTTCCCAGCGCTTGCCAGGTCCGTTCGCGCGTAACAAGCTGCCGAACAGCCAGGGAATTCGGATCTCGTCTCGTTCTGAGTCCAGCTTCGAGCTCCGCTCCTCCCGGCCGTCCTCCGAGCCGCCGCCCACCCCCAACACCGACCGGCCGGAACTGACCACTGGTACACCCCGTTACAGACGAACGACAGCAGCGGCCTCCAGCGCAAAGCATATTCTACGGCTTGACGTCACACGGAAAGTTAGTTGTTGCGTGGGTATACATACACCATACCTCGAACCCTACCGAAGGACAGGGTCGCGACGAGCCAAGGTCGGCTGTGAGGGAAACAAATAGCATTCGCGATGCTGGCGGTAACAGAGCTGGGCTTGCGCGCCCGCTTGCCAGGCTCGCTGGCGACGACGACGACAACCTCGCCAGTCATGGCCGTGGGTCGAGCTCTCTTCTCTACTTCAGAGAACAGGGCAGCCGCCAACAGAAGAACCCAAGCGGCTATTCGCAAGCATACCGGCAATGCCGTGAGGCAAACCGGCAAGCAACCGGCGCCGAGTTTAGAGAGGGCTAAGATGGACCCTTCCAAGGCGCCCACCTTTGTTCTCCCAGGTATTTATTTCTCCATTCAAGATCCTGATCCGTCCCCATACAACAACAGGCAGAAAGACCAAAGTAATGAAGGAAACTAACGAATGCCACACGTCATCTCCCACGCGGAGGTGATGGATAAACCCATGAAATAGAAACCTTTGTCATTCCTCCCTTGTCACGCTTCCCGAAACAGTTCAAGCCGCTCATGTCCTACCTCTGGGGCATCGTCCGTGTCAAGTCGTTGGACTTTTTACTGTCCAGACAATATCGGTTCTCGTCCATGCCTGGCTGGAGACAGAAGCCGCTGCTCTCGCTCAAGAAGGCGCCTTTGATTGCGCAGACCAAGGCCCTGCACCGACAGATGAACGAGGCCATCGCCTCGGGCGACGCGGAAATGCTAGAGAAGATTGTCGACTCGTACTTGTACGTGCCGTTGGCGGTTAACATCGAACAGAGGCCCAAGGGCCGCACCTGCACATGGGAGCTAGTGCGCTACAACAAGGAGCCGCGCATCGTCTCCCACAAGATCTTCCCTCTGCAGGGAACCAAGGATAAGCTGTTGTGGCAGGTCACCGTGTCCATTGCCAGCCGTCAGCGCGTGGTCGAGCACGAGAGGGGCAAGGTCGTGCCCGGTAGCGAGAAGGAGCTGGATCTGGTCGAGAACGTGGTGATCGGAACCATGATCAGCAACGAGACGTGGGCAACACAAAATGCGTGGAAAATTATCTCTACCGTTCAGCCCATGACGCCAGAGAAGTGGGAGCGGGAGCAGGAGACGGTCAAGCTGCTGGCTGAGGCGGGTGCCGGGTCGAGCTAGTTAGAGAAGACATACCCTGGAGAGTTTTATATTGTGAGAGGCGTTCGGTGTCAGTTACTGTGTAGTGATGAGTAGGGACAGCCTACAGTTGTACGATTACACAACGGTCTAGAGAAAACCAAAATGTACATTAAGCTTCTAAAGTCCAACGGGCACCAAAATCTAGCGGGCGGCTCACATGAACAAGACAGCAGCGGTCCTCCGAGCTAAAGACGTTGGTACCAGATATCATGCTTGAAGCAGCCATGACAGGGCCAGTGGTAAGTTTCATTATGATTTAGCTTTCAATCCTTGAAAAGTGCAAATGGGTATACATTGATGGTCCTCCGTATACACAAAGAACAGATTGTGATGAACCGCATAAAGTGAGATCAATATGAAGACAACCCCAAGCAAGCCCATTCCGGGTTTGACAACCAACAACTTCACTCGGCCTCAGTTACTTTCCATCAGACATACCATCAACTTCCTACTCGTCCCCTTGCTCGGCGACTGTCTTCAAAATTGAAAAGAAAACGGTCTTCATGCTGGGTCATGTCATTTCGTTCCATTGCCTTTGGGAAGGGGGGGGGGGGGGGGGGGGGGGGGGGGGGAAGGAAAAGGAAAAAGAAAAGAAAAAAAGGGAAGAAGAAAAAAGAAGAAGAAGATCATGCCATGTTATTATTCCGTTCTCCATAAAACAAACCATCACTCCGCCTTGTGTGAACCCAAATAAAAACTATGAAATCACTCATGCCTCGTCTTCCTCCTCAATTGGCGCCGGCGTTGCCCTCTCCCGTCTCCTTTTCGGCCTTCGCATCCGGTTGCTGCTGATCTGGCTCGCCGAATCATCCGGTGCTAGTTCGCTGATATCATCCTGCAATCCCCACTCGCTCTGGGTATCATCATAATAACCGCCTTGACCGGGCCCGCCAGCGCCGTATCTTTCGCCACCGGCACTCAGTCCGTCCATCATCCTCTCCTCGTCGGCCCAAGCAGGCCGGTCATAAGCCCCACTGCTCCCGCTCAAAGGCAACACGTCAATCCCTCTGTACCCAAGTCCCCTCTTCTGCTGCAGGCTCATGGCCAGCGCTGCACCCCTTCTCCTCAACGCATCCCTGACCCCCATGGCTTGCTCGTGAAGCTTCTCAAATGCATCTTCGAGCGCTTCCATGCCATTGAAAATTTCACGCTCCAGCTCGCCCACAACCTGGATCTCTGTTTCCTCGTCGTGGCTCACTGCTCCTCGAGAGGGATAAGATGAGTTGTTCGTTGTCCCGCTGACGAATGAGGCGGGTGTTGGGCCGCGGGAAAAAGGAGTGGAGGACATAGGGCCACCTCCCATACCGGGGCTGAAGGGAGTGTTGGTTCTTGAGTTGCGGATGCCTGGGCTCAGTATACGAGGAGATGCAAATCCCCTCTCTCCCATCCCGTTGGCTGGGGTCGGTCCCCGGGAGAAGGGAGTGTCTCGTTCGTATCCATCATCGTCTGCTCCCGACCAGAGAAATCCGTCAAAGCGACCTGATATCAGGATTTCCCACTCGGAATTGTTAATGTCAGAGATAGTATAGAGAAGATCATGCATGCCAGGGTTCTTGACAAGATACATGGCTGTCTCGGCATCGCGCGGGGCCTGCGATAGGCGGTACAATCTCTGCAGAGATAGACCCGTCTTGACCACAAAATCATTTCGAGGCTTGCGTAAAGGGGAAGGAGTCGGTGCCCTTGTGGCTGGGTGGAGATCCCGCGACCCTGATAGCAGAGCATTGAAAAAGGGCCGGTCATCGGGGTTCAGGTTAGTGAGGATGGCAAAGGTTAGCGTCTCGTCGTCTACCTCTTGGGGCAACGGGGCAGGGGCTTTCTCGCATGTTTGCATCCACCTGTCAACGGCTGCCCTGACGCGCTTCGTTTGACGCAGATAATGTTCCCTAAACTCTTCGGCAATGTCAGGATCCATGTTGATAGGAGACGTCGGTCTCGGAGGAAGTTCTGCCAGATCCTCTTGGGCCTTGCTGCCCAGTGACGCGAGATCAAAAGGCGGCCATTGCGGCAGATCAACCCGGCCGCTGACCCTCTCGAGCACTTCTCCCCAGCCTAGACCTCTATGTGACTCGTCCGAGTGCTGGCAAATAATGCACGGGCAGCCATCGGGGCAAAGATCGCGGGAGAAGACGTTTTCTAGTCGATCTAAAAGACGGCGGGCTACGGTCCGATGACCAGTGGCAACCGCAATAGACCCATGATTTTGTAGTACAGTCTTGTATTGGTTCAATAGGTTGAAGAAAGGTGCAAATAGTGTCTCAGCACCCTGCAGAGGCGGGTTCGATGGCCTGTTGCCATTTTGGCGCGGCAACACGGCAAGGAAAGTCTTTGGAACAGTTTGCGGCAAGCCTCCGTTCTGCAGGAGGTAGTCAACTCGGGTTGCTTCCTGAAGATTAATGCTAAGAGGAGGAGGAGGAGGTGGTGGTGGTGGTGGCGGCGGTGGCGGTGCTCGCTGAGCGGTCGTGTCTGTCACAGCCTCGGAGGCAGCAGTGAAGTCAGAGGGAGCGTCAAACCGCGCCTGCTTCTGTTCCTGGGATACAGCGGGAGGCGGGAACTGTGGCGTTTGCGTGGGCGTCTTTGGTGACGAGTCTGGTGCGGACTCGGGCGACGAATCGACCTCAATCGGCGGTGGTCGTCTGATTTGAACCGTGTCCGCCATTGACTCCATCGTAGACCCCTTGACTGTCGATAGGTCTGTTGAAGCATCGGTGTTCTCTGTCGGGGTGGTTTCGGGTGAGTGCCTGGATTGGGAAGTAAACGTCTGGGACTGTGTCTCTGTGGCTTCGCTGGACACACTGGAAACTTTGGAGAGCTTTGATCTTGCGTCAGATCGTGATCTCGACATTCGATTTGAACGTTTGGAATCCGATCGTTCTGGAGCTTGGTCACCTTCCTTCACAGATACTGGAGTCCCGGATCTCCTCCTTCTAGAGTCCGACAGGTCTGTTTCCGGTGGGCTGGGCGGCCGTTCCTCCTTTTCCTTTCGTGATTCCTTTCGAAGAGAGGAAGACTTCCGTGGCGCCGAACGAGAGTCAACAGACTTTGACCGCCTCTTATCGCTGTTGCCAAGGTCGGTGCCATCAGGAGTGAGCGGATCCGTGCGGGTAGAAGAGAGATCCTCTTTGCTGTATATGAGGTCTTTGCTGTGGACTTTGCTGAAGGTAGGATACGGTATGTTTGGCCGATCAATGCTCCGGGCAAGCTCCGGAACTATATCGGTCATGGAGCTCGTGGCCCCTGACAGGATCGAGGACTCTTCTCTGTCCATATCTTTTGGCCGATGGCGGCGATAAGATACTGACTGGCGCGATGAACGGGAATTGGTATCGCTGTCTGTGGTTTTCAACAACCTAGGAGTCCTGGATGACCGCTTTTCTCGAAGCAGGGACGGTTCCCTGTCGTGGTCGCGATCTTTGTCCCGTTCCCTGTCTCGGTCTCGGTCCCTGTCTCTCTCCCTGTCCTTTTCTCTGTCCCTCTCTCTGTCTCTGTCTCTGTCCCTATCCCTCTCCCTGTCCTTATCCTTGTTCTCCTTCCTGCGTTCTCTGTTCCGGTCGATGATGGTTCGATCACGGTCCCGTTCTCTTTCGCGGTCGCGGTCGCGGTCTCGATCTCGATCTCGGTCACGGTCCTTGTCTCTCCGAATATCACTTCTGGATCGGTGTGGCAGTCGATCCTCACGAATGCGGCTGTTGTTGTTGTCGAAGTCGACATCGTGATCTTTAGAGGACGGCATGGTGAAGCATAGCAGGGTTTAAGCAACCCGCCCTGATAGTGACGGGACGCAGCTGCTGTAGCTTCTGGCAGCAAATAACGGTTGGGCGGGTGGGCTGCTTGAGAGGGTGGCCGCGCAGACAGGCGAATGTCGGGGGGTCCTGGTGGGCGTTGGCCTCGAACCACAAAGGTCGAGGGCGGTGCTGCAGTGCGCTCCGTATTCCTCTGTCGGGTCTGACGAAGGACGCGGTGTGATACGCAACAGCACAAAACCAAAGACAAGACAGCGCAACGCGGTGACTGGGAGACTGCTCGGGCGGTAGGCGAGAAGACGCTGTCACAGTGTGTTTTGGTCAGGGAGCAGACGATGGTGACTGCGGGTCGGGTCAAGGTAGGATGGCGGTTTGGCTGGTCTAGCTGGATCAGATATTGCTATGATTGTAAGGAGTGTGTCATCAGGCGGCAAAGGCTTGCAGTGGAATGCGTGCGAGTAGAGCTGGCTTGCAGGCGGTAGGTTGAATGTAGTTGGATCGCTCAAATGTTCAACTTGAAAGCTCGGGCTTCTTTGATTGTGCTTACTTTCACGGAAGTTCTTGAGGTAGGTATCCAAGAAATCTGAGCAGCGCCCCTGCCCTGGGCTGGCGATATACCTGGGCTTGCCGGGATGGAAACTGATCTGACGACCGACGTCGTCGACCCCAGTTCCCGCCGTTTGCACACTGTGTGGTTTGGTAGACTCTGGGGGAGGGGCAGCGCCGGGGATAGGCTCGAAGTGGTGTTGATTGTCGGATTTCTCTGCTCTCCAGCTGCTCCTTTAGGAAGAGCCTATGGCTGGTATTACGTGGCTATCAGAAAAGGTTCCAAGCAAGCGTCTTGTTTTCACTGTGTGATGCGCCAGAGCCATGGGATGGCTGCCCAAATGGAAGGTCTTTGGACCTAGTAGTCTTCCCAGATAAACCAAAAAAAACGAAAACTCGACGCCGAATGGTTCCATGTTTTTCAGGTCCAACCTCAATCACCACAGGGTCCAGCAGCACGGGGCATGACCCACCAAAAATGCCGTTCATCCCACAATTCAGGTTGTCGGATGTTCCAACGACCGTTTCCCCTGCTCTTTCCATCCCATATACGATGTCTCCTTATACCTACTACTGTCGTCCAGATGAACAACCAACGCATGGAGGGTTCCACGAGCCTTGCAAGCAAAGTCAACATGCTAACAAAATTTCAATACAACACGAAAGCTGGTCGGGCATCAGTGCCATCAGTGGAGGTTTCTGAAAATCATCAACACCGGGCTTGAAGCCGGTACCCGCTGGATGCAGCGTCTGCCGCATGCTAAGCGCCTTGCGATGTTTAAGCCACCAGTCCACCGGAATGGTAGAGAGGGGTTGGCACATTCAGCCGCCAACCAGACTAAAGGGTCCTCCCCCCTTTTCTTGCCAGGCTCGTAATCACTTGGGCACACCATCAACAGCAAAAATGCGTACGACCGTCAAATCGATACGACACAAGGCAGCTCGCTTGCTGCACTGTCCCTGGCACGGATCGATTCGCAAAGGCAAAAGCTTGCACAAATGCAAACCTGACTGGCGCGCGGAGAAGATGCTGAAAGATGATGTGAGCGAGAAAGAGAAAAGGCTTTGAAGCCCGATTTTGTTCTGTTCTACCTTGGATTATCTGATCATCGAATCGCTTGGAGTCATCTCCATATCCATCCCTTCCACCCATCAACGCCGCAATACTGCAGGGCGTTTTAGGGCTAGAAACCAGCAGTTCCTTATTCCTGGAATGTCCTTTCAACACTTTGTCCCATTTTAGCTTTCCTGTTTTTGTTTCATCATTCCGTTGCCACATTGACCAGTCAGCACTTGATGGTCTTTTGGCATACTCAAAGCCATGCAACTGCTGAAGAGTCCGTTTAGAAACGATCGAGGAGACCCTGGCTCTCCAACAAGAGAATTATCTGATGGACAATGGAGCGCACAGATTGCTTCTCGCAGTCAACGACAAGATCAGGCTTGGCAGGGGTCTCATATGGGTCATTAACACCGGTGAAGTTCTCGATCTCGCCGGCGCGGGCCTTGGCGTAGATACCTCTCTTGTCGGTCTTCTCGCAGTACTCGAGGGGGGTGGCGACGTGTACGAGGTAGAAATCGCCGTACTTCTCAACCAATTCGCGGGCGTTCTGGCGGGCCTTCTCGAAGGGGGCAATCGGAGCGGCGATGACAGCGGCACCGGACCTGGTCAGCTCAGAAGCAACAAAGGCGATGCGAGCAATGTTCTTGTCGCGGTCCTCGCGGTTGTAGCCCAGCTCGGAAGACAGCTCGTGGCGAATGTTCTCGCCGAGGAACAAGGACACGGAACGACCACCCTGCTGGTTGAGGGTTACTTGCAGGGCACGGGCGATCTGGTCCTTGCCGGAGTTCGGGTAGCCGGTAAAGAGAACAGTGAAGCCCTGCTGGGAGCGGGGAGGGTGCGACTCGCGCAGCACCTTGACAACCTCGGGGTAAGAAAACCACTCGGGAATCTCACGGCCACTGCGGAGGCGAGCGCGCAGCTCGGTTCCAGAGATGTTGAGAGTACGGACGCCCTTGGGGATCTGGTCCACGGGGGCGTACTCGTCGCTGTCCGGAAGGTAGGTCATCATCTGGAAGGGAACAACCTCGATACCGAGCTCGTCACGGTACTTCTCAACGGCGTACTGCGCATCGTAAGGGCCGTAGAAGTCGACACCCTTGCTGTTCTTGCCGGGACCGGCGTGGTCACGGCCAACGATGAAGTGGGTTGCACCGTGGTTCTTGCGGATGATGGCGTGCCAGATGGCCTCACGGGGACCGCCCATGCGCATGGCAAGGGGAAGAAGACCGAGGACGGCCATGCCGTTGGGGTATCTGGGAAGGAGAGCCTTGTAGACGCGCACACGGGTAAAGTGGTCAATGTCACCGGGCTTGGTCAAGCCGACGACGGGATGGATGAGAACGTTGGCGTGGTGCGAACGGGCAGCGCGGACGGTCAACTCTCTGTGGGCGCGGTGCATGGGGTTACGGGTCTGGAAGGCAACGACTCGGGACCAGCCGAGCTTGTCAAAGTGAGTGCGGATCTCCGCGGGCGAGTCTGTTATCCCATCTCGCGTCAGTATAGTCGCAACATTGCAATGCGGGTGAAATGGAGAGGAAGAGGCCGAGAAGAAGGGAGGGCTTGGCTGCTCACATCTAAGGTCGACGAAGTCGTAGTGCTGGAGCTTGTTGACAGCCTCAAGCTTGCCGCCCACGTAGTACTCCTTGGCAGTCTCGTAAAGGAACTTGACAGCGGGATGCTCCTCGTCTCCTCCAAATACCTCCTTGGCTTCAAGAGCCCTGAAATGTCGCAACGTTAGCTCTTCTGTTCTATCCCACTTCCACCCGCCCAGATGTCCCGAGTATCAACAAATCGGCCATTCGCCAAGCAATGACGCAACCACTTGGCACGCATTTCATCCCATAGATTTCTTTGATCCCACGTCGCCCAAGAGCACAATGTGCACGCGCATCCGGTATGTCCTCGTGGTCGAAATTCACCACACTGCAATTCATATCCTTGTTACGTACTTGTCAGGCTTGTAGACATCATCCACCGTCAGGATGGCGAGGTTGCGGTCGTCGCGGAAATCGCGCAAGGTGATGCGGGCGCCCGCCTTCAGGCCGAGTTCGGAGATGGTTTCCTCGGACACATCGAGGGTGATGGGCATGGAGAAGAGGAGGCCAGAAGCGAGGCGGTTCTCCTTAACGACACTAGTTGGGGCAAAGTCTCGTGTTAGTGGGCTGCTCCACATCCGACAAAGGTTCGCCCTGGAGGGGCAATAACTGAAAAAAGAGAGACACGCACCCATTGTAGTCTTCCTGGTTCATGAAACCTATTGTTCGCCGAGACGAATTGACTTGTTAGCAAATTGTACATCATCTCCCATGGCCATATCCAGCGCTTTTGTCGTGTTCAAAAGTACACGCAAAGTGCAATGCGTGGTTCAGCATGGCGGGGTTCACCCTTCCCAAGTCCATAACCCCACCATCATCGCTATCCAGAACCAGAGGACGGACAAGGTGATGAAATGTAAACCCCAAGACAGGTTCCGAGGATGACAAGAAAAGCATACCTTCAAGAGGAGAGAAACCACCGTTGAGGATCAACTCAAGATCGCAAAGCTGACGCTCGGAGAGGAGCAGAGCGGGAAGAGTCTCAGCCTCAGCCTCGAGCTCAGCATGGCGAGGGAGATCGCGAGCGATCAGGTCCTTGAGGACGCCGCCGTGGGGTGGATTGGACATCTCGGATATGTAAATATGGTGAAATGATGTACGGGATATGCGTCGCGTAAACTTTGTGGCTTCGACGCAAGAAGTTAAGTTGCGGCGGCGTGACGAGGACCTGTTCGTTCACGAGGAAGAGGAAAGGATGGTAGACTGGGAATGAGGAAAAGAGGAAAGAGAAAGAAAAGATGGATAGACTCTTGGGGGACTGACGATCCAAAGTGGATTGGCGTTCCGTCTTATGATATGAAGTCAGAGAGAGTGCCGCTAGGAAAGGTAGCGGAGACCGGGGTGGGTGGGCAAAAAGATGGGTATATACAAGTACATCCCGTCCAGATGTTAACGTGGAACGGATGGAATCGGCGATTCAGGAGGAGAAAGAGATAGTCCGGATCTGGATTTAGTCCCTCGAACATGCAATCCCTCAGACAAACACCTCCTTCTCGGCCGTGAACCCGAGAGGGAGGACCGTCACCGACCAGCGTATTCCCAGACGGAGGGACTCCGAGAAGCCGGAGTCAGCACGTTACAAATCAACACATGGATGCAGCAGGACAAGATTCCAGGTCTGCCCCCGCCCCCCCCCCCCCCCCCCCCCCCCCTCCCGATCAAGGAACAGAATCTCTCTGGCTGTAGATTTTACCCACCGTAACGTAGTAGTGTAGTTATCGATAGTGCCGGTAGCTTTATGCCTCTGTGAGTGAACGGTCGTGAAACATATATCTGGTGTACATACGTGTATATTATTTGTCGACGAGGGTCGGTTGTGGGGAAAATACCTAACAGGGGCATCAATGTCGTGTAAGAGGTCATCATCAGTGTATGCGATAGTCGAAGTGAAAGCGCATCTGTTTTTCGAAAATCTCCCCTCGCCCCGCCAGTCGGAGATAACTCGTGGCGGCGCCTGTAATATTCTCCAGGGCAGGACTCTAGCAATGCCTAATTATAGCAAGCGTGTCCTATTTGTTCGACTTGTCCCGTCATCACTAACACAAATTTGGTGAACGGTCGTTTCTGTTAAAGGTTCTCGAAGTTCTCCAAAAAGGTGCAGGAAGCAGCATCACGCAAGTACCAGCTACCTCTACCTGAACTCAAACCTCCGGGGTCCCGGAAATGCCCTAACGGCGGATGGGACGAACTGCACAAATCCTCGGTTTCCATAAAACCAAAACGGAGTCCTCTCCGCATTAGTCGGAGTCAGACAAGGCCATCCAGTCGAGAGTGAAAAAAAAATAGGTTGCATATGTTGGGTTTAGCTCGGATGACGTGCTCGGGGGTCGGCATGGCCTGCTCACCAATGACAAGCCATTGCTTGTGCGACGAACCGTTCTTGCCACTTGTGATCGTGCTTCACGACGACCGTGTTTGGTCTTTTGCCAGACGGCATGGGAACACTCGCTACGGCAGTGAGTGCGATGGAGAGTTTGATGTCAATCGGCAGACAAGAAGGGAAAGGGACTGACAAATTTCAAAATTGAAGTGTATAACCATTCAATCCCAGGTCCGTCCTTTCTTCAACAGCCACACAGTAGGGATGAAACTGGGTCTCCGGCTTTCGGACCCCCGCGTTGCGCAGTGGGCAAGCCCCCCTGGGGCTGTTGCCCAGAACCCCCTTCCCCACCCCGGTTGGAGACCGATAGTATAGGGGCGAAACTGAACATCAACAAAGACATCATAAAACAACACCAGATACCCACATAAACGACAGCGTATTGCCATTGACAGATTCAATCTTCCAGATCTTGATTCTTTGCATGTATCTCATCATGCACCCCATACTATTATCAGAATATCCACAAAAAAAAAATTAACATGTTATTTTAAGACCATGGAGTGTTCAGCGCAACAGCTTTATCCCTTTCTATGGACCATAAACACTCGGTCACCAGGGCAACGTTTGCGGTAGTACTCATTGCAAGCCGTTGGAGAGCTGGTGTAGTTAATTCCCAGGTAGTGTATTATTATTCAGTTCTTCATCTGATTGCGATCGAACTTTCTGAATAAATCCCGTCGCCTTCGTTCCGCAACAAAGAAAATGAACATGATAACGCCCTGCTTAGAGCAGCTGTTGCAAGAAAGCAGTATATTAGAGAGACGTGCAGAAATATGTGCTTCAGAATATTTCCATATAATTACATCAACAAAGCACCTACTCTCAATTATCAAATTCTCTCTGCCCAGCAGTCGCAAGAGATGTGACCACAAGCAGCAAGCTGTGTAATGCTAGCTTTTCGCATAGCCACTGTAGCTGTCTGCTTCACCATTACGCTCTTTTGCAAGACTCTTACAAAGGTACGATGCTGTGGTTATGATGGTGGTCCAGCGGGCCCATGCCGGAGTCGATTGGGTTATAAGTAGGGGACGACGCCGGGGGGGTGTACTTCCGCGTAGTGCTCGAGGCGCTTCCATAACCACTGGTGGTTATGGCAGATAGTGACTGTGTTTCTGTGTCCGTTGTCAGCAATAGATCTCTTGGAGGGTGTAAAGCCAACTCATACCACTTTGTGTTTCTAGAACTAATGTTGAGCTCAGGTCACCCGAAAAAGTTGGCAATGTCGGACCGGGAGAGTAGTAGGTAAGGAACGTGGTCTCGTTGCAGGATATCGTTGGGAAGTAGCTGGATACTGGACTGCCCGTAGGTGTTGATGTTGGCCAGGCTGAAATCTCAGTACTATTACATGGACTTGTCTCTGGAGGCGGCGTCCACTCTTCTGTGCATGTCGTATCGTAAGGTACGGTTGCAGTGCCATTAGATGTCGGATAAGGTGGCGTAACGGTACCAGAGGTCAAAGCTGCGCTACTTGAACTTGTAGAGGATGCAGATGGGCCCGAAGAAGGAGAGCTGCTCGGCGTGAAAAGAGGCGACGAGCTACTTCCAGCCGTGCCTGTGGGCGAAGGAGGAGCAGTGGAGTTAGTAAAGGGATATGGTGCTGAGGTTGTCTCAGCAGACGAGTAAGAAGAACCAGATGATACTGAAGCCGTGGAGAAAATGCTAAACGGACCCGATCCCGAAATGGTTGGCGAAATTGGGCCACCGGTAGGATGTGAAGATAGGCTCATGTTGGACACCGGATATGGGGTTGAACTGTAGGGTCTTGATGTAAAGATTGGGGACCCCGAGCCGCTGAACGAGCCAGTAGGTGCGGCGGTAGGTCCGCCGGAATTGGTAGAGTTGGACAATGGGTATGGAGCTGAGTTCGAAATGCTGCCTGTTGGAGTAGGGATAAGACCCGTTCCAGAGCTGGAAATTGTCCCTGTCACAGGCGTAGTAGAAGGGAGAACACTACCGGTTCCATTCGAGAGAGGGAACGTCGCAGTGCTACCAGGTGCGTCAAAGGAGGACCCGGCTGGCGTTGTGAAAAATGGAACTGTCAACGAGCCAGCCCCTGGGGATGCCCCTGTTGGTGCTGGTTGGACAGTACTGTTGGTCAAGGGATAGGGGGCAGAGATACCAGTATCAAGTTGGCTTGTAAAGATTCCTCCCGAGAGGGAAGACCCGACAGGACTAATCGACGTCCCAATGCTACCAGTTGGACCTTGTGTCACCGTCGAGTTTGATAGCGGGAAAGGAGCTTCGCTGGTAGGGGACGTCAGGGCAGTATTTGTCAGACTTGAATCCCCAGAGCCCGTCAAAGGGGTTGTGATGGTTGCGTTTGTGAGCGGGTAGGGAGCATAAGTCAAGCTTTGTGAGGTTCCTTGACTCGGTGCTGCTGTCCCAGAGCTCAGGATTGTAGGAGTACCGGCTGTAGGATTGCTCCCGGTTGTTGAATTGGACAATGGGTATGGGGCAACGCTCGATGAAAGACCAGTACCAAATCCGCTACTCGGCACAGAAGTTCCCGTTGGTCCCGGGGAGGATGTCCAGTTTGTCAGCGGGTATGGAGCATTGCTCGTAATGACCCCAGGGCCGGTTGGAAGCGCCGCAGTACCAGACCCGGGAACAGAACCGCTAGGTACGATGGAAGGGTTCGAAAACCCAACATGTGAGGTTGAGTTTGCCGCTGGGAAAGGAGGTCCTTTCGTGGGCAACTGTGACGTGGGATAGAGAGGGGTACTTGAAGGGAAGGAAGCACTGTCACCCCCTGTTTCAGTAGAGCCTGCCGAAACGCTCGAATTACCAGCAGGATATGGCGATGAAGGTGTTGCTGCTGGAGCTGTCTCCGAGGTCCCGTAACCTGTAGTTGTAAGCGGTGAGTTGCCGGTAGAGCCAGATGCGGGCGTAGTCGAGTTCCCAAAGGGGTACGGAGCCGAGAAGCTGAGAGCCGACGATACAACTGTTGGGCCGGAAGAACCTGTTCCAATTGGTGATGTACCATTTGGGTAGGGGTAGGGCGTGGAGGTGGTGGCCAAACTGGGCAGCACGCTTGATGAGCCTGTCCCAACTGGTTGTGTCCCGGTGGCAGTCCCAGAACTGGACAATGTTCCATTGGGGAAAGGGAATGGAACAGATGAGATGGAGGATGCACTTGACAATGGACTCAAAATTCCCGAGCTAGTTACTGATGTAGGCGACCCATTGCCAGTAACTGGATACGTCGTTGTCGTGTTTGAAAGAGGGAACGGTGCTGAAGACGAGAGACCTCCGGTATGAATAGAGCTAGTTGATCCAGTGCCAGGTATTTGAGGAATAGTACCTGTCCCACTAGTAAGAGTACCAGGCAATGTCGTGTTTGGATAAGGATTTGGCTTGGATACTGAACTTTCAGACAAAGCTGCCGAGGTTGGTGCTTCACTAATTGGGCTTGTTCCTGTACCAGTAGGGCCTGGTAAGGCTGATGTTGAGTTAGTTAAGGGAAATGGGACATTTGAAGCTCCAGGACTGCTGGTAGATGGCAGGCCGCTCAAAGGTCCAGTACCAAGAGGGGTATTACTGCTCGAGAAGGCACTTGTAGGTAAGTCGGTGCTCGGGGATGACGCACCGCCGGTTGCTGAAGGTCCTGTAGCACTAGGAAGTGTCATGGTAAAGTTTGAGAAGGGATATGGCCCTGACGGGTTACCCGGTGTCATTGAGCTCAGAGGTACAGCAGAAGCGCCAGTACCAGGAGCTGTAGAGCCACCCGTGGGGCCTGCTTCTGAGGTTGTTGCACCACTTATCACGGACGGTCCGGTTCCCAGAGGAGCCGTACTTGCGCCGGACCCAGACACAAGGGTTGTGCTATTTGGCAAGGTATATGGGACGCTGGGCGCACCAGTTTGTGTAGAAAGAGGACTAGTAGGTACCCAACTTCCTGTACCGATATCTGGCGATGATGAATTTCCGGCAGGATAGGGAGTGGTGACTGTTAGAGAGAGACTGAATCCGTATCCAGAGGTTGAGCTCAGAGAAGCTGACGTGGTAACATTGCCCAAGGGCACTGAGCTTGACACAGGCGATGTGGAACCGGAAGAAACTGCTCCTGGTGACAGTGTGCCTGTTCCGGTAGACGGCACAGTACTGTTTGTGAGTGGGAAAGGAACCGATGGGAAGCCAGGAGTAGAGGTCGGCAGCGCCGAGCCGATTGGGCCTCCAGTTCCTGCAGACCCTGGTACTAACGGGGTGGTACCTGTTCCAATAAGGACAGTCGAACTAGATGAAAGATAATAAGTGGAAGAAACCGGGATAGTTGATGATGCAGGCAATATCGAAGAGCCTGTACCAAAACCGGCTCCGGTGGAACTGGGGATAATGTCAGATGAGTTGGATATCGGAACCGGTACTGAAAGAGATGACTCTTGGGAAGTGACTGATCCCGTTGTGCTTGACCCAGTTGGACCCGTAAGAGGTGCAGACAAGTTTGTGACAGGAAAAGGGGCCGAGGATGATCCTGATGGTATGATGCTCCCGGACACAGGGGGCGTGAAGCCAATGCTAGGTACGCTCGTGGGATTGGAACCGGTACTCGGTAGTGTAGTTCCATTGGTTGATACACCAGCGGGCAGGCTAGAGGAATTCGAGGTTGCGTAGTACGAACTCATCGATGTTGTCACAGAAGCACTTGTACCGGAGGGCGGTGGTAACGTTCCGGATAGTGGTAAGCTCAAACTTGAATTTGCTGTAAGGAATGGCGGAGAGCTAGAGCCCGAGGGCAAGGTGCTACTGCTAGAAGGGCCAGTAGCTGTGCTACTAGCTGAAATTGGGAAAGGAGCTGATATCCCCGACAAGCTCGATGAAGAGTTCGGGAAACTTGAACTACCAGATGCTGAGGAAGACGTTGCCGCAGGCGTAAGAGTATAAGTTCCAGTTGAAGATCCACCACTGGGGCCGAAGCTGGTACCTGGACTCGAAGAGTTGGTGAACGGGAAGGGTTCCGATGCGGCCAGTGATGTAGAACTACTTGATTCTGTGATAGGCGGTATTGTTGCTGTTTCATTGCTTGGCTTGGAGAAAGAGGAGCTCTCAGGGCCAACACTGATGCTAATGGAGATTACTGGACTAGGTGAGGGCGATGATGTGGTACCTCCTGACGTAGGGTTTGCCGTTTCCGAGGCTGAATTGGGTGATGTAGTCGACATTGCTGACGTGGTGTCGAGTAAAGCTGTTGTATTAAAGGTACTAGAAGACTGGCTACTATAACCTGAAGAGGCTGTCCCGGCGCCAGATGTTGAAGAGAATGCTAGTGTGGTAGTCGTGGAATTCAATGTACGAGATGCAGAAACAGTACCTGATATTGATGTAGCCGAGCCAGACGACGATAGTGCAGAGGAGCTGTAACCTGAAGAAGAAGACTCAGGAGACGTGGATGAGGAACTGTTTATGAATCCAGAAGATGTAGCAGTAGGCATGGCGGAAGACAGCCCACTCTCGGAAGCTGTTAGGCTCCCCTGAGAAGTGCCTGAGCTCACGGAACTCGTTGAGCCCGATGAGCTCGTAGCAGGGCGTGGCGTCGAGGGACTAGTGGCAACACTTGACCCGTACGCATCTGTCTTTGAAGTCTCGGAGCCTGTTGAGGACGACGAGCTCGAGGTCTCAGATCCATATTCTGACGACTGTTAGTGTTCCTTCCTGGTCTTGCTTGGCCCTTCCCGAAGACTTACCTTGACTGGTTATAGTAGTTGGCTCATCAAATGCTGACGTTGTCAAAGAAGATGGTGGGGGTGGAGGCGGGTGGTATCCATAAGGCGGATAACTGTAAACTTTCTCCTCGGGGGTGTAACCGCCATAAAGGTCGTAATCAGGACCAGAGGCCTTGTTGGCATGACCTTTGCCAAGGGCCCGATGCGAACGAGCCAAGAATCCCGTCTCATCGGCCGACACTGCAGGGGCGGAGCCGAAGAGGACGGTTGCGGACACAAGGCCGGCAACAGCTTTGGAGACCTTCATATCTAGGGGTCGACTCTCGCTTCCTCCGGCTAGACCGGTGGATGATGGAACGGCGATGGGGACCGACTAAAAGCCAGGCAGTGTCCTGAACTTGGTGCGTGATGTCAAAATGTAGAGAAGATCCCCTGATAGTCTTGGCTAAGGATACTGTGAATGGAAAGGACTGGGGAAGAGAATGGCTTGAAGAGGGAGCAGCATAAAGCTAGAAATTTAAAAGAATGAATGGACAATCTCGCCGGGCGATGTTGGTAAAAACGTATGGCAAAACGACTGAGAAGACGGAACTTGGCGAGATCCTGTGTTGAAGGACTGGATACCTAATGTTCCTGTATAGTGAAAGGAGGAAAGATAGGAGGAAGAGGAGAAAGAAGTGAGGAAGAAGGAGTTATTGAGACAAAAGGAAAGGAAAGAATCGGGGAAGGATGGCATGAGAGGATGGAAGTAGACGAGGGGGTAACCCTTCCACACACGCGAAGCCCGAGAGACCTAGACAGATATAGAAGGAGCACCCGTTTCCCGAACCACTGCAGCAGCTTCAGTTGCAAAATTCTCCGTGTCCCAATCAATAACTACCACTAATGTCGGGTCGTTTGAGGTATCCTCATGTTTCGTCGCGTTCAACTCGAATAGTCGTCAGCGAAGGGGTCGTCACTCCCGCTGCACGGCTGGTCAAACCTGACTGAGAGTACCTTCCTCGTCTGAATTGTTCTTACCTTCTTTCCAACCGACCCTCCGACACACACCAGGTTGACCTGGTCTTCTCTATCAATGACATGTTAGAACTACTCTTCACAGAAGATAGACCTGCTTAACCGGGCTGAAACCTGAGAGACATTGACCCCTTAATCTTCGAGACCTCAGTTGATGAACTACTATTGGGTTCAAGTTGAGGTCATCCAAAATCGTCTACTAGCCTTAATCACTTCAGGGGGAGAGATGTTGTGCCTTTTGGGGGTCCCCTGCTCATGTTACTGGTTCCAAAGAGGAGAAGGGAACTGGGTGCCGACAGCTTGACAAGCATCACAATGGCGACTGTGTGTGGCGGGGGGCTTTGAGTCTCTTGCTATTCGGAGAGGAACACGAGAGGACTTCCAGTTGGGGAACTGGAACACCCCGAGATTGTACTTGGAATTTCCGAGTGTCCATGACGAAAATGCTCCAGTCTCCGTCCTTGAGTTCTAGTCTGACTGACAATGGCCTTGATGTGCTGGGGATTTCCATGCACGGAACCTTGAGATGATATGGCATTTCCGAGAAAAGCTTCCAAGCCTTTTCTTTTTTTCTCTAGAATGATGCCTGACTGCCCCTGTTTGCTTGTTGTTCGATGGTGTTGTGTTAGCCGATGCTGTCCCGTCGCTTCTTCATGTTACCTAGGGTAAGTACCGTACGTATACTCAACTATCTGCCTGTTTCCCGGGCATTTGTGGCATCAGATCAACGATCTAGCTGCAAATTTGCAAAGGAGAGCTAGGTAATTTGAGTGGAACTCAAATGTTACCTTGCCTTCAGAGCGCGAGCGCGTGAGAGAGAGCAGTTACCCAACGCTTATCTGCAGGTTATGTCAAGAGCAAGATGCGGCCATAGTGATCCTGGGTCTTCTTCAACTCTTCTTCACTTATCTTGACATCAAGACACTTCCTTTTTTTTTTGCTCCTGACTGAATCTGTACACCCTCCTCCCTTTGTCATCTCGCTCCTATGGTAACGCTGTCGTACACAACGCCACAGTCGTCGCACGATAGTCAGGATGTCGGGATAGCTATCCGCCAACTCGAGGTTTCTCGGGACGACCTCTACAAGCGTGCACGAAGGTCTCCGGATCAAAACAGAGAATGAATTGAAGCAAACGAAACACGAGTCCAAAAGGAAGCTAGCCGTTGGTGACTGAGTATCGGCCGAGTTCCAGTCGAGAATCCATCAGATAGTGCCGCATTTGCTTAAACTCCAAGGGCGGCGTAGAGCTGAGCATGTTCAGCAACACGCAAGGCGCCGTTATAAAGTCAAGGATGTCAAACTAAAATGACAAAGGTACTTGAAGTATGTAAGCAACCGGTGGAGTAAAAGTAGATTAGGTGTTTCTGAAGGGATGTCACACATTTGGTTTGTGGCGCCGTGGGAGATATAGCATGTACATGTATCGATAGGTAGATGCTGAGAGGACTACCTGTTGGAAATCTTGTTAGTGAAAGCTACCACAAGAATTTGACTGCTCACTTCCATGTCGTGATCCGATGTTTGTTTGTGACAGAAAACATCAAAGTCTTAGGACTCGGACGTCCTGTCGGGTCACTCTCTTGCCTGCCCTTACAGAAGAAGGCGCTGTCAAGCTGGCCGCCGCTTTGGTCGGGGATCGGGTTTGTGCATCATAAAAGTGCCTACCTGCATGGCGTATCCGGCCGTTGGAAAGATGACGGGAAGAAAGAATGACGCCTCGACCGCGAAGCAAACTGACAAGTACCGCAGCCGAGCCCACTCAAGCTGCTTCCGTGGCAGCACTTGAGATGTTTCGGTTTAATCATTAACCGTATATGAGCTTCGAAAGTGCGAGCAACACAAGTTTAGGAACCCTGAGACACTCATTATCTCAAAGACAACACGTGCAATACACTCTGCTCCAGTTCGAGACAGTTTTCACTCTTGAGGCTTGATTTGGGATATTCACTCGAAAGCCACGCTGAAAACTGGAATCCTCATGGAGTTAAGACTTGGCTATTCTCGTATTCAGGGTGGTGAGGCAATTGCCGAGTGGAAATGATGTCCTAACCATCCAGTACGTACTCCGAAATGAAGAGGCGGATGAAAGTTTTTGACCAAAAATCTTGCAGCAAAAGTCTGCAAGTCGGATTCGAGCGAGGGCTTGAGCTGGTCGCACAGCATCCTGCGCTGTCAAAATGCCGTACCTCTTCGGCCAAGCAGATGCAACATGCAACACCACCTCCGAATTGACCAGCTGTGTCAAGTTAAAGATACCTCCCACTCAGGGATGTGCCTCTGTGTGATGCATTAATCAATTTCGGTCTGGTACCATCTCACTCGGCTTTCTTCGCTGCTTCACGAAGACCAGGAGCAGTGCCATCGGTCATCTCGGTCTCCTTATGTTCGATATCGGCCGCCCAGAGCGCCGCACCAACTATGATAGTGGTTAGTTGCTTGTATTTTCTCATCAGGCAAAGAACTAATTTGTTCTAGTGAAACTTACCGGCGTTTGTGAATGAGAAGAACACGGAAGCAACCGGAATCATGTCAAGGAGCGTTGCCAGAACACCGAAGCTATTCGATACATTGTCAGCGAGAATTCGGTCGAGAAAAGAATTGCTCCCTGATGGCATCAACTGCTTCTGTGGAAGACCAGCCAGTGGAGCTTTTTGATACATTGTAGGACATGGTTCGTGCGGAAACTCATCACGCAAAATTACTTACGCTAAATATGGGCCTGTATGCTTCGAAAGCCACTGCTCCTTTTGGTTTGGGGACCATCGCTTGAGTTGAAAGTACTGACTCCAAGGTCAACATTGGTATCTTTTGATAGTTGAGCAGGTTGGCGTTGCAGGTGCTATTGACTTACCCGGTCGTGAATCGTGCTGCCGCGAGAGCGTCCTATCGGACTTAGTGCCACATTTCACATGTTAACAGAGGACGAGCTCTTACCTTGCAAGACGATGAATGCTACCGTGCCGACAACTATTCAACTTTTGTTTCAGCAAATGCGACTTTGAGAAACGTAATGCAATGGTGGGGGGGAGGGGGCCAATCTTCTTGTACCTGGAATGAAGTTAAGCGGCAAGTACATGACATATCGAATCAACGCCTTGGGGCTGAAACGCTGGAAAGGATTCTTGAGAACTTTTCCCAGTCTCTGGATGGGATCCCTGCCCGACTTCAGCTCTCTGCCTTCACTGACAAGATTGGTAGCGTCCCTGGAAATCAGGGTGCCGTCAAAGGTGTCCAAGAGGGCATCCTGCATGACGAAGTTCCTGGAGAGGAATGAAATGACTGCAGAGCTCTCGTTCAAAACGAGCACTGCTGTGGTGAGGACTGCGAGCGGCCCGTTGACGAAAGTCATAAGAGCGAGTTGCGGCACGTAGGTGAAGAAGAACATGCCCGTTACCACTCCGACAGAAAGCGTCACAATAGGGGCCAGCTTCTTAAGGAGGGGCTTCCAAAGGCTGCGATGGCTCAAGAAGTAGAAGATTCCCTATAACAAGAGAAAAAATGGTCAACACTATATCCCGGCTGAGAGGTTTCACTGCGAAGGTATGCAAACACACCTTGATGGGATACAAGTAGGACCCGCTCTTTGCAGCATCATTGATCAGGGCTTTGGCGCGGTCATAGTCCTCTTTCCTGTTCCCATCACTAAGCGTCAGTATCAAGTATCCGGCCAGGTGCTCTTGAAATACGAAGGCCTTACGCGACTTCCTGGGCCTTGGCCTGGACTGACTCGACAATACCTGACATCGTGTCGCGAATAGAGATGGATGGCTGAAATATTGAGACTGGTGATAATTGTTTGCTGATAGACAGAGAAGGTGGACGGTATTGCGGTCGAAGCGCTGGTGCAGCCGTTAGATCGAAAAGACCACGAAATTGAACTAATTGTGACCTTTAGGTTGGTGGACTTCTTAGGTTCTCGCGAAGTTCGGGTGCGGGGGTTCGAAGGACTTGATTTGTTGTCGAGCAAGATGGAAGATGCTATTCAAACGAACGGCCTGATGCCCCAACTACGTCATCGAGCAGTTCAAAGATCGTTTGCAAAGTCTTGGCACTCAGACACTTCTCCCTTGCTCCGTGACCTCAATTGTGCAACTTCGACGAACATCAACTCTTGAGCCTGTCGTAGAGCAAGCCAGCTAACAGAAAGACCTGCCTATGACATCAAAGACATTCCCTCCGCCGATAATACGCGCCTGCACCTGGGTCTGTTCATTCTCGCAAAGCTCCTCGAAGTGGACATGATTGTGTACCATCCTGGCTCGGACGCACTGCCAAACCACAGCAGTGTATGTCATTTTAAAGGTGTTCGTAAACCATTTACCTATAGATGCCGGTGACCGCCAGCATTCGGGACAATCATTACTTGGCTTAGCTTTGATGAACTTGCCTGCCGCTGAGTATATGTACATCCCTCTGCCATGCTGCGCTTGTTACGCTGATGCGAACAGGCTTCGTCCACGAGGGCGATAGACAATGATCTTGTCGCAAATAAATTACAATGAAAGTTGGCCCTTTCCTCCCTTCTCACCCTAAAGTGGTGTCATTATTCGTTTCGGTTTTCTAATTGTTCTTACACTGAATTTAATTTGGATAGGTATCCACCGTCACAATAACCCATACTGTACGTATGTGAAGTTCGTATCCCCAACCTGTATCATTATCCACCATACCAATATCCATCCCATCAATGCTTTTGAGATACTACACTTCGCGTAAGGGAACGTTAAAAGATTAAAGAAAATGAGGTTGGAAGGAAAATGAAAAAAATTCAGCCACGACCGCATCGTTCGGGCAAGGCATACAGGGGTAGGTTATTGTTCATATGGCCTTATCCGGTTGACCCAGCATGACTCTGCGTTGCAGAGCAAAAGAAACCCTTCTGAAGGGGAAAGAAAAAAAAAAAGAAAGGAAAGGGGAAGAGTCTCTGAAAACCTTGCCGTGTATGTCCAATGCGGCGTCTGAAGCAATTACAAACAATAGCTCTAGGGAACGGGTGCGAAAGTTTGATGTAATGATGCGGAAAGGGACAGGTGACGCATTTGAAGCGGGAACGTCATAAGCCATGTTGGTCTACGAATAAAAGCCCTCAACCAAATAAATGACGCCGAAGACGAGGAAGGCAACAGCACCACCGACGGTGACTAAAATGCAGCGGTTAGCATGCGTGCATTGTAAGGGAAAGCGGTTGTCAACTTACTGACTTTCAGGCTGACCTTGCCTGCGATAGCCTTTCCACCGATGACGGCAACACTCGTGCAAATACCGTGGCCAACAACAGCTCCGAGCGTGACCCACCAATAGTCCTGACCAGCCGCCATGGCAATGGTTGCAATTTGGCTGCGGTCACCCCACTCGCCCAAAAAGGTCATAACGAAGGTTTGGACCCAGGCTGGGCTCAGCAGAAGAGACACAAGGTTGTTGAAACCGGCGAGGCATTCCGTAAGGTTTCTTCCACGCGGCGAAGCGTTTCGTGCATCGGGCGAGCTGGAGGGGCTTCGAGGCGGCGTCGGGAATCGGGACTTGGAGCGAGACTTGCGGTTACCAAGACCCATTTCCAGACTGTAGGGAGAGACGCTCGACCTCCTGCGGCCCTGCTTACGGGCAAGGTGTTCCTTCTCCTCAAGCTCCTGTTCAACCTCCTGCATCTCGGCGGAAACGCCTTCATCGGGACTCATGGCCATACCCTCACGGAGCAACCGAGCTCCAAAGACAAGGAACAAAGCGGCAGCCAGGTAGTTGGTGATCTTCTTGGGAATAAGGGTGGGCACAGCGTGTCCCAAGACGGCTGAGAGGATGGTCATGGTGATCAAGGCAGCAAAAGCGCCGGAAAACACAACTAGGCGGTCGTGCTTCATAGCCATCAAGGCAGCGACGAGGAATGTCTTGTCGCCGATCTCGGAAAAAAGAATCATGGTGAACGAAAGGAAGAAAGAGTGGAAAGGTGTGATGACGCCTTCAGTGCCCTTGCCGAAATCACCGAGGCTGGCTCCCGTCTTCTCTCCACTGGGGACGTCTAGATGATCGATCCTTCCCGCCGAGTCAGGCAGAGGGGGAGATTTGTCGTGTGTCTTGTCAGGGAGATCTGCTGGCTTCTGAACCGGTGGTTAGCTGGGCCCCGTCGCGACCTGATAGACATGCTAAACTCACCTCGAAGCCCGTGATATCGTCTGCCGCCTTGTCACCGTGTTTGTCTTGCGTTTCCTTGTTCATCTTCTTCTGCTCTGCGTGCGGCAGGGGCGGAGCTTCCTTGGGGGCCTGAGGCTTGTTTTCGACCTTCTCGCCAGTCTCGTTCTCCTTCAGGATCCTCTCCTTGGTCTTCTCGCTTACACCGCCGCTTGTACCTGTGGTGCCTTCTTTGGGCCCCTGTCGATTGGGGTCGTCCATTACTCCATCGTTGGTATCGGGTATCTTCTTCCCGCCCACAATTGTAGGATTTTCTGGGCGGTCTTTCAAAACAGGCAAGTCCTTGGTGGTTTCGGGAGCAGAAGACTCGAAGTCGACAAAGGGGCCCGCGTGCGGCTTCCCATCCTTGCCATCAACAGGCGCATCTTTAGTGCCGTACTTCTTAGCGACTGGTGGGACGTCGACTAGGGAATCGATAGCCGCATTCTTCTCGAGTTGCTTGCTGCTCTCCGTCGTCGACTGCGCGATGACGGCAGTGGCCACAAGGGAGGGGATGAGAAGCTGTCGCAGTCTCATTGTGGGGGCGACTTTGGGTCGGTGTCTTTTTGTTGGAATCGGAGCAAGAATTGCCAGAAGGCGGATGTTTATCGATAGTATTGCGGTCGGCGTTCTTCGTAAACGTGGTGATCGTCAAGATTTCGAGAAGAGCTAGCGCCGGACCAAAGAAGGTAAAGAAGCAGAAAACTGTTGTCTCACCACGTGAAGTTAGGGACGTAGGGACAGTAAAGAGCGATCGAATAGCGGGCAGATGGTGATTCTGCCCAGTGTCGGTTCCCAGAGGCGGAATCAGAGCAGAACTGGCCAGAGGCAAAAGTTGCGATAGAAGTTCTGCGGCCCGTCGACAGATGGAGTGTTTACCTAATCAGGGGTTCCAGCCTGTTGGAGCTTCGCTTTTGGAACTTGAAGTGGAAATGCTGGGGTAGATGCACGAGAAAGGGTGCACGTCGCACCGCCACCGCGCGCTTGGATTCCCCCTACTGCCATGCATCAAACAACAACCGCGGGACCGCGCCGAGCTGGAACCTGTGTACACCAGTAGCACCAATCTCAGCTATCCCACGCCTAGCAGGATCATGCCTGTTGAACTACGACATTACGTTAGTGCATGGTAGTCATCAGAAGGTCAGGTCAGGGGTAGACTGCCAAACTATCGATGTAACCTGGAACACCCGAAGTTCAGAAAAGACAATTACTAGTAAAAACTACCCACAAGACCAAGCGACCTCAAAGCCATACAGTAGAGCCTCTGTCCACGATTTTGGTTACATTATTCTGTGAGGCTATATTGATGAGGCCATATCACTAGCAAGCCAACTGAATGTAGGTTTGGTAAAATCCCTTGAGGATCGCTGTAGAGGTGACAACGAACGCATGGTCGTGTTGCAAATACTAGTATCACTTGAAATATTTCCTTGCCTGGTGGAAATTATTGCCATTACTCCAAGTCTCCAGCACATGAATAAATTTGGACGCTGGGGCATAAAGATACTTGGGATATCGCGGTCCTCAAAGGTATCAGTAGTCGGTACATCTTTGCTCTGCTTTGTTGGGTCTTTTCAGCGGCCCAGTCTGCGCGAGTCTGGATGATACACCTCACACCAATTAACAACCTAACCTTTGAGTCTCTCTTGATTGGGAGTAAATGCTACCATGTTGTCCCGAAAACTCCCAATACTACAGTCCATGATTCCTTCAGACAACCTGGAACCGTGGTAATTCCATACGAGCCTGGAAGGTAATGTGACTTGACAACTTCCGGTCCGGTCGGTCGAGATCTGTTCAGAGCTCTGAATGTCCGGACAGGTACTAACAGAAATACCGTGCAGTGGAGCCATGGTTTTGCGTTAGAGTACTTACAGTAGCCTCTGACCCAATCCTAACAATTCGACGCTATGACTTATGTCGGCTGGATTGGGGAAAAGCTCACCGGGCACGTCTTGTTGATTGTTGGGCGGTCTTTAACTACAGGCAAGTAGAATATCATAGAGGTTACGGCATGAGGTTGTGATTGCCCGCTGCAAGGCGCGGTTCACGTCGCCCGAGTACCCCTAGAGGGATGACGACGCTGCTGTGCGGTCACGTGAAAGACCACGGCCGGTGTGGTAGTGGGGCAGGTAGTGCTTGGCTTCCTGTCCTTGGCAAAAGAAATCGAATTGGGCCTTCCTCCTCCAACCCCGAAATATTCACAGCAAAAAAATCTCAAAACAAACTTCGTCGACGCGGACTGAACCCTAACCCCAACCCTTCTTCGCTGTCGTCGACGACAAGCACGCGCATTTCCATCCATCTTTCTCGACAGCTGAGCTCACGGAACGTGCTGGTCAGTGAATCAGTGAGGGGAAAAATGACGGGACGCGGGAGAGGTCGTCCTGGCACGCGGCAACAACAACCGGCCGAGGGAACGACGGTTGCTGTCCGGCGTACCATGCGTCTCCAGCAGCAATCTCCGCCACCTACTCAAGGGGAGCAGGCAGAGCAGCACCAGCTCCAGCAACAGCAACAGCAGGTTCAGGATGCTCAGATTGACCCAGCTATCACTGGCGCTCAGGAATCAGGGATGCCTCCTCCTCCCGTCCCAGCCCCGAAAGGCCCAAGCAAGGATTCTGAGCAGGCCTTCGTTGAAGTTGCTCGTCGAAGCACGCGCCGTGATGCTCGTGCTGGGAGCATGGTGAGCGTTAATAGCGTTCTCACCCGTGTCTCTGGGACGGACGCCATCTCCTCTCAGCCAGAAACCCCAAGTAAGAGTACATGGCCAATTTACCCAGAATCGCCATACTAATCGTCTGCAACAGGTTTTGCTCTTCGTAGGGGTACATCAACATCATTCACTGGTGCCCCGGCTCGTGGGATATCCATTGACACAGTTTCCGAGCTGGGAAGAACTCCGGCAAGGAGGGGAAAGGAGAGGCTTTTGATGAGCCGCATGTTGCCACATCTCTTCGCTTCAGCGGACAAACTGTTTACTCTCCTAGCCACAATACACCCTCAACAGAGGGACCCTGATGAACAGGCAGCTTTGGAAGAAGAGTTCGAAATGTACCGCTTACGTTATATCTCCAACAACAGCGAACCCAGCATCAACCTCAAGCACGTTCTTTCGGCCATGGAAGTCGACCCTAACTCGCCGGTCGGCTCTGACGCCTGCAAGACTGTGACGCTCGCCAACCTTGCGACAATGTTCGATCGAATAGATGTGATTCAGCAGGGTAAAGCCGAAGACGGCTTGGCCGACTTGCAGGTTTGCGATGACATAATCGCCCAGTCTCTGGTAGTGGATGGAGTCGAGAATTCGGCGCTCCTTAAGCCAGAAGACATCATGACCCTAGTGGTGGAAATCCGGACGCTTTTGTTCATGCTCACCCTCCAGAACTTCGAGGCGCAGAACCAGCTTCCCGTAAGCCGATCGGAGATATTGGCGGATACGTTCTGTCAAGGGGTCCCAAGTGTGGAAGCAGTGGAGGACTTTAAACAAGGCAACAAGGATGCTTTGCCGCTGAGGTTGGTTCCGGGCATTGACCCCAACGGCGACCCTTGGCACAAGGAAGGGTATATCACACGGCTGCAGTCCATCTGCGGATGCCTGCCCAACGAATCCATCGACGACACCGCTCTTCATGCTTGCTTGGAGCATATCCAGAAATTGTATGACCCTCACACGTCTCTACGGGCTATTAGGGATAGCCTGGATGCCTGTTTCCAGGAAATCAAACGACAGCTACAGCCTGTACCACCGGGGCCGTCTTACCCAGCTACACAGTATGGCGCGCCGGATTCCTCGGCAGAGGACTCACAAATCCAGTCTCAGTTGGAGAGTGAGTCACTGGCAGTTACTGGGTATGTATAAAACCTCCTAGGCTACTGGGCCTTTATGCTAATATGATATCTGTTACAGGCAAAGACAATTGAATTATTTGGCTTCTCTTCAGAAGATACCTCTGGAATCCGATAGCGATGCTTCACAGGCACAAGATGGAGGTTTCTCGACAACCCAGGATATCTTCGGAAGACCCCATGAACTCCCATTGAGCAGTTACCCCCCCATTGGGCGCGCCCCATACCCCCCTAGCTTCGACGCTCAACAATCGCCACCTTTGGCGTACCCTAGTAATCCGAGTGCTTTTCAAAACGGCACTCTTTACGCACAGTCCGCCGCCCAGCTAGGCCGACCTAAGAGAGCTTCGCCGAGCGGTAATGATGGTGTAGTCGATGGATCAGATGCGAGCAAGCCGCCAGCCAAAAAGCCAAGGACCCGTCGCCCAAGGCCTGCTGTCCCTACTCCTGCCGCAGAGGGTGCAATGGGGGATGTTGGGACGCCGTCTTCATCTGCTGCTACTGCTGCTGCCGCTGTCGCTGCTGTGGCTAGGTATTCACCGTCCTCAGGCACGAAGGCCGAGCCTGACCTCGACGCCGTGTCGCAACGCTCGAGGGAGGTCTCGGCAGCTAACCGGAAAGCCAGAGGACCACAGAGTCGGTCACCCTGGCTTCGCGATGACATCAGGATGTTGATCAAGGCTGTGGATACGTACAAGTGTAAATGGAGCGTCATCGAAGGCGAAATAAAGAAAGGGAACATCCCTTTTGAGCGCCCTCGTGACCAGCAGGCTTTGCGAGACAAAGCTCGCTTGCTAAAGCAGGACTTCTTAAAGTGAGTGACTTGACACCTTGCTTACTAAACCTTATCTGGCCGCTACTGACACGTCTGGTACAGGGCTGATGCTATTTTGCCTCCGTCCTTTGATCTCGTTGTGCTGGGTAAGAAAGAGAAAGAAGCTGTGAAGGCATGCGGCAAAAATCCCGACCGCAAGGAGGACGACGTCCGGAACGGGATTCCTATCAATACTGATTATCAAGCGCAAGAGCCGATGCAGGAGCAAGCAAGCGCCGCCGAAGCGGAGGACCAAGCGCAGGTACAGGGCGAGGAACAACCGGACATGCAACTCGAAACACAGGCGGAGGTACAGACTGAGGCGCAACCCGAGGCCTCGGCAGTGGTCTCAGCTGAGGTGCCTGTCGATGCAGAAGCGATAGAAGCTGCTTCCACATCATAGGGTCCATTTGTGTATCCGATCGCTGATGCTACGCAGGTGAGGGCCGTAGCAGAAGAGTGATATAAGAAGCCGTGCCTACGAGTACGCCCCAAAAGAGAGCAAGCAACCATACTAGAAAACAAATCATGCTTTTATGAGCCAAAGCAAGGCTATATGTCCTTTTTGAGGAAGACGAAAAGGAAGAGATGGGTACAATGGATGCTCGGACCAACTGTATCTTTAAGTGCGGGCTGGAACTACCGCTGATGAGAACCAGTTGACAGCAAGAAGGGCTCCCGATAATGCAATCTGAGTAAGGTAGTCAGTATCAAGCTGTCATTCAAGCCGAAAAGGAAGGCGGCCACCTAGACCGAGTGTGGGATGTAAAGCTTGGCACTGAACAGGTCCAAGTAAAGTATCAATAGTTATCATGGTGACTACTACGTACTAGCAATCTCGGTTCTATTTTTCCTTCAGAAGCACCAGTGAGGTGCCCTGGCAGGTTGAACAATGTCAAGTTTGTTTTCCAGGAACAACATCCCGTGTGATTATATCAGAAATAATTGAACTCGATGATCTACTCAGGAGGCGGGAGGGAAGCATCTACCTATCTAGAGGTAGGTAGCTACATATTGGAAAAGTGGTCTGTGCGCTGTAACACCCGCCCCTTGAGGTTGACGATGCACAGGGGCATGGAGAAGCTTGCTCCTGCCGGGAGGCTTTCAGCCTCTAACTGGCGCGACTGGCAGCGTGGCCCGGGAGCACGGACTCCCTAACACCTCAGTGGACTCCCCCTCGACTGTGCAGTGGAATTGGCAACGTCGCGGGTTTGGGGATACCCGCTTGCTGGCCGCACCGTCGCACACTGCAGGCAACACGCTACTCCGTTATTTCGTACCTCTATTGTTCTAGCCTCGATTTACTTACCTCAACAACAACAACAACTTGGGTTTCCCAAATCCACATCACACCTCCAGCACCCATCGTCGCCCTGCCCGCCATGAATTACGGCAAGAAGGACGAGGATGCTGAGACGGGTCTGGTCAAGGTTGACCGGACCCAGGTCTTCCAGGAGGGTGAGTCCGAGTACCTTGGCAGCTGAGGCATTGTTCGTCGGGTGGACGTGGCCCTTATACTCCTAACCTCCTCAAGACTGACCGGTTCGACATACAGCCCGCCTCTTCAACAACTCCCCCATTCAGCCGCGCAAATGTCGTATCCTCCTTACCAAGATTGCTCTCCTCCTCTACACCGGCGAAAGATTCCCGACAAACGAAGCCACGACGCTGTTTTTCGGTATTTCGAAGCTGTTCCAGAACAAAGATGCCAGCCTACGACAGATGGTCCACCTTGTCATCAAGGAGCTGGCCAACTCGGCCGAGGATATCATTATGGTTACCAGCACCATTATGAAGGATACTGGCGGTAGTACCGATGCCATCTACCGCCCGAATGCCATCCGCGCCCTTTGCCGCATCATCGATGTAAGCCTCCCCCTTCCTTGACCCCTTAATGGTTATCCGATGTGGAGCTAACCCCGACCCTGTGCAGGCCACCACAGTACAGTCCATCGAGCGTGTCATGAAGACGGCCATTGTCGACAGAAACCCCTCAGTATCCTCTGCCGCCCTCGTATCATCATATCACCTTCTCCCCGTCGCCAAGGACGTCGTCAAACGGTGGCAGAATGAGACCTCGGAAGCGGCAGCTAACACCAAGTCGACCGGCGGTTTCTCCCTCGGTTTCGGATCTTCCAACAGAGATCTGCCCATCAACAGCTCGACCATGACCCAATATCATGCCATTGGCTTGCTTTATCAAATGCGCATGCACGACAGGATGGCGTTGGTGAAGATGGTCCAGCAGTTCGGTGCTCCCGGTGCCGTCAAGAACCCCGCTGCTCTCATGTTGCTCGTCCGTCTTGCCGCCCAGCTGGCCGACGAAGACCCTCACCTTAGGAAGCCCATGATGCAGCTGCTGGATGGCTGGCTCAGGCACAAGAGCGAAATGGTCAACTTCGAGGCCGCAAAGGCGATTTGCGATATGCGGGATGTCACCGACGCTGAGGTCACCCAGGCAGTCCATGTCCTCCAACTTTTCCTTACCTCGCCCCGCGCTGTCACCAAGTTCGCCGCTCTTCGCATTCTCCATAACTTCGCTTCGTTCAAGCCGGCGGCCGTTGCTGTATGCAACCCGGACATTGAGCTCCTCATCTCCAACAGCAACCGCTCCATCGCTACTTTTGCCATTACTACCCTACTCAAGACCGGAAACGAGGCCAGCGTGGATCGCCTGATGAAGCAAATTTCTGGCTTCATGTCTGAAATCACCGACGAGTTCAAGATTACGATTGTCGAAGCCATCCGTACTCTATGCCTCAAGTTTCCCAGCAAGCAGGCCGGCATGCTCCAGTTCCTCAGTGGTATTTTGCGCGATGAGGGTGGCTATGAGTTTAAGCGCGCCGTGGTGGAGAGCATGTTCGATCTTATCAAGTTCGTCCCCGAATCTAAGGAGGAGGCTCTCGCTCACCTGTGCGAGTTTATTGAGGACTGCGAGTTCACCAAGTTGGCAGTCCGTGTCCTTCACCTCCTCGGTCTTGAGGGACCCAAGACATCCCAGCCTACCAAGTACATCCGATACATCTACAACCGGGTGGTCCTCGAGAACTCCATTGTGCGCGCCGCAGCGGTTACTGCCCTTGCTAAATTTGGTGTCGGCCAGAAAGATCCTGAAGTCAAGCGCAGCGTAGAGGTTCTCCTCACCAGGTGTCTGGATGATGTTGATGACGAGGTTCGCGATCGTGCTGCTCTCAACCTCAAGCTTATGAAGGAAGAGGATGAGCTTGCGAACAGGTTTGTCAAGAATGGTAAGTTCTCGTCTACTTTATGTTACGTTTGCCGGATGCGATCACATACTGATATGTCAACAGACAGCATGTTCTCGTTGCCCTTTTTCGAGCATCAGCTCGTCACGTATGTTACTTCTGATGACAGGTCGACATTCGAGGCGCCTTTCGACATCTCCAAGATCCCTGTTGTTACCCGCGAACAAGCAGATGCCGAGGATAGGACCAAGAAGCTTACTGCTACGACACCTTCACTCAAGCCACCCAAGGTCGGACCAACCAAGGCGGCTCCCACCAGCGCCGAGGCAGCTGCATCTGCCTCGGCGGCTGCGCAAAAGTATGCGCAGGAGTTGATGCAGATTCCCGAGATGGCAGAATTTGGCGCCGTTCTTAAGTCGTCGCCGGTGGTGGAGTTGACCGAGGCGGAGACCGAATACGTCGTTGGAGTTGTCAAGCATATTTTCAAGGAGCATATCGTGCTCCAGTACGAGGTCAAGAACACCCTTCCCGACACCGTATTAGAGAACGTCTCTGTCGTAGCTACTCCCGCGGAAGAAGAGCTTGAAGAATTATTCATTATTCAGGCTGAGAAGCTCGAGACCGACGTTCCTGGAAAGGTATATGTGGCATTCAGAAAGGTCAGCGGTGAGGGTTCGCTACCAGTTAGCACTTTCTCCAACGTCCTCAAGTTCACCAGCAAGGAGATTGATCCCAGCACCGGTGAGCCTGAAGAAACCGGCTATGATGACGAGTACGAGGTTGCCGAGTTTGACCTGGCGGGAAGCGACTATGTCATTCCCGTATTTGCCAGCAACTTTGCGCACATCTGGGAGCAGGTTGGCGCTTCTGGGGAAGAGGCGGAGGAGACATTGCTACTCAGCAGCATGAAGAGCATATCAGGTACGTAAAATTCTCTGGTCTTTGTTTTTTTGCCAAACCCATTTATTAACATCATACAGACGCAACCGAACAACTAGCAAAGACTTTGTCGCTACAACCCCTTGAGGGAACAGATGTACCCCTTAACCAGACCACACATACGCTCAAGCTCCTCGGAAAGACTGTCAACGGCGGCAGAGTGGTTGCCAACGTCCGTATGGCCTTCTCGGCCAAGTCGGGTGTTACTACCAAGATCACTGTCAGGAGTGAGGAGGAAGGTGTGGCTGCTTTGATCGTGGCGTCTGTTGCTTAAAGAGCTTAATGAAACGGGCGAGGTATCAACTATGACCTTGGCTTTGGTAAATTGAGGGATGTTGGTTGTTTGGTGTTAGCTTGTTGTCCGCATGGCGTTTTACCCCAAACTTAGTACTCTATTATTAGTCGCGTCATACTATCTGGTAGAGAAAGACAGAATTACGTTTTTTCTTCTGGATAGCATGAGAGTTCTGTAAGTGTTGTGTTGGCTGCTCACACTATGAACAAAACCGCGAGATATCTGATTATACTGTTCGTCCTGCCAGGGTCGATCTCGGGGTCTTGAATCTTTTCGATCCTGTACTCCCTTCACACTGGTAGATTGATGAAGGGATCAGGCCCGCACACCTCTGCGCCTCGTAGTATATTTAGGGCAAGTGGCTGGGACCTGGGCCGCAACGTCGGAGTCGGAATTCATGCAAGCATAAAGTCACACGAGTGGAAAGAAAGGTGCGAGGTTGACCTCGCTGTCAACATAGTGGGAACTGCGGCGCGTCATAACCAGCAAGAATAACATTGCACAGCATCTTGAAAACAAGCAAGTGTCCCGTTCAGAGGGATATATCATACCGGGCCAATTTGCCCAGCTTTGAGCCTGCCGAAACAAATGAGGGAAGCTGAATGCTGAAGGGGACCGTGAGGGGAAAGACAACTCACGCGCGCAGAAGGTGTTCCACTCTACATACATGCCGGATCCCCATTTTTTGATAGAAGATCCACTTTATTTTCTCCTTCTCGGGCTTCGACATTCTTCTTTTATTTACTTTCGGCTCATTGTTCCCTCCCTATATTTCCCTCAGTCGTCCTTCTCTCAACTTGCGCCTTATACAGCGAAAGCACCTCTGAGCAGACTGTTCTCAACGAAAGCCGAACGAGGCATTGGCTCCTGTCTTGACCTTCCAAGGCTGCAAACTTAGGTTGCTTAGCAGCACCACAGAGCGATACCGGACGTATAACCGTTATCAGTCATCCGGAGTTCTGGTGTTCACGCGAATATCCTACCTTCAATACAAAGAATCACCCATTCAAGCCTCACGAGATACTGAATCGCTAGACGCCACGAGTACAAACTCCTCGATTGAAAGTCGAGATGGTTTACGTGCGACAGGAGAAGCTACCGAACTTGCGGGAATACAAGTACTCGGCCGTCGACCACTCTTTGACGTCCAAATACATCCTCAAGCCATTTTACACCAATGTTGTCATCAAGCTCTTCCCTATGAGCATGGCTCCCAACCTGATCACGCTCACGGGTTTCATGTTCGTTGTCGGCAACTTCCTCACTTTGCTATGGTACAACCCTACCCTCGACCAGGATTGCCCACCTTGGGTCTACTACAGTTGGGCTGCCGGTCTGTTCCTCTACCAGACCTTTGATGCGGTTGATGGCACCCAAGCGTAAGTCATTTCTGTGCTGTCATGTGTCAAACTTACGGAAACAAGGTAGACTGACGATGAACCCCAACACAGTCGTCGTACTCGTCAGTCCGGACCTCTTGGCGAGCTCTTCGATCATGGCGTCGACGCCCTCAACACCTCGCTCGAATGCCTTATCTTCGCCGCCTCTCAGAACATGGGCCAGAGTTGGTACACCGTCGCGACCGTCTTTGCCTCCCTTCTCACTTTCTACGTCCAAACCTGGGATGAGTACCACACCAAGACGCTCACCCTCGGCATCGTCAACGGACCCGTTGAGGGTATCCTGATCCTCGTGGGCGTTTACACCCTGACCGGTTACCTCGGCGGCGCCTCTTTCTGGCAACAGGGCATGCTCTCCACCCTTGGCGTTCCCCAGACCCTCACTTTCGGCACCACCGCCTTGACTCTCCCCAGCTTTCTTTACAATTTCTCCTTTACCGAATGGTACATGGTCCAGGGCACCGTAGTGCTCGTCTACAACACGGTCGAATCCGCTCGCAACGTAATACGCGCCCGCCGCGCCCGCGGCGACCGCTCGCGCTACGCCCTCGTCGGTCTCCTCCCCTTCTTTGCCACCTGGGCGCTCGTGGTCGCCTATTTGTTCCTGCAGCCCAACATTCTGCATGGCCACCTGGTGCCCTTCGTGCTCTTCGCGGGAATCGTTAACGCCTACAGCGTCGGAAAGATGATTACAGCCCATCTCGTCAAGCTCGACTTCCCCTACTGGAACGTCATGGTGATCCCTCTCGGCCTGGGCGTCTTTGACTCCCTCGGCCCCGTCATCCACAGATATGCACCCGACGGCCTCAAGAACCTCGGGTGGCCCTCAGCTCTTGGCGACGGCGTCTACCAGGTTGCCTACATGTTCTGCATGCTTGGAATGGCGGTCGGCGTGTACGGCAGCTTCGTGGTGGACGTCATTGTTACCATCTGCGATTACTTGGACATTTGGTGCTTGACTATCAAATACCCCTATGTGGAGGGTCAAGACGATCCCAAGGTGTCTAAACAGGTTGTGGGAAGCAAAGACGAGCTCAAGGAGAAGAGGGGCTAATAACTGTGCCGGTCTCTTCTTACTGTGGTTAGAGGTGACAGGATGAAGAATGGAAGCGGACAAGTTAAGAGGGGGACAATTGATGGACGGCAGGCAGTGCGGGGTCCCGAAGTGATAAGGACATAGCCAACTCGCGATGAGCGAGGGCGCGCGGAGAAGATGGATGGAAGCAGGAGGACACAACCAGGGTATGAAGGACAATTATGCCAACCCACTGATCGGAGCACCGATTTATACGAAGCAAGTCCCTATCATGACATTCCGAACTCGAGGGAACATGATGGAAGTGACTGCCCTCGTTCTTGGTACACCTATCTATGACGAAGACACGGGTATATACGATACATGATGATGATTATCTGCTTTCCTATCTATTTTTTATTTTTTGACTTTCGGGAAAAGGGTGGTTTTGGCCTAGGTGGTGGAGGGACGGTAGAAAAAGAGAGGGATTCGCCACTTGGCTCAAGAGAACAAAAACTAGGCGAGGGGGAAATGGGTGAACACTTACGTACGCAAACGATAGAAACCACGTCGTGTATTTCTAGCGTTGTTTAGCGCGGCGTTCCTCAGAAGCATGTTTCTACTTGATATCAACTACACACAGCGTATGCGTAGAGATACCATGGGGCAGCAAGGCCTATGAAGTCTGGTCATGATTTGGAATATCAGGATCTGGGAGGCTCAAGATCTTCTAGACATGCACGGTAGATAGAAAGAGAAAGGTATCTAAGCCACAAACAGATGATATAGACAGGCTATGTAGCCTTGGCGTTTCCATCTTGTGGTGTTTGTTCTTCATCACCTAGGTCAAAGACATCGTCATATACAAATCCCAAAAGACAAACCAACTCCGCTTCTCCAAGACAAATGCAAATGAGGTTCCCGTGATTGCCCCCAAGTTACCACCACCCCTTCGAACACCTGTCAAACCGACGAAGATAGGGGCTTCGTGGTTGAAATTCAATACCCATTCATCCAATATTCCACCCAGCCCTCAATATGCTTGTATGTGACTTGATATGTATCCTCTTCGCCCCTGCCATCGTGTGGTTACTCGTGTCTCGCTTCTCCTTTGCGTGATAGATGCCCGGTGTTTCCGTCGTTCTATACGGTGCTTCTGCCGGGGTATCTCCGTCTAGGATGCGCCTATCCCCGTACTTCTCGACCGCAATTCGGGAGCCGCTGCCTCATAGCAACTCGTCGCTCCCACTTGCCACACACTGTTCGATCGCCTCCAAAATGGCCCTCTCCTCGAACACCGGACCCTGGCCATCACACTTCGCCTGGCCCTTCAGAAGCTCACTGACAGCCTGAATATTGACCAACCCGCGCTGGAAAAGTTCGTGGCTCTGCATCAGGTCCCAAGCCGCACCGGCTGCCAACAGGCGCTCCCCGCTCTCGCTCTTGACCACCCGGTGGCTCGGCGTCTTCTCGTTATGGTTCTCCAGCAGATTAGAGTAAAAATCGGTCGGCTTGTACGACATGGGGCCCGTCGTCATCGGCGTCCCGGCGCTCCCTAGTGGCGACCCGGCGGCGACAGCACCGACAGCCGCTAAAGATGTCGCCCGCAATATCTCATTCTCGGTGCTAATTTTTTGGAGGTCCTGCTTCAGCTTTTCGTTCTCTGACCTTGTCACCTGGGCTTCTTCCTCCAGCTGTTGGAGACGGTTCTCGAGTTCTTTGACGTGGCGTTCTTTGCGTTCGCGGAAGGCTCGTTGACTAGAGATGATAAGAGGAAAGAGTTAGCTAAGATACTGTGGTTTCGAACGCTCTTCTTGACATGATCTGTAGGGTCCAAGGTATGGGAGCGAAGGTGAAAGAGAGAGGCAACGTGGCACAAGAGGGTATACGTGAGACGTGTGACGGCGTGATTCAAGGGTTCCTCTGCTTGTCTGAGGGGACAGGGCAGAAGATAGTAAGAGAGGCGGTGTGTAACGTACGCGGCGCGATTCTGGGCTTTCCGCCTCGACTGAGCGGGTGTCAAGTTTTCGTCTTCATCCGAGTTTGAGCCCTGTCTGCGGGCTCGGGCTTCGTCGGCGGGGTCTCCTTTGGCATTGTTGAGGGATCGTAGGAGGTCGGCTGCGGACTGCTGTTGATGCTGAAGGTGTATGGTGCCGTTCGTAGGCTGCGTGGTCGGAAGAAGTTGCTGGGTCGGAGGAGTCGGGGGCCCGGCAAAGGTCGTTGATTGGTTGTTGAACTGGGCAAACGCCTCGAAGTTCTGGAACTGGTCATGTGGGAGCCCGTTCGGAAATTGGTCGAAGATTTCCTGAATGAGGAATGTGTAAGCTATTCGATTGCCCCGGAAGATCGTGCGCTAACGGGCCGGGAGCCCGGTGCAGATGAGGAACATGAATGGCATGCGGAGAAACGTAGGAGCGACAAAGTAAATGCCATTCGGGTCCATAGGTAAGAAGCGACAATCAGCAATCCCCCGAGTCTGCTCTGTCATCCGCTTCTCTCTTCCAGTTCCATCTGAATCAAAGCATGGAACTCACCTGTGGAGAGGCGTTGAAGTCGTCCGAAGAGGCCGAGTTTGAATGCGAGGGGGTGAGGGGAGCAATACCGATAAAGTGGTACGGCGGCTGGGCGCCGGCGCCGGCGAAGTATGTTGGGTTTGTATAGTCCATGGTCTGATACGCTAGTTGATGTGCTCGGGGTATCGTATCGAGTGTTTGTCCATTCGATATCGTGCGTTACCCTGATGTCTTCGTAGCCAAGAAGGATTGTGATCTCCAAAAGCGAACGAAAGGACCTGAGCAGTTGGACGAGTGATCACCTACAGGAATAGCGGAGCGAGTGTGAGAATGGCAGTTGTTTTCTGACAACAGCCCAGGAACTTGTTCGGTCGAGACCGAGATCGAAAAGGCGAGGGGAAGGCGGGATTCTTGCAGAGGGCTGCACTACCTAGAGGTAGGTATGGATTCGGTGGCCAGGCAGGGATCTGCAACCAAAGCGCAGCTGGTGGTATATGTACCTAGGTACCTATGAAGACGGGATGAGGGATGGATGGGAAAGGGCACTGAAGTGCCAAAGACAGCACCGAAAGTCGGGTGTGGGGTCATACAGTTAGAGATAGAGGGACCTCTAAGCGGTCATTACAGACACCACGGGTCGCCCGAAGCCCAGCACGGTTCAAAATCCCACCAGGAGCAATTACACTCTGCACCCTTGCCAACCAGCCCCAAACATCCTGCGAAGAAAAAGGGGTCGAGGGCATAGGTTTCCATGTTGCCCATCCACGAGCCGTCTCAGAAGTGTATCCCAGGCAGCAAAGGGAGGACAGACCGAAGCTTACCTCTATCATTTCCCCTATACTTATCATCTTCAGATGCTGACAGCGCGGCGCTTGTGTGCTCGATTACCCGGGTGACAACATCAATCACCCCCTCAAAGTCTACAACAAAGTTACCAGACGGCCACATTCTTCTGCAACTCGATATGAAACTCGGGGCCCCTCTCTTAACGCGAGGGGTGATGCTTCAACCGGGCAGCGAGCTTCATGATGTGGTGGTCAAGATCCGTGGTTCGCGTCTGCTCGTCCGGAATCTTGAACAACCCGAAACGTTCCCGCACAATTTATATTCTTGCCATCGTTATTTCGCCATACTAACAGCGGAGGCAAGACGAGCATCCGTGAAGTACCCATGTAAGCAGGGTCGGCTAAAGAAAAGTAAGGTTGTTGTCAAGGTCCAGGTCGAGGCTCCCCCCCCCCCCCCCCCCCAACGAAGAGTGAGGTTGTCAATGAGCCCCACTCCGAAGGCCTTCCCGCTCCGTTCGGGTCTGGAGCAAATGATCAGCGACTTTTGGGACCCACTCTCCACTGCTACCGAAGCCATTGCCAACAACTTCGGGGTCACAAGTTTCGCCGGAACGCGTTCCGAGCCACAGACAGTCCGAAATAACTCCTGCTCACTGAAGCTACCGAACGGAACATATGTTTCAAGCCTTTTTTTCTCATCGTCTCGCGTCTTTTCTGACCCAATTTCTTTTATACGGGTTTCCTGACCGACTACCACAACAGTACGCGTTTGGCGGGCTGTGCTAAGAGCGTCTCTTCTTGCAGCTTAGGCATGTGAATGTTGAGAAGCCCTGCCGCAGACATTCGAATAACGGGACTCTTGGGTAAATACAATACTCAAGACACTCCTGTACAGTCTTTGATGTATCGAAGCGGACAACTCTATACTTCCACCATCACTGCCTCTTGTTCTCATGTCATGGATTTCCATAGCCTCGGTCGTTCTTCTTCATTACGCTTGGGGAGTGAAATGAGTGAGACCATGAGAGAATCAACTTGCTTTCATTGGCTGAGTTCTCATAACCTGATGTTAAGATCTAATCTCCGCTCTATACACACACCCTCTCGACCCTCGTTGCTTACCACATGAGAGTAACAGAAGTTTTATCGTTTAAACTGAGGCAACAAAGTGTAAAACCACACCGTTGCAGATCCTCCGTATTTAAAAGTGATTATCCTACATTTGGCCTTCGAAGAGCCATAATGTCTAGGAACGAAGGATCATCCTTTCTCACATGCCTACCTTCGCGGTACATCATGGTCTGGATACTCTGCCGCATCAGTAATGCGAAACAGGCCATTTCCGGCGCCTATGACCACACACGGTTCACGATTTCCCACTCATAACCTCTCAAGTGAGCCGGCAAGCTCTGGGTAGGAGGCTGGACTGACTAGCAAAGGACTGCGGGCTATACTCGTTGGCCTCACGGCTACCGGAACATATTTTTCTCGGATTTACAGATCATACGACGTGAACATCCCCGGCCAGGCTTTACCATGCTCTGGGTAGATGGTATGCGCTCTCTGGTCTTCATCTCCTTCACGTGGAGCTTGTGCACCATACCCCGTTTGTGAGAAACTCATCAGACCGAAAGATCCTTACATTGTTGTAAGATGAGATTATGCGGTATGCCATGTTTCGATCCCACGCGCTGTGATGCAGGTGAGTGGTCCAATCAACGAAATATTTTTCTCCATTACCTACTTCATATGTCCTTAATGAGCCGTATGGTACCATCAAGGAAGCTATGGGGAAATTTCCCCAGCCATTGATTCAGTATACAGTTAGTTGTCAGTTCGAGGGTAAAAAAAAGTCATCTGAGAATATGGGTTGTTGACGTCCACGGCCAGCCTCAAACCCAAGAAGGACCTAACAAAATGCCTGTTATTCACTTGCGTCTCTTTGTTCGTTCCCTTCTTCCTTTTCAGTCGATCCTTCACGTGGTATCAAACTGGCCTTGTGAAGTAGCAAGCTATTTGTATGAGCAAAGAAAACTCACTGGACATAGCACCAATTCATGGTTGGTTAATCAATACTGTTGCCGCCGACTCGGTCTGAATATAGAGGCGCTGGCAAGGATTTGAGCTGTTTTTGGTGTCCTTTGACTCGACTTCTTATGTATGTCAACTTAGCCCACTGCGATTGAAATGCGGTATTCTTTCCTTTCTCAAGAGTCATTGCCTGGAAACACAACAAGAGGCCGTGTCGGCACATGATACTTTGTTTTCTGGCTTTCCTGTCATCAGCAAAGCGAGCCAGTGCCTGTCTCTTACTAGGTCTTGCTGGCTTCTCGACGAAAGATCTATTCACTACACGTCCTTTCCGTGTTGATTTCCAGGTTGGCAGTAGGTTTTGCATGTTACAATCAGAGGGGCAATATAAGGTAGATACCTATTTCGAGACTGCCCCTTCAGAGGGATTGGTCGCAGGCAATGACGGAGACACGGATCAAAGCCGCAGTCGTCGTTTCCGAAAGATGGGACGGCAGATAAATTACACCGTGACAACAAGGACGAACGCGCGCACTGCCTCCTAGAGGTAAGAGGAAAGAACAACCCTCCTTCACTTGCGGGCAATGCAGGGGCGGGACCTACAGAATTGTCGGGCGAACCGCGGAGAGCTGGGTATAAAAGAAAGCACCCACGACAAAAATCCCAATCGCCTCTGCTCCTACTCAACAACACCTCGCAAACCACTTTTGTTTTCCACCTAGAGATACTCAACAGGAAAGCCAAACGAGGTCGTGATTGCTCCAGTTGCAAATCTGAATCCCAGCCGCGCAGCGGGCGAGGAGGTGGTTAGAGAGCAGCAGCTTGTCTTTTCTACTATGCAGTTGAAGATGGCGCTCGAACCCGTCAAGCCGACCGCGACATTTTCGCAAGCGCCCCTTCGACGCATTCCTGCGATTGAGGTTTACTCTGCGAGCCAACCTGAAGAAAAATCGAACACGATAGCTATACCAGTCTACACCCCTCCAAGCCCCGATATGCTACAACCGCGACATGCTCGCCATGCTCATCTTATGGCGAGCGAAATCAAGTTGCAAGAGTGGCTCCGCGCTCAGTCTGTATTGGCAGCTGCGACATCTCCTGATCACAAGCCCACAACAACCGACATAGAAGGTACGTTGTCCCGGCCTTTTTCTTTCCTCTTTCCACACTCAACCCTACTGCTCCTTGATAGCCGGGCAGTTATGCCAATGGCGGCTGGCAGCCAGGCCCTTCAATAACTTCCTTTCCTTTGCTTTGGCGACCTGAAATATCGTCCTTGCCAACTTGCAAGTCGTCTCCATCTTCATCCTTCCTTCATACTCTCCTCCATCTGCCCAAAACTTCTTCATTAGCAAAGTGCAACCAGCCCAGCCGTCCAAATGGATCCTTTTTCGTCACCTCCATCTAACTCATTCATATTCTCGCCTACAGACACGACGAAGGCATCCAAGCCGGCTACTTTTAATACCGTCGGCACCCTTCACAATCCCAATGCAACGGCACCGATACACCCTCCCACTCGACGGCCTCGCACTCGTCGATTCAACGGACTCCAGTCACCTCCGGGCCACTGCGGTTACGGTCCGTTTCCCAATTCACTCCTATCGGCTTTGCCCGTGGCAGAAGCGGAGATTTCACCCCCTCTCACAAAAACTACCTTGCCACATTATTCGCCTTTGCAGCAAAACCTTGATCGAGCCGTCAGCCCCTTTGCCGATGCAGAGAAATCTCAAGCTGCTGTCATGTCACTTCCTGCCATCAGAGCTGGAAATCTTCCAGCGCCTTCGACTGCGGCCTTGGGCGCCCTTCCCGACCTGAAGGAGAACACTTCAGCGACTGGAGACGATGACAGCTCCACCGGAGATGATATACTCCTTGCGTCAACCTTCTCTGTCAAGAGTCTCACGAGCCTCGCATCGTACCCGAACCCTATGCAGAAGAAAGCTCAGAACACTCTCGCTTTGGCCAAGGCACGTACAGCTCATTATGGCATCAACAAACCTGATACACCCTCTTCGCTTCTCAGCAAGCCCTCATTCACTGGATGGAATCAGTCTGCTATTCCATACGGCACCACATCTGCCGCTATAGGAACCCCCCAGCCTCTTACGGCAGGCCCACCGGGGCAACGTCCGTACAAGCCATCGACCGCGGAATCTACTTACAGGATCTTCCGCTCCTATGATGACGAGAGAGTACCTCTCCGTAACTCGCCAGGTTTTCTGTCCATGGAGAATAACTCCAGTGTCCGCGGTAATTCTGCGCTTCAGTCACTTTCGAGCAGGAACAAAGAACTTCGTGGACCAGGCGATCGACTGCATTCAATTTCAGTTTCAGGAGCAACTCCAGTTGATGACCGTCTTAAGGTGGCTCGGACTGCTTTCCTTGAAGATACAGAAGATATATCTCAGCAGCGTTTCGGCAACAATGGCTATTCACCAAACAGGGTCCCAAATCTTGACACTCTGCCCCTTGACAAAGCCATGCGTTACTTCAGGGACGACTTGCCCAGCAGCTACTCTGGGCAAATTTCCACCTTAGATGATCATCGGTACGAGCGTTATCCTCTTCAATCTAGAGCTCTGACCTGGAACCAATCACCGGAAGAAGAAGCATGGAGAAGAGAGAGAATAGACCGAATATTCTATTCGGGCGTGAGGCTACTCGAGAATAAGGCTAATGAGCTACTGTCCATCTCCTCTGCTAGAACTTCGGAGAGCAAAGTCGGGGTCATTGGAGGTGAGCGCAGAGAGCCCAACAGTAACGATGAGAAGGAGTGTGGCGACCCTTTGGTGACTATGGCGCTGGCTACGCTGCTTGCTTGCAAGCAGGGTTCGAAGCTCAATGATCCACAGAATCCCTTTCCGTCTGATTGGAGCAAAGCTGATCCAGCATGGATTGATACATCTGAGGATGGCAACAAGAGTTTCTTCATCACGAAGCCAGAGCCGGTGAAGAAGAAGGTGGCCAGACGGGTCACTAGACGCGGATACTGATGCCGCCAGCTGGGATATTGACCCTGTAGCTCGTTACCTATCCCTTTTGCATCGCAAGTTTGCGCTGCATTGTTTCATTCTATTAATCGTCAGAAATGGGTTGTTTGGATGATTGCTATACATCCAGCTAGTTCTCACCATATATGGATAGCGACCATACGAGCCGGTCATAAGTCCGATTGAGGGGAGGGGAACGAAAAACAAACTGCGTCTATGGCGTTCAGGTATAACTGTTGTATTTCCTATCTTCCTAATCCCCTTTGCTGAGCATGGTTATTCGGGTTGAATTTCAGAGATTGGAGACCTTGAAGATATCACGTCTATATATCGTCTGCCATGACCAGGCGTCGACTTCCTTTGTGTCATCAAACAATCACTCTATTGACTGGTGATGATTCGCACCATCATGGTTGTTGACACTTCATCGTTATTAGTCTTATAATAGTTTCGATAGAAACTGATCCTCTCAATCGCAGCCGCTGTCCCCTTTGATGCTCATAGCTTTATGCAGTTCAAAAGTTTCCTAGCACTCATTTATTGTCCAGTGTCAGCGACAAAAGCCACCAGTCTTGTCGTCGATATCGCAACATCCTTTAACGTGTCGTTCGAGCATCATGCGGTATACGGGGAAGAGGGGAAGTAATGGATGAGTCATGTGAAGCCAGAACGTGAAAGGATAAACAAGATGCAACTTTGCATGAGAAAGACACTAATATGTGTCAATCGGTATTGACCAAAAACATTTATATAAAAGAAAAGATGGTCAATCTCAAGTTTTCAGTTGAACTATTTGAATTTGCACACCAGGGGATGCATCGCCCTCCATCTATCCTTCAGCTCCTTCCAAATTTATTCCCAATTGACAGCGCGAGCATCTTGTCTTCTCGGGTGTGGCGTAGAATTTCCGTGTTTACTAGCATCAATTCAACTTTTCTTGTCACGAAAGCTGAAATGAAAAAGAGGGTGTCCTCCATCACGAAAAGAAGAGACAGGAACAAAGAGGTAAAAGAGAAGATATGCCTCGTCCATTTGTATGTGACACAGGTATGGGTAGTAGCGCCGTATATATCAGGTGTCATCAAGTTACAAGCTCTGTTTCGCCTCCCTGTCTGTTTCGTTTAAAGAAGAAAGAAAGGGAAAAAGAGGAAAAAGAGAAAAAAAAAAAAGAGAAGAAAACCACCACAAGAAAAGGTATTAAGAACAAGACCCAATACAGGGAGGAATGACAAGCACCACAAATTCCCCTAAATCTTCCTCCTCTTCATCCTGCCTTCCAGGCTTGCCCTGCTTTGTGCTAACTACCTGACCGATCATACTATATATATGTTCTCTCATTCCATCAATCACAAGCCGTTGGCAAATGTCGAAAACTTTCGAAAAACATACCCATCCAGAAACATGTGCTCGGTCGACTCAGTCAAAGCAAGTCACTCTGCCTTTCGCCAATCATAACCCTTCTTTATTGCTCATGCCAGCCTATTAATTCATTACCGGGGGCCGGCCGCTCTAGGGATGTTGCCACCGCGCCCGGGTAGTTGGAAGTCTGGGTTAGAGTTGAGAAACAGATCTGAGCCATCAGCAGGACCAGCGCCGGGGCGATTAACCGGCCGCCGAGGTACCACATTGCTGCCTCCTCCTCCTCCTGCATAGACTCCCGCTACGGGAGGAGGCATCGGTGCGTTGGCGGAGTTCCAACGCGGGTTGATGCCTCGCTGGGATATCGAGGTGAAGTTAGAGTTTTCGGACTCAGCCGGGCTCCTAGCTCGGTTGGGAATGTCGTCATATGAGTTGGATGCTGGGGGTGGCTGCATGGAGATGGGCGATGGCCTTTTGTCCGCGGCGGCTGAAGGCTCAGCAAAGCGCGGATCGACGTCTTCGTAATAATCACTGGCCACGGAAGCTGTGACGGCTTCAGAAATCGGACGTGTTGGACCACGGGCTGCTGGTGGCGCTAGTCCCTGGGCGCTTCCCCCAAGTCCTTGGTTCCATGCTTGTCTGGGCGGCACGTAAACGTCGTTAGGCCTGATCCGTCAGCAATGATCATCACTCTTGGCTATGTTTGGAAGCATCACTTACCCTTCTTGGCTATGACCATTCGCGTCATTGCCGCGATCCGGGTCTGGAACCCTGGCTTGCTGCATAGCCAACATGCCGGCGACATCTGAATCACTGTCCCTGATTCCGTACTGCCCAACGCCCGGATTTGCGGGAGAAGCATCCAGCTCTACGGCAGGGCCGGGCATGCCGTCGTCGATGCCGGGGAGCGGAGGAGGAGACTCGGCTCTCGGGAGCGAGACACGTCTCGGGTTGTATGCCGAATACTGAGGTCCTGGCTGTTCAGGGTTTCCATATCCCGGCGCAGCAAATTGAGGGCCGGGGGACTGTTGCCTATTAGCGTACGGCGATGGTTGACTGGGACCATAGGTGCCCACACCAGGGCCAGGTCCATAGGGAGCACCTGGCGATGGCCTTCGGTCCGGCCCGCCTTGGTATCCTTGAGGCGGCGGGCCTCGGCCACCTCTTGGTCCTGGACCTCCGTATCCGCGGGGCGGCGGACCATAGCCTCCTCTTCCTCGTCCTGGTGGGCCATAGCCTCCTCGTCCATTTTGGGGAGGTCCACCACCTCTTCCAGGTCCGGGAAAGCCACCACGTCCACGGTAGCCTCCGGGCGGCATACCACCCCTACCCCGTGAATTCAAACGCTCATTTTGAGGGCCACCCCTCATGGCATATCCATCTTGAGGTGGCAGTGGGTTCCCGTACTGGTCTCGGCCAACAGGTGTGGTAGATGGTGATCGAGAGGGCGCACCATCCATAAAGTTGGGTGGCGTGCTATCGTTGACTAATGTCGCTGGTGACCGATCGATGGGGCTAACCGATGTAAGTGGGATTCTTTCCTCGCTACGGTCGTCCTTCTTCTCGAAAGTAGTGAATTCGGGCAGCTTGTCGCCTCCGCCGTTCGCGCCGCTGATCATGGGTACGGTTGGTTGAGGGCCGGTAACCTGCGTGACGGGGGCAGTTTGTGCCTGACGGTTGTAGTAGTTCTCTCCACTCATCTCAGCATTTTCTGCAATGCGCTTCCTGTTCGCCTTCCTGTTAACAAGTGTTCGGCGCATGGCGCAGGTTACCAGGCCGCAAAACGCTACCAAGATGGTGGCGGCAACGACAATATAAGAGCCCCATGATAAGTGTGGAATGAACAGTAACACATCCACGAGGAAGCACAACAGGCAGACAATAAAGTCAACAAAGCTGACAATGAATAGGATCAGGAGGTATCTCGCTGAATGGGATGGTGAGTGAAAATGGGCCACAATAGCAAGGACGAAGTTAATCAGGGTGATCAAGGCAGCGACTGGATGCACAATCAGGATACTTGAAAGTGTAGAACGGGTTGCTCTGGGGATGTCGAAGTCCGAGTTGATTTTGTCAGAGAAGGCGGCTGTAAGAATCAGCACTTGACACAAGACATTGAAGTGTGACATGGAGCGAGACACTACACGCGCAACAACTCACAGGTATCGTAGCCAATTTCTATAGGACTACAGCCGCTTGAGGTACAGTAACCAAAAACGCCAAAGCTCAAATCGCCCACATCTTTGATCTCGAAGCTGCTCAAGGGAATTTGCTTGATGATTGGCGTGGATATGGTGGCCAGCGTGAGCAGCCCGAATGCTGCAAAAAGCAGCACCGCGAGGGGCGTCGCGGGCCGCAACATGGTAAAGATTGTTGCACTTCAGGCAGGCAATGAGTCGGAATAGGTGAAAGTCAAGAGCCGGGTCGTCGACGAAGAATTTCCAGCGTCCTCAGGACGTGGCCAGGAGGATGGTGGTGGATTGGCGCCTTTTGCGTTGCCAATGGAGGCTTTGTGGACGGACAGATGGTGTAACCAGAATTGGAGGGTGGGGTTGAAAGGAGAGAAGCCCCGAAAGTAGTCGCAAGTCAGATACGCTTACTAGGAACATGCGTCTTGCTGATAGAACTTTGAAAAAAAAAAAAAAAAAAAAAGGAGTGTACGAGCCTAAGACCAGGCCTGGAGGTAAAAGAGAGAGCGTGAGAAGACGGCGGGGTTGCGATCGTATTGATTAGATGTTATTGTGGTCGCGGCTTTGTGTCGTGTAAAAGCGTGGAAATGAGGCACCACAGGATCGCCGCAGATGACGGGCCAAATCCTCAGGAGATATCGTTTCTTATTGGATGGGCGTTACTCAACGGGCAGTCTCTGTCCACTCTCATCGGCGGCCTTGTTGTTGTTGTTGCTGCTGCCTATAATTACAGTATCTTGTTGACGCCGTCGTTGTCGTCGTCGAAGTTAGGTTGTCTTGGTCGAGCTGGGTCAATTGGCAATTCCCAGACGGGGAAAGGACATTGCCACTGAGTCTGGACGAAGTGGGAAGTCTTGGAGGAGATCGGGCTTCATGCCCTCCTGTTCCAGGTTTCGAAAAATGAGATGTCTACTACGCAGTACACAGAAGGTACAAGCGCCAAGATTGCAGACGGGAGTGGGATAGCGTAGCACAGGCACACGGGGGCACCAGGACAGAGGGAAGCTGGGCAGGACGGGAGCATGACACTGGGCGCCTGGCGGTTGCAGCTTCCATTCCAGACTGCTGGGCAAAAAGATTGGAAAGGGCAGATGGAGGAGCATTCAGTTGGGAACGACCACGGGGGACGGTTGGGGGAGGAAGCTGATTGGATAGAGGTAACCTACTTGATTGATAGGAGAGGCTGCATTGGGGTAGATGTAACAAGCAGCACTGCCCTGCCCTGGAAGGGTTCCACCACCGTTCTCGGGGCTTAATTGGGTGGGTCAACGCTAAGGCGAGCCGGGCCTGCCCACGCGAAAAGTGCAAGGGACGGCTCTGGCTTGTACTGAATTCGCTTCTACTTGAGGTTGGTTCCTGGATGTTCTGAACAAAGCCAATCCGTCGCGGCAGTGAGGTGGATAAAATAAAACAGCATCAGTCTCGACCCTACGTTTGCCTACGCCTGGATAAGTCTTTGGCGTTCTCGTAGTGTTGACTCGACCCTTTCTTTTGCCTCTGTCCACAATCTGCCATGCGCCCTGTCAACTGCCCTGCCCTCCCCCAGAACTGCGCGTGTGCTGCACAGTCTGCTCTCGGATCCTGGAAGTGGACTCGCAAGCCCGGGAACATGCATCCGCCCCCAATCTAGGGACGCCTACCTCTACGCGTCGCGAACCGGATCATTTTCAACCTCCACCTGCGGTTTTGAGATTTGATGGAGAGCACCGTCTGCCACGACCAATCTTGAGCATGGTCAACGTCATCCGGTACAGAGATAGCGTTGCGAGTTAGGCCTCGAATGTTGTCAAGTGGCCGTCAGACAAGAATCAAGAGGCTAGACGAGGCCAGCCAATCCATGTAATGGAAGCAAAAGACTGTGACACCCCACCGTCTGCACCTGTGCCAGTCGGTGTTGACCCGTGAGCCTCAAGAAGAACGCGAGAGGCTTTACCCGCTCCCGTCGTCCGCCTCCCCGAATGTCAAAATGCTCAGTTTTCGAACGGCTGCTCTTCAAAAGCCGATTGCTTCGCCCTGTCGAAGACAACTTACGGATGTGTCCGCCGCGGGAAAGGCGCTGACCTAACTTTTCTTAATCCCCATTCTTCCTCTCACGACAAAATGGTTCATATCTTTCACAAAGGAGCCACCAGTAACAGCTCATTCTGTGGTTGACAACTCTGTCGGTCCTGGTTTCTTGATACGGCAGGTCGGGGAAGGGGGTCGCGGCGCGGATATGACTGCCTTTTCTCATGTTAGTTCGGGATCATTATATGCAGCATCAAATCAGCCTAACGTATCGCAGGTACGCGTTATGGTATTCTGACTGAACCCTTTTCAAACAGGTCTGGTACCAAATGGACGCGAATCAACTTTTTCATTGGATCGGAGCATAGATTTTTGAAGCAGGTTGAGTCGCTGCTTCAAGGCATTCTAATGCAACCATGTACTATGCGCTGAGAACGGATGCCGCTATGGGATGAAAAGCGCCCAACATTCTCGTACACATAGGTAGAACAGACTTCAAAGGTAAGTCGAGCCGCTCATCAGCTTGAGGCGAATTGTAATAAAATCTAAAGTGCCCCAAAATGTTGAGTTCTAGCACTTGCGCAACGTGCTATCCGCTACCAGACATATTCATCATCCAGTCATGCCCCTTCACGAGGGAGGTCATTCATACAATAGCCTATAGGAGTCTCGATATACCCATCCCGACCTGCCGTCTGTCTCCTCTGATTGGCATACCGCACCATCTGGGTACCTCGTTGAAGAAAAAAAGGAAAAAAAGGAAAAAAAAAAAAAAAAAAAAAAAAGAAGGAATCCTACATCATTGCTAATAATCCGCCTCAGTATTACTACCCTTTGTACAGCTGCTAATGTTGGGATTATGGGACACGACAGGATGCAATTTTCCCTAGAGAAGATACACAGAATCAAACAAGAAACTGAAGATGTAGATGCAACGTTGACCAGCTCAGAAGCACCCACCAGTTACCAAGGATTTGTTGTTTTTTTTGTAAGGACAAAAGAACAAGGAAGAGAAACTCTACCAGCAAACAAAAACCAAGCGCTTTATAAGGTAGCAGGCTGTGATGGTTGAACTTTCTGTTTATCATGATGATCTATGAGGCCAAGTTCATTCTGTCGTGTATTGCTCCAAAACCTAGAAAGCATTCCCACTGCCGCTTGCGGACAATCCTCTAGGTATTCGACAATCATGTGTACAGTTTTTTTTTTTTTTTCTTGTTTTTTTTTTTGTTTTTTTGAGCAACGGCTCCATGTTCGCTTGAGATTCAGATGTGGCTCCTGTTCACATAGTGTACATGCTCCTAAGTCCCCTGGATCAACAAATGTGTCGGATACCGGGAGGGGACCCCGGTGCTAGATGTTCATGCAGTTAGCGCTATACCTCGCGCTAACCATATTTTCTGAATAATAAAGGTACCTCATCATTGTTACGCATTGAGGAGCCGCTCTTCTTCCATGTCAATTTCAGTTCTGATGTTCCAGGCAAGGGATGGTGTTGCATCGCCAAAAAAAAAAAAAAAAAAAAAAAAAAAAAAAAAAAAAAAAAAAAGCTTCCGGCAGTCAAAATGATCATAAGAAGAAACAGAACACGTCACGGTCAGTACAGTACACCATAGGCCTACTCTAATCACGCATCTCAGCACATTTAGCGTACTTTTAATCCTGAATTGGAGGCAGTTGCGATAGTGAAGAACCCTTAAGCGAGTCCAGCTGATGTGGCTACGACTTATTGTGATCCTTGTCATAGTTTCGAAATTGCCGTTCTTACTGCGAGCCAGATATTCGACTCTTAATCGACTGTATCAAGAGCCCACGCAAACTGACAGCCAAGACCCAAAGCTTGGCATTTTCGGAGCATCGATCTGGCGCAGCAGCAACCATCACCAACACTTGCCAAACAGACATTGTTTCGAACTACAGTGGGGCGCCAAAAAAAACGACCAACTGATTTTTTACCCGCAAAAAGGGCCAAAAGTCAACTTCTTCAACTCTTGATTTCTTAACGAGACTTATTACAAAAGTCACTCCACCTTTTAGTTAGAGATACCTTTGAGAGGAGATGCTAATGCAATTTGTCCGAAAGGATGCATTTGAAAAGGGCGCGAAAGGGCAAGTACCAAAGTGACTTTCTGAAAAGCATCTCAAATCTCACCCACTAAAATGCACTATAAATCCACTATAACTAAAAATACTTTTCATACTCTCATTTGGACAGTTGTCATTACACCACCAAAGGAAAGAAACTAGATCTAAGTATGTTTTTAGTAACTATAATCATTTATCTCTTTCTTTCTGAAGCGCATCTGCTTTTAAAAGGTGGTTGGATATGAAAACTAAGGAGTGATAGAGTTGAGTTTTGGTCCTTTTTGCGGGCAAAAAAACAGTTGGTCGTTTTTTTTGACGCGGGATTGTACAATAACAAGAGCCCAAAATCACCTTTTTTTCAGAACGCTGACACCTCTAAGGACTAGTAGCTCTAAATACATTGAGAGAACTAGTTCATCCTGCAACCAGCGAAAACACATGGGGTCAGTGCCTTTGCTAGTCGGGTTTGCGAGGGGCTGTCTGTCTTGTCCAATATACTGCATAGTATAGGTTATTCCTTGGACGGCAAAAACAAGTGTGTAGACACCTCAGCACATCATCGCCGTGGTAGTCTCAAGACGTGACGAGAACATCGCGTGTGCTGTACTGTTTGTGACTTGCCAGCATGAGTGCCTTGGCAAGGGAGTGGTTTGTTTTGACGTTACTTTGGTTGCTGACCTAACCAACTTTTTTTTTTCTTCTTTTTTCATTTCTTTTCTTTCTTGCGTCCTCCTACTTCATCGCAATGCACTACGGGACCTCGTCGGCCTCGATGGTGCAATTGGGACCTGAACAGCGGGATCACTGAAGTCGGGCTAATCGGATAGACTCCGCCCGATCCCGGGGTTTTAGTGGACCGAGGCCATCTGTTCGGGTCCCGCCCAGCCGCCTTAGCGCCCCGCGCCGGCTCCAGCGGGCAAGGCCTGGGGCGCACTACGTAATCGAACACCGATCCTGTCATTGTGGTAGAGTCGGGTCATTCGGGACACGGCGATTTTATTTCCAACTTCCAGTTTCCATGCCAGCAGTTTTCTTCGTCAACCCTTACTTACGCCGGCGCGCAGCTTTTCAAAATCTTCGA